GCCGTACAGGAGTTGGTCTAATCGAGAATATCAACACCCCTACACCTGGAAACATCAAAATTATGAACACATTAGTTGAAGTTACAAATAACAAAGCTGTTGCTAGACTCATCAATATCAGCCAATCTCCAGTCACCCTGTATAGAAGAACAAAACTAGGAAAATTCTCCAAAGTAGATATTCAAGAAGAATCTAGTCTTTTCCAAGATGGAAACAATGATGTCATTGTCACAGTAAACAAGATACAACCTGAAAATGAAGTCACAATAGACAAGATATCGGAGCCCAATCTCATTGATTTTGATGGCACATCTGAAGATAAAGAAAAATTCCAAAATCTTCTACACAAATATGAGGATGTCTTTGCTTCTGATGACTTAGATCTGGGACATACAACTACAGTGAAACATGGCATAAAATTATCTGATGACATTCCTGTGAAGCAACCATTCAGACGGATCCCTCCCAACTACATCCAGGAAGTCAAACTACAAATAGATCAGATGTTAAGGAAAGGAATAATTCGCCCAAGCAACAGTGCTTATGCCAGTCCCATAGTCTGCGTCCGGAAAAAGTCTGGTGCACTTAGAATTTGTGTGGACTACAGAATTATCAACTCTAAAACTCACCGTGATGCATTTCCCCTACCACGTATTGAAGAAAGCATGGATGTCATGAGAGGAGCAAAGTACTTCTCTTCACTCGATCTTCAATCAGCGTTCCACCAGATCGAAGTTGAAGAAGCCGACAAAGCTAAAACAGCATTTTCTACACAGTTTGGACTCTATGAATACAACAGAATGCCGTTCGGTCTAACCAATAGCCCAGCCAGTTACCAGAGATTAATGCAAACCATATTCCATGAGGAAAACATGAGCAGTCTTATGATATTCTTGGATGACATCCTGGTATTCTCAAATGACATTGATGAACATCTTCGTAAACTTGAAAATGTATTTGAGAAACTAAGAAAACATGGATTAAAATTGGAAATTAGAAAATGTTTCTTTTTTAAGAAGCAAATCAAATATCTAGGGCATGTATTATCTGAAGAAGGAATATCTGTGGATCCTGAAAAAATTAGCGTGATTGAAAAATGGCCCGAACCAACCACTGTTTCAGATGTTCAGGCGTTCCTTGGATTTTGTGGATTTTATAGAAGATTTGTAATAGACTTTGGCAAAACAGCAAGCCCGCTGTATGATGTAATAAATGAAAACCTACCATCTGACAAAAGAACAAAGAAGAAGAAAACCAGAGCGAAGTGCAAGATTAAAGTAGCACTTAATGGAAAGTCAAAAGCTGCTTTTGAAGAGATGAAAAAGAAAATGATGAGCACACCTGTACTTGGATATGCAGACTACAACCTTCCTTTTAAAGTTGAGATAGATGCATCACTGACAGGACTGGGAGCCATACTAAGCCAGGTCCAGAATGGGAAAGTCAAGATCATTTCATATGCCCATCGTAACCTTCGAAAGGGTGAAAAAAGTATGCACAAATTCAGTAGCAGAAAACTTGAGCTTTTGGCCATGAAATGGGCAGTTTCTGAAAAGTTTCGCGACTACTTACTGGGGAGCAAGTTTACTATATTTACAGACAACAACCCATTAACACATCTCAAAACCAGCAAGCTGTCTGCAGTGGAACAAAGATGGGTAGGAGAATTAGCTCCATTCAACTTTGACATCAAATACAATCCAGGCACTACTAACAGAGGTGCAGATATACTTTCAAGACTACAATCTGAAGGAGATGAGACAGAAGCTGAAGACTCAGATTCTGTTGAAGGTTTAGAATATAAGCCAAACATAGAAGACATCTCTAGTGAAAAAGTTAATCAAGTTATCACTGAAATAACCAAAACTACAAAAGTGACGATACCAGATAACGCCATGAACAGCTCTAGTATAGATGTTAATGCTACTGACGTCCAGGATGAAAATATACTCAGTACCCCTCTTTTTGACACAATATCTATCCAGTCAATGATAAAGATGCAAGAAAATGATATTGGTATATCATTGCTCAAGAAATCGTTAGTCACCAAGCCTACACTAACTCATCAACTTGACAGCAGATCTAAAACATTGCTGAGACAGAAGAAGAGAGTTATTGTAAATCAAGGAGTTTTATACAGAAAGATTATCATCAGAGGAGAACCCTTATGCCAACTGGTCGTACCCTCCGAACTGGAAAATATCATAATGAAAGGAATGCATGATCATTTAGGACATCAGGCAGCAGAAAGAACTCTGGAACTAATAAAGAGAAAATACTATTGGCCAAACATGAAAAAGTCTGTTGATAGGTATGTAGGTACTTGCAAAAGGTGTACTATTGCCAAACCATTAAATAACAAAAGATGTACTCTTGGATCTATAACAGCAAAGTCCCCCAATGAAGTTGTGTGCATAGATTTTCTTAAAATTGATCAATCTGACGATGGTATAGAAGATATTCTTGTCATAACTGATGTATTTTCAAAATTTTCTATATCTGTTGCATTGAGAAATCAGAAAGCTGAAAATGTGGCGAAATGTCTTATCAACAACTGGACTACAAAATATGGGATCATGAAGCGTTTGCACAGTGACCAGGGACGCAATTTTGAGGGTCAAGTTATAGCCAAAATGTGTTCATTATATGGTATATCCAAATCACGCACAACTGCTTATAATCCTATGGGCAATGGCCAAGTTGAAAGATATAATAAAACTCTGATTAGTATGATTCAAACTCTTGAACAAGAGAAAAAGTCTAAGTGGCAGTGTTATCTGTCTGAACTAAATTTTGCCTATAATGTAACACCACACTCAACAACAGGTTACAGTCCTTTCTACCTTATGTTTGGCAGGGAACCAAACTTACCGACTGACATCATGGATGAGGAAGAGGACCATAATAAACCTTCTTGGCCTGAACTCCAACACCAAAGACAAACAGAAGCTTACAAGATTGCATCAGACAAAATGAGTAAAAAGGTAGAAAATAGAAAGAAGCCTTACAGAACAATGAAACAGTTAAATGTTGGAAACCTTGTTTTATTGAAAAAGCATTATATAGGTCGTTGTAAGATAAAGGATGCATTTTCCTCTGACCCTTGGATTGTAACAGAAAATTTGGGTGGCAATGTCTACAAAATTTGTCAAGGTACTGAGAAAGTGAAGGTTGTGAATTTAAAAAACTTGAAGTTATATGCTACATCTAATGATGACACTTCGGATTCTGATGATGTTGACGATGAAGTATCTAGTGGAAATGAATCTACAACTTCTGAAAGTGGCAGTGATGACTCCAGTTCTGATGACGGTTTTGAAATTTTATTTTTTTCAAAAAATCAGAGGGAGAAGGAGGACTCATCCGCTCTGCGAAGGTCAACAAGAATTAGACAAAAGCCTGATAGGTTAACATATACATAGTATTAATTGTATGAGAAGATATATCAGTAAAATTACTTGCCTTAATTGGTCGGTTATGTTAGTAAAATTACTTACCTTAATTGGTTGGTAATGTCAGTAAAATTACTTACCTTAATTGGTCGGTAATGTAGGAGTTTTTACATTAATATTACTATTATTGTGTTGCCTAATATTACTAATTACAAATATGGATCACTTGCACATGTAAGCCCATTTTTGAATTGATGATCTTAAAGATGCACATATAAAGTGTATGATATTGTAAGCCAATAAAAATGCACATAAAAAGTGTATGAATTACATAAAACATAACACAAATTGCCTAATATTACTAATGACAAATATGGATCACTTATACATGTAAGCCCATTTTTGAATTAATGATCTCAAAAATGCACATATAAAGTGTATGATATTATAAACCAATTAAAATGCACATAAAAAGTGTATGAATTACATATTACATAACACAACTTGCTCTTAATGTATTTCAATTTCATAAGTGGCCTAAAACCACAAATATATTCTGAAGCAATAGTGTTTTGCCCGGCGCCGGTATGTACATAGTTGCACAAGTTAAGGTAGTTAAGGTATTTTTCTATTTTTGTATTTTGGGGTGTACTTCTTAAATGTCAGAAACCAAGTAATGGCAGCACATTGTATATTAAACTGTAAAATGGCATATTAAGGCATTACTTTTAATGGCATATTAAGGCATTACTTTTAATGGCATGATTTTTAATGGCATAATTTTGAACTTTTGAATTATAGAACCATGAACTTATGATCATGAAAGCATATTTCTTTTATATTTGTAATATTTAACTGTGATGACTGAACGTTGCCCGCGTGGATGTGACCAACTGCACTTTAAAGTTTATAGTTGCATTTATAGATGGCACTATATAGATTTCATGTTTCAATTCACATAAATAGCTGGCACATAAATGTGCAACTTCCTCTTGCTTACAGTCACTACAATAGCCACATATATATTTTTACCTCTCCAGAAAATCTACAAAATCATCCACAATCGTTCATATTGGTAAGCCATCCACTCTTTATTTTACTTTTATATGCTTTATTAGATATTACTTGATTAAATACAACACATATTTCTGATATTTTACCAATCATTTATGGTATTTTTGTCAACTTAGAAATGTATTGTAATTTTTATTCAGGCAGTGTGTTAGGCCACAGATTCACCACCATTGGTTCCCACATTTCCCTCAAGCTCAAAGCAAGAGCCAGTTCTGTAAGTTAACATGCCAAACATTCAATTAAGTTAGCATTCATGTTGGCAAATGTAAAATAGTCAAATTAGATTGTGTTTCAAATAAACTTGCCAATGCCATTTCGTACTGTAATATTGATAAGCCTTGCCAATGCCATTTCATGCAATGTTATTATTATATTGTAATTGCTTGTTATGATTTGTTTCTAGCCCCTCTGGCTCTGTAAAGTGAATAAATTGACGTACACCACAAATCTAGTCGTTCGGTCGTTCACATTTACATTTAATGTGGTGTTTTCACCTTTCATGTGGCGTACTAACATTTCACGTTGTGTACTCACCTTTCATGTGGTGTACTCTCATTGCAGCTCAGACTTGGTTTACTCCTGAAGAAACCTGTTCTCTTGACACACTGCTCTGCTATCTCAGCAAGTCTGTTCATAACATTGCTGCTTTTGCTAAAAGACACAATACACAGAGATATATCTTGCATTTAAAATTAAAAATAATTTTGTAAATTGTTAGAAAATTGAAAATATGACATGTACCAGTAATAATCAGAATAAGATCATTTTCGCAAATGTTGGGAATAAACAAAATTACCAGAATTTTGTTCTTCATGCACGCTCTACAATAGGCCAAGAACTTTACTGATTATGTCCCCTCATTATAAAAATAGGCTAGGAATTATAATAGAAGTGAATAAGTGTAGTTAGGGATTACCTTTTGTTGACCCTAGCCATATCAAAGCCTATGTAGAGTATGTTGTGTTGAGGGGGCAAGAATTGATTTAAATACTGCAAGGAGCTGACAAATTCGGTGCTTAGTAGACTCTCATGCTTTCTCTTCTCACGTTTCTGAAACATTTAAAAAACAAAGTTTTAGTCAACAATGAGTAACTACGGGTAATACGTTACCTTTACAAAGAGAAGTCAAGGATATATTTCTGAGCTGCAAAATGAGATGATGTGGCTAGGTTAGCCAGCTGATATTGAATAGCAAGAGCCTGTTTTTTCAAGATTGTGTTATCTTTTTCAAGATTGTTTGTGTTATCTTTTTCAAGATTGTGTTATCTTTTCAATTTCTTTTTTCAATTTCTTTCTTTCATTATGCAACTTTGTCAATCACAATCAAAAAAGACATTGAATCATAATTCAGAATATTTCTTGAAATAAAATCCAATAAAATATTCTTACTTTGACTAGATTCACAATGATGACTGGTGAGCCATATCTGCCGAGAACATCATTGAAGTGCTGTCCTGCAGCACTGTTATAAGGGTCTGCCTGGTCAACTATAACACAGTATTTAATAATTCAAATACAATTCAGTACTTTGTAAGAAAGAAACGGTACAGAGGAGTAAAGTCAAGAAAATGTGCATTTGATTTGACAAACAATATTAGTATGGGAAATAAAAATAGTAGACAGGATTAAAAAAAAAGTCAAATTTAAATTGGGAAAGTAAAACAAAGGAAAACAAAATTTTCATCAAAAAATCGATATACTATTTCAGTTTTAGTAATTTTTTTCAAAAAAGCTAAATATGCCCATTAGCCAGTTGTATTTAATTTATATCAAACATGTACCTACCTACTATGGGAGGTTTAGGAACCATTGTTGTTATATCTTGTGACCAGTATGATGGAATAGACCCTCGTAGTTGGACAAATGATGTGAAGCTCCCATGATTAAATGACATCACAGAAGCATCATTTACAATCTGTTCAGTTTCAACTTCATTTGCCACATAGCCCTGAAAGTGAAAATACAAGTCATTACAAGTAAAAATAAAAATAAAGGTAATGAAGTTAAACAATATGTTGTTCAGTTAATAAACATTATGGGGAGGACCAAGGAGTTGACATCGGGGGAAATCGTTTCCAAAAGGTTTGAGGCCCGGGTTTTAATAAAAAAATTGGCGTCACTTCTAAAAACTCCATTTTCAGAAAAATTAGCCTTTTTTGGAAAATTAGGCCCCAACAGAGAAAAATCCATATTTTAAAAGTATTTTTCCAAATAAAGGACCTATGAAAAGTAAGTCACCTGATCATTAGCACCTCTCTTCAGGAAACGTGTCCCAGCAAACTGGTTTGATCTCCTGGCAATAATTGTCAAGAACAATGACCTCCCGTATACACAAATTCTAGACTGCCAGATGAACCCATGGATGATATACAACAACCAATCAGGATGCAGATTAGAATCAACTTGTTCTAACATGTGATTATTCCAAACATATTTTCTGGCTGGTTGATAGGCTGTCCCAATGATGTTTGGTTCTACAACACAAAAAATTGAACATCTACTGTACAGCAAGTAGACACAAAAAATGAGTAAATAACTAAAATACAAAGCAAAACATAAACCTTATTCAAACCTCATTTGTAGATTTTTTACCCTTGCCTCAGAGAAGAGGATCAATGTCAATTATTTTTCTGGAAAATAATCTTAAGAAGTCTGCAGCTGCAACTTTATCTAAAAAAGCTTACGAATACTAAACACAAGTACTATTAAAATATGTATAATTGTTTTTAAATCAGCAAAGGTAGGCTTTATTTCTTTTTAACAAAAAATTGGCAAAAAAGCCACATTGATAATGCCTTGTTGAATACACACCTTGTTTTTCCTCTGTCTCTTCTCTCCCAGCAATTTCTACAGGATCACTGGATGTACATGTATCATCTGGAACTCTTCCAGATCTATCATTTCCTACTTGCTTTCCCAATGTTTTAGCTGCACCTTCCACCTCTTCACTAATTCCTTTGGAATCTAAGTTACTTGTACTTTTTGATTTTGTAGTTGTTTCATTTTGATGGGCTTTTGATGAATTGTTTGTCTTGTCTTTAGCTGTTGTTTGCCTATTGTATCCAGGTGATTTGGATAGGTTGTTTGAAGGGGTGAAGTTATACTGCATAGTGTGAGTTAGGTCGTAACTATAACTGAAAAGAAATACAAAAAAGTTGTGAATAGGAAACTCCAAAGCTTTCGAGTAGATAGATTAGATACTTACATGTTATACTACCCCTATACACATTTGAAAATAAGAACCCAATTTGGGAGACCATCCAACTGACCACTCAGCTACACATCTGGATGGTAAAGTACTTAAGTGTGCCATTGAAATCATTTGATATTTGAATATTTAATCAAATCTTTTCAACTCAACTCAAGCCTCTGGATGCATAATCATCCCTACCTGAAATAGAAATTACTGGAAAGGTCCATATTCTGGAATATTTTCAGGTATCTTGTCTCATCTGGATGTGGCTGACGGACACTATCATTCGGAATGTAGATCATTGTTGTGTCTTCTATCTTGTAAGTATAGTGATGCCCTAGCAACGCAACCCGCCTCCTCTTAGTGATGAGCACAATGTAATACCCCTCCAGAAATCTCACAAACCCTGAAATAAAGATCATCATCATGAACAGAGCATTGTTTCATGTATACTGCAGGTTTGGGAGAGATAAATTATACCTACCAAAAGATCATGTTAGTAGGCATAATAATCTATCAATTTTTCAATTTAAGAGTATATCCAATCCACCTCTTTGTAGATTGATGTTAATTGAAAGTTAATTTTAATACGGTAATTTCACAATGTTATATGAAAAGAATTTTTGGTTATTTTTCTGAAAATGAAATCCCATAGCTGCATATCTTTTGTTAAGTTTTATTCAAATTTATCTCAACCATATTGGGAATGCAGCTACATTTTAGGTCAGAGATTCAGGTTCAGATTCAGACTGACTACTATTTCAAAGCATTATTCCTACCTACTATTCCAAATGCAGAGGCTTTTCTAGGCAGACCAGCATTGGAGGCAGTTGATTTGGACCTGTTGCCAACATCAATCATGTGCAGCAAGTTCCTGATTTCTTGTGGACTGTATGACACATTATCATTTGTAACTACAAGTTCCTTTGGCTCTGTGCGATCTATTTTCAAAACCCGGAACTTCGTTTCAGTGTTGTTAGAACCAACAATGTAGAATCTCTACAAGGAAATAGTGTTGCAACAATAAAAGAAAAGCTCATTGGGCAATTGACTCTTACATTATGCACCTAATATAACAGTAAAATTACCTGAGACCTAAAAGTCAATAAATATTTAAAACAAAAAACTATTTTGTAAATGCATTGATCTCCCCAGCATTAAAACAAGTAGGCGCAACACCTACCTGAGATTTTAAAAAGAGGCATGCGCCTACCTGAAAATTCATTTGCACCCACGTGAAAATGAGAAAAATCATAGAAATGGACATAGTTTGACCAGTTTCAGTGAGAATTGTGAAAATGAGATTTTTGCACCCACTTGAGAAAAAGTCATGTGGAGAACACTGAAATGTATTAAGACAGGACATTAACATGCAAAATGTCACCACCTTCCATTTATTACAGATGCCAAACTCGAAGCATCGAAGTCAGAAGACCAAACACAGTTCCCAGAAAAATTAGAGACTATGATAAAACAGAATGTCACTACAATCAATTACAAAAATTAACAAGTTCAAATTTTTACCCTAATTGCCATAAATGCCATAGGACAGTACTTACAGCTTTAGTTTCATAGACTGCTATCTTCTGTGTAAGTTTGATTAGGGGTGTTTCCCGCAGTTTTTTATCATCACTGTGTGCCATGTTATCATCAACGCTACCACAACCTTGTGACATGTTTGTCAGTCAACCTATGAGCATAATATAATATGAAAAACAATTTTGGAGGGTGGGGGTCATCAAACAAAATGATGCTGAGGGCGAAGGATGTTACAGGGGATAGTGAAAAAAGAAAGGGTGTCACAGGAAGGGGAGGATATCAAAGAGGGGGGAGGTGTCAAACAAGAGGACGGTGTAACAGAGGAGGTGTTATAAGTTTTGTTGACAAAAAGAAATGGTGTCACAAGAGGGAAGGTGTCACAGAGGGGGTGTCAAATAAGAGGACAGAGTTACGAGGGGGGGTTACAGGGGTTAGTGACATTAGGAAATGGTATCACAAGAGGGGGTTGTCAAACAAGAGGACAGTGTTACAGGGGGGATGTTACAGGGTAAACAGGCTGTTTGCCAGCGAGTGGTTTTAATCAACCCCCCTCTGCATGGGAAACCCTTTGGAAGAGCCTGTTATATCTACATGAAGAGTTTGGGTTTGTGTAATAAAATGGGTGACCGGGTAACCGGGTGACTGGGTACTTTTTCACGTTTTGAGGTTATTTCACATCGTAAGAACGTTTTGACAACGTTAACTTTTATGTTAAAAAAACGTCGGTAATAAACCGATTTAGTGATATGAGAACATTGACGTCTTTTTAACGTTTCCTTAACTCACAAATATTTTGAAGCCATTTCCACAATGTTGAAATTCAACCATCCATCGACGTTTTGCTGAATATCTAAATAACGTCAGATCAATATGGTCCATGAACGTCATTATTGACGTCACGTTTTGAGGTTATTTCAAATCGAAATAACGAACTAACAAACTTTACGGACACGTTACAACAACGTTTTTTATACCATCAATAGATGTCTCATGTTTACGTTGCCTTGATCTGTAAAGAACGAAAATGTGCAACGTATTCTAGGAACGTATATGCTACTTATGAGCAACGTGACATGGACGTCACTGTTTGCTGGATCGATCATCTCAAAAAGTGCTCTGTCTCGTATAGGGTAAAAATATCGAACAGCAGTGCACTCGGTAGGCTAAGTCTGTCAAGTCAATTCGCTACTATATATCGGGGGAAATGTGGAACTTTGAAAGTTGGTAACCCTGCTACTGTAGGAATGTTAGGGTAACCTGGTCGACCGGGTACCTGGTTACCCGGTCACCCTCATTGTGTAATGACCTTCGCTACAATCTCAGCTCAGCTGGCTAGCCTTTATAGCTCAGGGGTAGAACGTCTGACTCGAGAGCGGAAGGTCCTGAGTTCGATTCCAGTACGGGCATTGAATATAGCACATTATATTTCGAGTCTAGTATCTGTCTCAATACACTGCAGCTCGTAGTGGGTCGTTACAATTGTTATGCTGCAGATATATCTGTAGGTGCTGCTGGGTCTCTGAGGATCGTGTTGGCCTCTAATGCAAGTCCATTCGACAAGCAAACGCAGAATTTTCTTGAAATTATGAATCTAATAAAAAGGGTTGTGGCTAGACACATTCGCTGTACGTTAGGTATACTATGCTTACCTATCGATTTACACCACATTCTGAACACATGGTAGTACAAGAAAATCCCATTGTCGGAGAGTTATAGCTGTTTACAGAGCTTATTTAGACTTTTATGTTTTCTAGTTTCTCCATTTCCTGTTTGCTCCCTCTTAGCATTTCGTCTAGTGCTTTCTCTCCGCAGCTGGGCCGGGAAAGGTGGACCATTGGTTTTCAAATAATGCAAATAGCTACCAAACCCAATTGATGTTATACATTGAAGACCAGCCCAACTCACTTGATCGAACCCATTTGCTTTCATTTACCGATGTAATTTTATTTTGAAGATATTGATTTCGTTTTGCCAACTCCATAAGCGAAAGTTTGACATTAGAAACCGGAAGCTCAAAATGGTAAGTGTTCTTTTTAAAAAGGTTTCAACAAATGCATGATTTCTCAACATTTAAACAGTATAAGTCAAAGTTATATTGTTGTAATACTCAATATGTGGTCCGGGTCAAAATTAGTCAATATATTTGTCGTTGCACGTGCAGTCTCCAAGCAAAAAATGAACACAAACAATTCAACATTTTATTTGACTTCAGTTCAATTTCAAAAGAAAAGAGTGTCGACTCCACTGTTCTTTGCCTAGTCTACTATTATAGTAATTAAGGCTTAGCCTAGGATGAAGAAAATACAATAACAACAGTAAGAATTCAGAAGTGACTATCTCCCGAAAGGAGATACACCAGTCTAGGCCTTCGTCAAAATGCTCTAATAACGAAAGTGAAAGTGTTTGGCTGTCAGGAATCCCCCAAAACAAATGTCACAATGAATGTCTCCATACCATCCACCATATATTGATGACGTAATACACCTAGCCCGCTCTTGCAGAATCCAATGTTATGTGACGTCATTTCTATAACAACGATATATTTGGAGAAACCTCTCAACTCTTAGTGGATTCCCGAAATTATTTTACATTTATATACAAAATAAACTCTAACTAGGGTATAATAAACATTTTATTATATTGCAATCAATTCGTCATATATGATAATAAAAATGCATAATGCTTTCAAGTAAAAAGCCCAAAAATGGCAATGTTATTGGAATTGAATTAATAAGTGGATTACACTGGACGAAACGTTCTAAAAATTGCCAAAAGTAGGGCTCATTGTAACAGCTCTCACTCTGTCAATATTTATCAATTTCTGTTTTCTTTTACATAGAACATGGGCTTGAAATGAAAGATGAGTATTCACTCAAAATGTTTAAGTCGAGATCAATATGATATATACAGGGTAGGCATAAAAAATGGGCCGAACTTCAACACCTGATATTTCCATAACCCTCTTACCTCTACTTCTAAAAATGTGCACATGTGAAACTAGTTATCTCCTGATATGATTAAATGAAATTTCAGTTTTATCATTGAAAATTTCTGATAATGGGATCTCAAAATCAAAAAAATGGGTCAAAACGCATGTTCCAGATAATTTTAATATGACATCAATCCTTGTATTAGATATAATTCTGCTATTTTTGCAATGCAATACATGTAGCCAAAAAAATTTGCAACTTTTTTAAAAGGCTAGAAAAGTATCAAAACATAAGGGTATTGCCATAAAAAATTATTTACAGAAACTTGAGGATAGGCATATTTTACCAGTCAAATGCTAAAGTTAAAACTGGCTTAAATTTTCTTTGTCAGATCTTTGAATATCAATGGTCAATTGTTCATGTGTCCGAGATTTTCCATTTTTCCTAGAAAATGTGACTTTCTATGATTTTATGTGATCAACAATAACACATTCATAATGTTCACTAAATCTGCTACAATCTTTGATAACTGTTTAAACAATGCCTACCTCAATGTCTAGTTTATATCAGTATCTAATAACTATGGTATTATGTTATATTGTATTTATTAATTATCTATAAACAAATGTTCTATGCATCCCCCTTTCACCTTCCCTATCGCTCCCAGCCATCGGGCAAAAGTCACTTTGGAATATCTGGAGGAGAATAAGCCTTTATTCATTAGTCCTGATGAATGGCTGCCAAATACCCCAGATGCCAACTCCTGTGACTATCACCTGGCACACCTTATTGCAGTTAATGGTAATCCCCCACAAACTATTGTTAAACTACAATAAGTTCTGAAAAAGAAGTGGAGAGAACTACCACAAGAAACGCTGGATCACACCATTGACCAGTTCCACCCATGTCTCCTTCCTGTAGAGAAGGTGAAAGGTGGATGCATAAAATTTGTTTAATAAATAATCAATTGATACATAATATCATAGTGACTAGATACTGATATAAACTGTACTAGACATTGGTTGAACAGTTATCCAAGATTGTAACAGATTAAGTGAACATAATGAATGTGTTATTGTTGATCACATAAATGAAACATTTTCTAGGAAAAATGGTAATTCTCGGACACATGAACAATGTACCATTGATATTCAAAGATATGATAAAAGAAATTAAAGTCCAGTTTAGCTTTAATATTTAAATGGTAAAATATGCCTATCCTTAAGTTTCTGTAAATAATTTTTTATGGCAATACCTTTATGTTTTGATACTTTTCTAGCCTTTTAAAAAAGTTGCAAAATTTTTTGGCCCACCCTGTATAAAAGTGTACAATTATGAAATCATTGGTAACAGTAATGGTGTCACACATTTTACACTTCTTATATATAAGCAAGGATAAATGGATGAGATTGCCTAAATTCCAAGTTGATTTTGGGGAATTGTCTACCTAAGTCCCACATTATGCGAGGGCTAAGTTGTGTTTGTATGTTTCTAAAATGTTGCAGAGAAATATTCTGTTGTCAGCTTTCTTGCCATTTATTCTCTTCGTAAATATGGATTTGAACATCATCGATTCTTAACTGCTTAAATCCAAACTTTGTGAGAATATTCAGAAAACAATAATTCTGAGATCAATTTTAATGGAGAATGCCGGTGCAAGTGGCAATCTCTCAGCTTTGGGAAATCTCCTGTTCAGAGTTGAAGTCACTTGGGTTGTATGTAAATTAAACCTAAAAAATATCAATCAAAGGCCTACCAGATTTCAATATAGATATTTGAAAAAATTTGAAATATCAGATAAACTGCAAATCCCCTCCACATTTATGGTACTTGAAAGCTGACCATGATAGGCAATTGTGTTTAGTTTATTTTCATCCACAGAAGGAGTCGAGCTATAAATCGCCATTCAAGTTAAAAGTCAAATCCCTTGTTACCTAAGAAACAACAATAGTAGTACCTCATTGGATAGATGATTATCCAACTGAACAAAGCTTGTAGACATGTACAGAGAAATTTTGTCAAAAGTATCGCCTATTAATAGCCTAAATCTAGAGGACATATGCATATTTACAAGAGATATCTAAATACATAAACTCTCAATTTATTCTATGTTGCAGCAACATTCATTGATCTATAAGACTGAGTTGGCCCATGACGACAGCATCTGGACCTGTGCTTGGAACAGAAATGACAAAGAGAACACAGAGAATATTGTAACGGGTGGTGTTGATGACAAAGTTAAAATATGGAGATGGTAAATATTATTTTTCCATGTAAAAATACATGTACAGTATATAATTTGATGCTGTTAGGATCTAAATGTCACCTCAGAACTAGTACTGTAATATTACGGTATTCAATGATTGTTAATGACTCATAGTGAAATGAATGCCAGCTACTTATCAAAGCAATTTAGCTTTATTTGTGTTGTTTTAATGGATGGCTTGATTTTAATCAACCATTCTCATTGCTGGTCTTTTTCACAATTTTTTTCAATAAGAACTTCGGTTTCACGCATTAATTTAACCCATTTCATTAAAACCTTTTTAAAAATCATGCAAATCCTAATTTTGGTTTCCATACAAAATATTTGAGATACTGGTATCAGATCAAATATGGAAGTAACTGATGATTTAAGATGAAAAAATTCACTAGAAAACTTGTTTTTATCCCTTCTACCCCCCCCCCCCCCCCCTTTAAGAGCATGATCATCCTCCTATCCTTGTTAATCAAATATGTATTTGCATCAACTGTATTTGTAGGGCTGATGAGAGGTTGGAACTGAAGCACACATTAGATGGTCACCAGCTTGGAGTTGTCTCAGTTGACATTAATGCAACCGGCACATGTATCCTTTATCATATTTTTTCAAAGTACTATACATGTAAATGCCCAATAGATGTCTTGGTATCATATTTTATTACATGGTATACCACATAACTTGTTTTGAGGCACACTAACTGCTTACTTAGGTGAGGAATTTTTTGTCATGCCTACATTAAAAATATTTAAGGGTTACATGTAGTTAGATGAGAATGCTGTTGACTCTTTTCATCATTCATTAACCTAATAATCAGATCATCATTTTGGCATCACTGTAAATAACACAACCACTCAAAGTGCATAGGCGGACATTTTTTCTTTATTTATCAATACTTTTCATTTACATAGTAGATAATATCTCATACTCTCCTCTTGGATGTATGTCTTTAGCCTTTTTACATAACTATTTATTGGCTCAATTCTTCTTAAAATTTTATATGGTTTTCGATCATTGAATACACTTATTGATGAACACTATGCTAGATTTCTTAACTTATTTTCCCCAGTGGCTGCCTCCAGTAGTCTTGATAGCCATATCCGGATATGGGATATAGAAGCAGGGAAGCAAGCAAAAAGTATAGACTCAGGACCAGGTAAGCCATCTCAGATACTAGGAAGGTTAAGTAACACATTTTTTATAAAAAAAACTTGTCCATGAACGTCTTACATTATGGTCCTTTATGGTAATTCTCCCATTTGTTGTGTTTATTTGGCCAATTGAGTATAAAGGTATACAGAAAATAATTAAGAAATATAGACCGAAAACAGGGGTAATATTGTCGAATACACCCTGCAGGGCTAAGCACAAACGTTTTCTGTTCGAGAGCTTTTGTGCCTTAGCCCTTAGGGGTGTATTCAACATTATTAGCCCTGCTCTGAGGTCTATATTACGATTCGAACATGAAAACTCAACAAAATGTTTCGAATATTCATTATAGTCCGCCATTAGCACGACCCGCCATTATGACGTCACACATTACACATATTACCAGGGGTATACTTCGCGAATATACCCCGACTTGACTTTGTTTACAGTTTATAGAAAGCGTGAATACTGTCATGTTTGAATAGAAATTAGATCCCTGGGAAAATGAATTGAGAGTGAGACAGTAATCCACAGGGTCGAAATTCTACACGCCGGCATACATGTTCTCTTAAAAACGTGTATCTTAACCTCCCTAATATTAGCTTAAAGTTACGTGCTCTCAGTAAGCACAACATGAACAGAACACACCAATTATTTGTGGGACAAATATCGAATTAGTAGAGTGATTATGTTTTTCCAGTTGATGCCTGGACTGTCACATTCTCACCAGACACAAGGTTTCTTGCCTCGGGCAGCCACACTGGGAAGATCAACCTGTTTGGTGTGGACAGTGGGAGAAAAGAATCCTCATTAGACACCAGGGGCAAGTTTGTCCTCAGTATAGCATATGTAAGTAATAATGATAATGTGGATATTAATATTCCTACTAGAAACTGAAACTCTATTCTTTCATGTTTGTTTTGCACATGTTCTATGTTACAAATAGTCGTACTTTTAAGTTTTATTAACTTAAGGATTTCATTGTTAATGAGGCCTTTAACCTGCCATCTGTGTGATTCCATTCCATTGTAAGTGGACTTCTTGACCAAGACGATCCATCAAACCATCTGTCAACCTCCCTGATTACCTTTCTTAAATCTCGCAACTCTCTTCTGTCACTGTCAATCTTACTAAATTGTGTATCCCACCACGTATATGAGTGAGCCTCCTTGGTGAGACTTAGTAGTTTGTGTATCCATGTAGAATCTTCAGAGTGACTCACTTGGAGCATAAACCATGCAATTGCCGCAATACTTTGATATCTCCTGGCATATTCTTCTCGCTTTGGGAAAAATACATCGTTATAACAGTTAATGGAAGAATATGCCGATGAATAGGTTATGTCCAACTTATTCATATCATCAGGTTTTTCTGTGATGATCCTCACGATATCTACAAAGCATTCTCCCACATTGACTGCCAGGCAGGTCTGCTGATGTTGTAACAATAATACATTAACATCATAACTAGAGAATATATCAGGAGAGTTAGGATATGTCTGGTGTGATATTTCTGCAGCAAGATGAGAGATGTATTTCAGTGTTAAGAAAAGCTCATGATGAGATTCAGAGAGCACATATTTTGTGTTAGCCGGGGGATTTATCAGAGATTTCTTCCAATGTTCTGAGTAGTTGAAGCCACACCTACACTTGTTATCACGAACATATCTACTATCCAGCATGAGGCATCGTCCCAGTTGCTTATGTGGTGGCCCTTCTATCGAGAAACACAGGTCTACATCAGTAGTACATAAGGGCCCACCAACCCTCAGCCAAAAACTAGGGCCGTGCATCTTCTTATGAATACTTATGTCTCCTCTTTTGTATGAACTATTTTTGGCATCATTATGATCCTTTTCCCCTATGTATGTCAAATTGGTATCCATGTGCTCTAGAGACCATATTATTGCTTTCCTTAGTTCGTCGCAAAGTTTTCTGCTACAGAGATACTTCTGTCTTCTGGATAGTCCTAAAGTATGAAGAATACCACTTGATGGAACATTTCTCGTATATTTGTCAATATTTTTCATTGATATACATGTTCCTGTAAGCTTCATTTTGATGTATCCAAATCCCTTACCACCCCATTTACATTTTGTCTTCTCCACTTTTGCTGTACTATTGTTAAAATTTGCCAGAATTGGCATGAAATCATACTCATTGGCACACATTATTTTTGCTCCACTGTATGAACTACCTCGTCTGATCATCTCATCACACCTTAAAATTGATTCATATTCACCAACCTTTCTAACTAGAATTTGAATATTATCTTCAATGAATGATGTATGTTCATTAAGTTCTTCTGGTGTGTATCTATTTCTGACATTAACTTTGTCCGATGTTAAATGTACGAAATCTCCTAAACGTTGTATATTCACTGTTGATAGTTCTGTTCTACTTCCTGGTGGATATGGCCCACTTAGTTTTGGCAGAGTGTTAGATGCCATGTTACATGTATCATAAACTATAGCTGTACAGTTTCTTGCACAGATCTGTCTCAAATCTGCTTCCTATTAATTCAATATTGCCAGCTGTTTCAAGTTCACTCAATAGTATTATTACTAATCTTTCTAAAATGAAACAGAATCCAGAGATTGAAATAAAGGGGAATCCCCTTTTAGTGATTTTTTTTACATCCTGGTACTTCGATGACCTGGAAGTGAGGTCATGGCTGTCAGTTTAGTGAATGAATATTATCAAAATATATTCAATTCATACCTGTGTTCGTACCAAAGGCCACAATTGCCACAATTTCGCCAAAACAGAATTGAATTGCTTATTTAATGAACCTATACAAATCACATTTTTATTGATACCAAGTCTAAAAGGATGAGGAGAAACAAACAAGCAACATTTGCATGTATACACCTTCATACTCATAAATGCCCTCGGGCGATTGGAAATATACATGTATTTGTATTTTGGATAAATAAATTCTAACAATAAAAAATATACTCATAAGCTGACTTTTAATTTCCCCTAAATGTGACTTTGAACATAGACGATTGCATCGATAGTCCACTTACTCAAGGGGCGAGGAGGAAAATTCTCAATAAATGGTGTATAGTTGGTTTGGCAGTATTTTCAGTTAGGGGAGAGTCTTGGATGAAATTTCCACCTAGGTGATAGCTTCGCAGAGTGGTAGGAAGTTCTTTTTTTTGAGGAGTTAGCCCCCCACCCCCCCAAAACACCCCACCCTGGGGAATAAATTGTTCACACTAAATAACCTTAGATATTTTGATGTTTGTAAGTGACATACATAGATATTATATATATGAATAATTTGCAGTTTTATTGATGCTGATTACTCCTAAAGAATTTGAATATCAGTACAAAGTGTGTACCCCAGGGGGCAAATTCGTGACTCATTTTCTTACTGTTTTGATTTTAACTTTTCAATTAGACACTGTAAGAGGTTGAAAAAATTCATGTGAAGTGCCCAATAGCAGGGTTAGTAACCCTGAAAGATGCAAAGCCATGGAAGAAGTAGGAGCTGAGAAAAAAATTGTTGATTTTTCGAAAAATTTGACATTTTTGACAACTGGATTTTGTGTACGACTATAGCTGACCCCTATAGTTTCTAGATCCATCCCTCTATGATGATATTTATGGTTTTATAGTGTGGAACTAAGATGTAAAACATAATTAAGATGGGTTTTAAGGAAGTTTAAGGTTTTAAACAAGTCCAAAATTTGAAAAATTGTAAATATAAGGTTTCAAATTTACGAATTCCAGGTATAGCCATGGTTGACACCTATATTTTCTAGATCCATCCATCTTTGATGATATTTATGCTTTCATAATGTGAAACTAAGATGTAAAACATAAATTAGATGGGTTTTAAGGAAGTTATAGGTTTTAAACAAGTCCAAAATTCGATAAATTGAAAATGTAAGGTTTCAAATTTACGAATTTCAGGTATAGCCATGGCTGACCCCTATAGTTTCTAGATCCATCCATCTTTGATGATATTTATGCTTTCATAGTGTGAAACTAAGATGTAAAACATAAATTAGATGGGTTTTAAGGATGTTATAGGTTTTAAACAAGTCCAAAATTCGAAAAATTGTAAATGTAAGGTTTAAAATTTACGAATTCCAGCTATAGCCATAGCTGACCCCTATAGTTTCTAGATCCATCCCTCTTTGATGATATTTATGGTTTTGAAGTATGGAAATAAAGATGTAAAACATAATTTAGATGGGTTTTAAGATAGTTAATGATTTAAAACAAGTCCAAAATTTGAAAAATTGTAAATATAAGGTTTCAAATTTACGAATTTTAGGTATAGCCATGGATGACCCTTATGGCTTTTTCATCAATACTTCTATGATGAAACATATACTTTTAGAGTGTGAAACTAAGATGTAAAACATACCGAAGATGAATTTTAAGGAAGTTTAAGAATTTTAACAAGTGCAATATTTGAAAAATTGAGAAATATCAGGTCTCAAAGGAGCACGGAAAGTATCGCAACAGATTTCAGACAGTCATATGTTGGATTTTGTCTGTTTTCTGAGGATTTAAGCAGGTGCATATGATAGGCCATTGCATTACCTACGGGAAAAGAACTCTTAGAGATGATAAAATAGTTTGGAATATGACAGCGAAGGTGAAAACAATCTACCCACATGTTTTTGGGGAATTGTCGTCCTGATTTTCAACCCCGTTCACCCCTGGTTTTTCAATTTTGTTGCATCAATATGTTGCGTTTTGAGACATAGTTAACCATTAAAAGGATAAATTTCTTTTAGATAAAGCGGAAAACAATATTTTCCTGTTATTTTCCCATAGGGAAGACTCATGTGATCCATTGCTTTCAGCTTAATTTTGGTCACCCATATTTGATATCTTTAAAATCCCTGATGGAATGTATTATTCATTTAAAGGGGTTAACTGTATGTAAAAACACATATATTTATACATATACACATATATATTTATGCATGTGGGTGGGTTGTTTGCACCTTCCCTGTCTCAAAATAGAAATTATTTTATCATCTCTATGGGTGCTTTTCCTGGAGGAAATGCATTGGCCTAACATATGCACCTCCTCAAATCCTCAGAAATTGGCCAAAATCCAACATATGATTGCTGAAATCTGTTGCGATACTTTCAGTCCTTCTTTACGATTTCAGGTATAGCCCTGGATGTCCCTCTTTTTGAATGTATGACTTAGCTTAGAAATTAGATGTTAGATTATTGTGGTCAGGTCTGATCCATGTTACATGTATTGTTAAAAGAAAAATCATTAGAGTTGAGGACTTAACCCTTGAGTTCCTAAGGGGGTGAGAGGTAAATAAATCCCCCAGTAAGTGTAATTGCTCCTAGGGATATCGTATACAGTGTAGTAATTGATTGATTAAATGGATTATAACTAATTAATTATTATTTGATGATATTTATTATGTGATATAGCATTTTTACTTTTTCACATCAACATGTTCGATGTAATATTCTGCATTATCAAAATACACAAAGACATGGTTAATTAAAAGAAACAAGTTTTCTCTATATTTTGTTATGCCCCTTCTGTAATTAAGCAATGATCATCTCCTAATACAAAATGTTGTTATGAATTATCAAATTATAATCACTACACTCCCAATAAAACAATTTGTCATCAGGCAACAGTAATTATTTGGGAAAATAAGGATTATAAGGATCATACCCCCCCCCCCCCCGGGCCTAGAAACTTCCGTTAGTGCAATGATATAAGGAACTCTAGGGTAAAAGGGTCTTGTCACATTAAAATCTTCATGTAGATCAAAAAAGTATATATGGGGATATGATCAATATGTTTCAAACAAACAGACATTGTAGAAAATGTTTACATACTGACTTTGCAGATGACATTTTCTAGCATAGTTGAAGAATTTTTTTCATTTATTGAAATGATAGTCATAAAATTATAATATCAGTGTCATTTGATGCAAATTACTGCAGTCCCACATGTTCTGCTGAATGTAAAACAGAGTGAATAATTTTAAAATCAGCCTCTTCAGGAGTGGAATTTAACAGGAGATTTCAGTTATCATTTTCACAGATATTTGAGTTCTCTCCAATAGTTCCACTGAAAACAATCTTGACATTTGGCACACTTTTAGAATGCTGCTTTATTGAATTTCTTTGTAATCTTTGAAAATTTGTCTTATATTACTTGAACAAAGGTATTCGTATTTTTAGGTAATGGTGTAATTTCTTCTATGGATTAAAGTTCAATAGGGGAAGCATCCATTCTTCGCATTCTTTCAGAATCCTTTACTGATGGAGACAACTAGCTAGGAGTCTAATATGAAATCTATTCTTTGGGCTCCTTTACTAGATTTGATGGAGTAGTCAAATATAGCTTTCCAAAACTCTCCAAATTTCAACATATAAGTTAATCTTCATTTTCCCTTTGTCATAGCCATTGCATCAATCACGAAAGTTTTATCAATTTGTTGTATGGTTTCATCGATCTCCATTTCAAACCCCTTTTTAAGTTCTGATTTTTCAGGATAAGATAGATGATCATTGTCAAACGAACTGTTTGTATCCATATAAGATCATAGTTTACTCACACATTTCTAGGCAAGGTGTGTCCAATATCCAGCCAATTCAATATTCCATATAACTGCATTCCAATTAACTACTCTCATAAACCCAAGGTCAATTTTAGATTCTAGAGAAACTAATGAAACTAATGATCATAGGGAATAGCATGCCAAGTGCTTGTATTTGAATTTATGTGGATTACTCATTTGGTAGACACCTTTATCAAATGTTAAAGTGTTGTTGATTTTCAAGTTGTACAAGCACAGTGTCATGTGTGCTTTCTTTTCCTGACATAGTATAACATTGTGGTAAAAATTATCAAAGGCACCTAGTACAGTAGTTCTAGTTCATCATCTTGTATAAATGATATATTAGCAGTGAAACCTGTATATCCCAACATCTGACTATTGTGAACACCTACCAATCATCCCAACACCTGACTTATCTGAAAACCAACCAATCTGAACACTTTTCCCCAGTTCAATTTTTCCTTCCTCCCATTGACTCCTATGTTTAAAAATTGAAATCTGAACACCTCTTAATTCGAACAGTGAACACTCATATTTGAAAAATCAACCTGTTTAACTTGAACTTTTTTTTACCAAATATCACATATTTCTTACAAAATTGCTCAGATATTGTCAGTTTAACACTGAATTGTTATGATATCAAAACTTTTGAATTGGATTTTGGAATGCTATTAAGCTTTTTGGGTGGTCAGTATAAATATTATTAATATTTATTAATATTTTTCATTGAGAATGCATTCATATTTCTTCAAAATCCAGAATATTGCAGATGTAAAAACCTCAAAATTCAAACACTTCTAATTTGAACGCCTTTAGCTGGTCCAAATACTATTAATCTAGTAGCATGACTTGTTTAAAACCTTAAACTTTCTTAAAATTCATTTTGGGTATGTTAAATCTTAGTCCCACACTCTAAAACTGTATATTTAATCATAGAGGTATGGATGTAAAAACCATAAGGGTCAGCCATGGCTATACCTGAAATTCGTAAATTTGAAACCTTATATTTACAATTTTTCAAATTTTGAACTTGTTTAAAACCTTAAACTTCCTTAAAACCCATCTAAATTGTGTTTTACATATTAGTTCCATACATCAATACCATAAGTATCACCATAGAGGGATGGATCTAGAAACTATAGGGGTCTGCCATGGCTCTACCTGGAATTCGTAAATTTGAAACTATTATATTTACAATTTTTCAAATTTTGGACTTGTTTAAAACCTTAAACTTCCTTAAAACCCATCTTAATTATGTTTTACATCTTAGTTCCACACTATAAAACCATATATATCATCATAGAGGGATGGATCCAGGAACTATAGGGGTCAGCTATAGTCATACACAAAATCCAGCTGTCAAAAATGTCAAATTTTTTCGAAAAATCAACAATTTTTTTCTCAGCTCCTACCTCTTCCATGGCTTTGCATCTTTCAGGGTTACTAATCCTGCTATTGGGCACTTCACATGAATTTTTTAACCTCTTACAGTGTCTAGTTGAAAAGTTAGGATCAAAATAGTAAGGAAATGGGTCACGAATTTGCCCCCTGGGGTACACACTTTGTACTAATATTCAATTTTTTTAGGAGTAATCAGCATCAATTATACTGCAAATGATTCATATATATAATATCTATGTATGTCACTTACAAACATCAAAATATCTAAGGTTATTTAGTGTGAACAATTTTTTTCCCCGGGGTGGGGTGTTTTTGTGGGGTAGGGGGCTAACTCTTCAAAAAAAAGAACTTCCTACCACTCTGTGAAGCTATCACCTAGGTGGAAATTTCATCTAAGACTCTCCCCTAACTGAAAATGCTGCCAAACCAACTATACTCCATTTATTGAGAATTTCCCTCCTCGCCCCTAGAGTATGTTATCACTTCTCATTGATTTTAGTGAAGAAAATAATGCTTCCTTTTGTAGAGTCCAGATGGTCGCTACATTGCAAGTGGAGCCATTGATGGGATTGTAAATATATTTGATATGACAACAGGAAAACTCATGCACACCTTAGAAGGTAAGCTCCTCTGATTTCTCATTGTAAAGGACTTGGTTTTAAACTCTCTGCAGTTGAAGAACTTTTTAAGTTGTATTGTTAATTCTAATATGATATGTGACATTACAACAATTGATTTACTGGACTATATTGGAGTATGTATGACGGCTAAAATTCATAAATGCAAATAGTTGTGTTTCTTGTCTGTTTATCATTTTAGGATCATAATGAAGACCTCGATTTTATGATTTATGTCAAATATATGACCTCAAATTTTATTCTGGCCATTGCCAAGATCTCAATCGCTTCACAATTTCAGTCTTTTAAAGAGGCTCTATGCCAAATAATAGGAAAGTACAATCAAGACCCCTCTGGACTTTTTTGCATTTTGAGTTTCACCACATATATACTCATCTACTTACCAAAGAAGAAGTCCCAAATCCCCCTCTTTTAGTGTTAATTTTGCGATTGTGCTGGCCGATCTAATTATTTTCGAAGAAATTAATTCAATCTGAAGTTTGAATATACCGGGAAAGTCCTCCTGTTACCTGATTAGTCGTTGAATTTGTTTATCATATACCTGATTGGCTGCCTGGTTCAAGGCGCTTGTGTGACTCAATGGGGATTCCCCTCGCTAGCTGAGGAATCGATTGTGTTTAATTCTGGAGTTTGGTTGTTCTGTTGATTATTTCCGATATTGATATTTCGGCAATAATATACCCCAAAGTAATTTTCAAGATATATCCATGGTACAGTATGTGAGATATTATATGAACAATAACAATAGGACATCATTGATTGTCTGGGGGAGAAACCTATGGCATAATGCATCTTTAACAATGAACAGAATAAAATTTTCTGTCTTTTTGAAACAGGTCAGACAATGGAGAAAATCTGGTTTGTCACAATGTATTAAATTATGATAATAAAAAGGATTGCCCCTTCTTAAATCTGATGTTTTTCTCGGTTAAGGAATATCCATACATGTTTGTTTTTGCAGGTCATGCTATGCCTATACGATCTCTCTGCTTCTCTCCTGACTCCCAATTACTGGTCACAGCCTCAGATGACAGCCATATAAAAATATATGATGTGTAAGTTGTAAATTATGCATTTAATTGTTAAACATGCAGACCTATGCAATTTTTTCAAGGGAGCTTACTACGTATTTTTTCTTTATTTTAGCCTCCTTAAAAGTGCCCCGATGGGGCAAAACTCATACTCTTGCAATGTTCATAAAAATAAAACCATGCAGTGTAATTCTTTCAAACTTTACAAAGTGTATAACAAATGTTCAAAGATCATCCATGTGAAATATGATGCCAAAAAAATAAAAATTGATGAAATGAGAGCAAAAATTTCAAGACTTTTTGGACAACCCTCGTATTGTTAGTCTATGTATAATGCATCAGTACTTATTGTGCAAGGCACCAATGTGTATATGAAATGTCCTTTCATGCTCTGATGAGACATTTAACTATCATTAAGATACACCTCTCTATATGGAACAGTTCATAAATGAACAAAGTCCTATTGACTTACATATTAAGGAACCCCCTCTCTGTAAGGAACATCTGCCTACATCTTGTATTAACATCAATGTTTTTTGCTTTTTTCCATATGTATGTGTCAACAGTCAACATGCTAATCTGGCAGGAACATTATCTGGTCATGGATCCTGGGTCACCTATGTGTCATTCTCTCCAGACAACACCCACTTTGTCTCCTGGTAAGTAGATGCTGTGTCCTCTCATGGAAGTTTGAATGGTAAATGAAAGCCAGCTACTTATGAAGGCAGAATGCAGTGACTGCTATTGGGTAGTTCAACCGATTTCTGTCAACCTTCTCAATTAATACCAGATTACATGAATGATGAACATGAATTTTTTATTACTGGTCAAAAATTTAAACAAAATATATAAGTTACAACTTTCTTTCCATTAAGACACATCATTCTTTGCACATTCTATTTGGAATTACAAATTGTTGGCTGATAATTCAAAAAAGTGTAAATATTTTACTTCAACCTTGTTGAATATGATGAACAATGTCAAAACAAGATCATAAGTTCAATCAAATATTTTGATTATTTTAATATTCGTGATTCACATATTCCAGTTCGTCAGATAAAACTGTAAAGGTTTGGGATTCTGGATCAAGACATTGTATGCACACATTCTACGACCATGCAGATCAGGTGAGAAATGCTTAATAGCATATTAACATATAAAGAGAAAGGGATCTATAAATAATTCACATTTTGTTAAATTATTATCTTATTTGCAGTATAATCCTTTCTCATTGTAATGTATTTTGAATGTGATATTAACCCTGTGTGCAGAGTCTAGTTATAAACTACCTGAAGATGAAGCTCTCTTTTAGAAGCAAAGTCAAATGAATGCAAAGGGTATATGATATTGTGACATTCATGACTTGTGTTTGTATTCCAGGTATGGGGAGCCAAATATAACAGTACAGGGACTAAGATAGTGTCAGTGTCAGATGATAAGTGTGTCCATATATACGATGCAGCTGTGTAATTAATATGCCTGTATATGGACCCTGTATATATAATGTACATGTATATCATATATATGTATTTATACCACTCTAAGTCCAATTACAGTTGTATAACATGGGTCTATAACAACGATATACAGTGGAGAGTGGTATATCGTCATCGTATACAACTCCTCCGTATACACTCCAGCGTATACCACTGTAGAAGTGCATTCTGGGAACTAATGAATAAAAAAAATCATGAAAATTTTCATGATTTCCTAGAATCAAGTGACGTCATAAATGGTTCGAGATCAACATCAGCATTATTGAGTTGGCTATGGGATATTTTTATGGTTTTTAATTGTTATGATTGTGTTCGAATCAACTGTAATTGAACTTAGAGTGGCATAATAAGATTATATAATGGTTCATTCTGTATATCGTGCATTTTATACTCTCGTGAGAATATAATATATTCACTCGTTCGCTACGCTCACTTGTGTATATATCATATACTCACTCGAGTATAAACACGATATACAGAAAGAACCATTATATAACCTCATAATATACAAAGTGAAACATGATTACAAGATGCCTATGACAGAACAGTTGCATAGAGCAGTGGCCATATGAATGATTCTCATAAAAATGTCCCTGGTTTACTTAAACATTACCTACTCCTACGAGGAACAAAGTAAATCTCTCTGAATTTCAGTTTCGGTTAAATGGATGTGAATTTCAAATTGAAATAAAATAGAATTATTTTATAATAATTTTATTATGTCATTTAAACTTCAATCAGCAGGTGATTCAAGGTCAAACTATACCGAAGTAATACTGTTTATTAGTTATTGTGTACATGTATATATAAATTGAGATACTTAAAATGATTCATATCAATTTAAGTTTAAATCCTTTGAATATTCACTTTATTTTATCAAAATCTTCACCGCCAAATCTTGTATTATAATGTAGTGAAGAAGAAACGTCAAATTGTCATTGTTATCTTTTTTGTGCCTACTGTCCTCTCAGCTTTTATGTTGTGTTTTGGAAACTCACCTATACACACCCTATCACACCAAACTAGTTCTTACACGTTCTTGCCAGTCCTATGAAAACGTGTCGTAAAACGGGCTCAATCTGGCTGTGGTCGGGAAATATGTCTAAAATAATTAGCCACATCGTTCATAAACAGTCTTCAATACGTCCATCTCATTCGCAGTTCGTTCAGGTCGCACCACGTCGGTGTGCTACGTTCATTCCGTTCGCACAAAGTTTAAAACCAGTTTTAAAGAACGCAGTGGCAACTTGCTTGGTGTGAAAGCTATACTTTTGCTAACTCGTTGATAAATACGTTCCGATTGCAATTAGTTCTACCTCGTTATCAATACGTCCTCAGACAGTTCAACTCGTTGTAAAAACGTCCTTAGTAGGATTGAAGTACGACGGTTCCGTTCGTAGTACGTCCAGCTCGTCGTTAGTAGGTTGTCACTCGTTCTAATTTTAGAACGTGACGACCAAGAGAACATTTTGAGCATGTTCTAAGTTCTAGAAGACCTACCCGTTCGATTACGTTCGATGAAGTTTGTAAATAGACCCCAAACGGTTGCAAATACGTCCAGTCCGTTCGTACACATTTGAAGCCCGTTTTTGAGAACGTAGTGAAAACTAGTTTGGTGTGATAGTAGGGTAAGCAGACATGAAACGGTGAATTAAGGTCAACATTATTGGATAGTGAGGAGGGGGGTTACTAATCCATTACAAATCTTTATAATCCAAATGAGATTTATTTCATTTTATGCAGTTTTGTTGAAATTAAGATATTGTTTTAATATATAATGTTCTATGTATGGTCGAAATATACCCTTGACCAAAAATACATCTTTCCAAAATCACTTGCCATACTGCACATGGCTCTCCGTACATGAATTATTGATTCGGATAAACAGTTGATGATTTGGTACGATCCATGAGTTATCCCAAGATTAACATTGAAATTTTAACAAGTTTTATCCGAAAGTTTATCCATTTATGTAGGTAGATTGAGATAATGATTTTATCCAAAAGATTGTTTGAATTCACCAATGTTCGGATAAAAGTCCAAGATTAATCCCAGCATGCATTCATTACCATGACAAAATGAATGCGGATCGGATTGCTGATCGTACGAATTCACGGCCCCAGCTAGGTTTGCTTCGGTTTTAATTAATGATCGTTGTATTTTCACAAATAAGAAGCGTCAATTTTTGCTGACTGTAGTCGACTATTATTTCTCTCCCAACTGAACTGGAGTACAATTAATGCAATTTTTGACTTTTTCTTGATAATTTTGTTCACATTCATTATCCATTAAATGACAAATGTTCTTTGAAAGCGGGCTCTCATAGACTTGTAATATTATCCAAGAGACATTTTTAAAGTATATAAAGGTTAGTGTGAATTATGTGTATTTGAAAAGTCATCAATGAGTCTGGATTTCCTTATGAGTTCCCGACATAGAAAAAAGGAGAATACTGTTATTACCTTGTTTTGGTCATTGCTTTAAATTATAGTTTATTGAGCTTTATGTACGTTCCATGCCCTTTCTATTAAGGCATTATGATAGCTGCATATTCTCTTAGTTTGGGTTTATTGCAAAGGTTTCACTCGCGTTGACTGATTTATAATGTTTTAATTACAGGATATTTCCTGGAAACAATATACTAAGTTACTGCGTGCATAACATCACGCTTACGAATATTAGTATTCATAGTGGACTTCAAAATTTCAGAGAATACCACAAATAGGAAAATAAAACAAAAGCCCATGGGCTATTTAAACATGTCAGAATTTGGTAAAAATTATTAATTTAATTGCTTTTTAAATATGCTGACAGGAATTAATAAATCAACTGCACCTGTGAGTCAAGTCTTTCCAACGGCGCTATGAGTGAAACTAGTCCACCTCGGACATATTTGTTAAGTCTGCTTCTTTTATCGTATGCGAGTCTTAGTTATGAATCTTCTGCACAACTTCAAAATACTGGTGAGTTAATTAGGCTATACATTATACTGCGAGAAATTTAAATAAAAAACAATATTTCAAACCAAATTTTTATTTAATTTCTAGATTGAATTAAACTAATCTAAATCAACGTAGAGACGTTTTTGTTACTTACATGTTTTCCAAATGTTGCTTCTTGAATGGATTCTAACAACAGTAATTGTATTTTCTATGAGGCTGTTCTGGAGGAGAGTTCAGCGGGGATAATACCAACCCATGCATCTATTACCAGTGTGTCCATGGGGGAATGGTGCAGAAGCGCTGCGCCCCAGGCACAGGTGTGGTGAGGGGTTTTAGGGGGAGCTCCAACCCATGTGTCGAGAGAAATGATCAGTGCAAGGGCACTACAAATAGTCAAACCTCTGGTTCACAGAACACAGGTTACGGCAGACAGCAAAATAACGCTCGTCAAAATTCTGTATACCAAAACTCACAGAATATGGTGAATAATAATATGGGCTATGGACAGTCCAGTGGGAAATATCAACAGCGTAGTAATACCAACCAGATGGGATCACAACAAAGCTACTCACAGAATCGAATACAGTCACAACGTAATTCATACCAGCAGATGCAACCAATGCAGCGACAGACACACAGTTACCCTCCGGCTGTTCACAGCCAGCCCCCAAGTCCAGTGCAAAAGCCTTCTTTACCCCCAGCCCCCATTGTGATGAAGGTATATGTACCCACACCCGTACATGTTCCAGGTCCGATTCAAGGTATTTCACTCGCGCAGTATTTCAATTGCTTTGACTCATTTTGAAACAATCAACTGGCTTGTAATTTTTGTTCATACAAATGATGACCTCTTTTTATTTACCCACTTTCCTTAAAATAACAAGGTAAATGAGAAAAATCACAGATAACTGCCTTCATATGGGCGTCATTTTCCGAAAACAATTATTCATCTTTAAGACTATGCACCTTTTTAGATATTATTGGGATCATATACATGTATGGAATCATACTTTTAAAAGGATACAATCGACAGCATAACGTTTAATACGACCGACAGTGAAAATGGTTTAAGTTGTTAAAGTTCTTCAATTATAGTTCACCAGAAGACCGTCAAAGTTGCCGTGCCAGTGCCCGTACCTTTCCCGGTGCCCGTTCCTGTACCTGTTCCAGCAACACCTGCACCAGGGACACCTGCTCCGGATGGACTACCTTTTGGTACGTTTTCCTGTTTCAAATTAGTACTGATAGCGCAGTCAGATGTCCAGAAATGAGCCCTTTATAGTTCGACTTTTTCAGGAAAGCAACAAACTTGGCACAGTTGTAGAAACACTTGATATGAGTGGAAAATGATTTCGGGGCAAGTGATCCGGAGTGGTCTTCATGGATTTTTTAGTCTCTGACCCCAACCCCTATTAGGCGGGGAGGGGGTACATTATAAAAAATAAATAAAAATGGTTTTGAAGTAAATTTTTTTAAATGACTTCATTTGGTGATTGCTCTGAGCCTTGAAATTGAGACAAACCGATTGTAGAAGTGGTGTTTATTGAGGAAAATACATTTTGACCCAATTATTTAGCGTGAATTCATATTTTAAAGGGTCAAATATGGGACATCAAGTACTGTATTTCAAGAATGTGATGTCTGATCATCTTGGAAAAAATCATACTAATAGGGGTATAGGTGTTCATCACAAATATAGAATATGGCTTGGGTAGCTCATGTATTTTTTGAGATAAAAATTATCGAAAATTGAATTTTTAAGACCTTGCGGCCTAGGGGTAACCTTATTCTACCTTAATAATTTTTAAGATTTGCAATGTATGGGTCTCATATGAGCTCAAAATGGTGCATTGAGTCTTGTTTTGTCATATTATTCCTAATTGGATTGAAAAATGATTGGAACTTTTCAAAAAAAAAAAAAAAAATCATTATCGCTTCTGAAGGGCCAGGGGTAACCATATTTTACCTTGATAACTTTCAAGGTTTGTAATATATGTATCTCAAATTAGCTCAAGATGGTGCATATAGTTCTGTTTAATCATAATACCTCCAATAAGATGTAGAAAATGATTGGACATTTCTTAAAATTTGAAATTTTCATTTTAGCTTATGATGGCCTGGGGGGGGGGGCTTATTTAATCTTGAACTTTTCTTAATTATGAGACGAATGCATCTCAAATGAGCTTAAAATTGTGTCATATACTCTTGTTTTGTCATATTATTCCTTAGGAGATGTAAAATATAATGGAAATTTGAAAAATGACATCTTTAGCTTTTGACAGGTCAGAGGTGATTTTATCATATATTACCATAATATAGAAGCAAAGGATGGAGTGAGTTTAGCAGCCCTGTCCCCATGACCAATGCCATTGGCAGCTTGGGTCTTAGTTAAAGCATTTATGACCCAAGCTGCAATAAACCATGCTGACCTATTCTCAACCAATCAGCGAGCTTGAAGGAACAAGTGCTAAATGCGTGTACATTAATGATGCGATTTCGTCAGAGAAAATGACCATATAGAAAGCCGTCCTTATTTCGACAACAAACTCTGATTAGCGCAGTGAGTTCAGAGATTTATTGAAAACTGATAGAGTGAAGACGAAGCTCTCTTTTGAGAAGGAAAGTCGAATGAATGCAAAGGGTAGTAAGTCCAGTCACCTTAGCCTGATGGGGGGGGGCTTAAGGTGAGCTGCTTCTGTCAAGGATTCTGTCAGTGAATAATGACAGTCAATGATTGGGCACAAGAATGCCAAATGTTATTAATTTTCAAGATAAAATGATCTCAAAATGGGGAAAATAGTCTGTTTTTCACTTTATTCCTACTGAGATAATGATTAACAACAATTAGAAAACTCAGTGACACATTTAAATCTCAATCCATTTATTCCATTTTAGCACTACCAATAGCAGTAGAATACACATGTAACATCACATCCAATGATTGTATGAAAAATGGGGAGGGTTAAACTTTGGCCATGGGCAGGTAGATATTGATAGGATTTCTCCCTTACCATATGCTATCCAAATTGACTTTTTCAGTTTTTAACATCACCTATATGCCAGCATAACCACATCAGAATTAAATGTAATGAGTATTATTATTCTTTCTCTTGAAGGCCATGATTGAAGCAGTCTTACTGAAAATATTGAGAAATATCCTTGAATCTGCTTCTTCTTAAGAGCAAGGGCAGAACCTCACTGTTGGGCTAAAACATTGCATTGCCTCCTTAATTTATGTGGTTACTTTCTTTTTTCCATCCATTTCAGTTTCAGTTTCCTCCTTAGACTATCCTTGTTCCAGTTCCACAAGTCTCTCTAGTGCTGTTTTAAAGGTGCAACAATTAGTGCAAAGGGGCCATTCAACGATCATGGACCAGTGTCAAAATATATTCAAGTTTGGATATTTCATCAAGACTTACATACATGTATATGTTTATTTTTTTCCAAAGAAACCCCCTGGATGAACATTATTTCAGCTGATTCCTCTTGAAATGTTTTGGATCTTAAAAATCTATAAGTGGGCCTCCCTTTATAGAAGCTTTGAACTGAATTTACACTTCTTAATGCTAAAATTGATAGTTTATCCATACATTTTAAGAAAATAGGTATGTCAAAGAAGATGTTTAGCCAAATATTACCCTGATAGCTCAGAAAAAGTAAAAAAAATTGAATCTTCTACAGACCTTGTTGCCCCTTTAAGCTAGTGTCCTGGTAAACATTCCAGCTGACATCAAGGCAATGAACTATTCGCAGACTTTTACGTGGGTAATATCATATTTGCATAATCACCCAATTTTCTTTATATATCACTGTTAGCATGTTTAACTATACATGCCCTGTCTATTATTTTGGCATCTACTATGTAGCTTAGTCATTCAACTTTGATGTTAATTAGCATAGATACAAACAGCACAAAACTGGAACAGTGAGGAAAATATATCCTTCTAATTTTCTTCTGTGGAATTGGCAAGATTTCCTCAGTTAGTTGGAACAAGAGGGAGCTGTTTTCCTTCCAGGCATCAAAACTGAAACCCTGGAGGAAGATGGTAAGAAGATTGTGACCTCACAATGAGGTAATGCAATATCTTCGCCCGATAGTGAAGTATCTGCCATCACCATTCGCTCGTATGAAGAAGCATGCCAAAGACTGCTTCTGTCATGACCTAATAAGAATCATAGTCAATACAGTTGATTTTGGTGTGGTTTAAACTGGCAGTAACTTGTGCTGAAAATGTCAATTTGGATTGCATATGGCCTATGGTGAGGGGAAATTCCTCCAGAATGTACGACCTGTCTTAGATATTTCAAGGCCACTTGGCCATGAACGAAGTTTAGCCCTTACCATTTTTCATAAAATCTCTAGATGCATTCTGCTACTACTCTTAGTCAACTGATTTGCAGGAGTAGAAGGTGTACCCAGAGGTTACGCAAGTGTTCTTAAGCTTTAAATCTTTTTTGATACCCTAAAATTAGAAGACTAGAGTCCTTATTCATTCTGATGCATTCTTAGTTTCTATCACCACATGAATGTGGCTGGCCTACTCCCACTGCTGATACTGAAGCCACAACATAAAATGTAGGTCATGGGGTAGATACCTGTGTCAAGAGAACAGATGCAAATGTTTGAAAGCAGATCTGATTTGCTCCAAGCTATGTAGCTGTAGGAGAGACTGTCAGAATCCATAAATTGTGACTCCTTTGATTAGGTTTTATAGATTTGGATTATATACTCAAATGATAATATACAGAATCTTAACAATGCTACTACACATGCTAGTATGAACTGGACTTATCAAACATTTTCACATCTTAGAAAATGTTCTATAAAACTAGATTGTATTGCCATTGGTACTAGTAATAAATAAATGGCTGTTGAGGTTCATTTTTTATAACTGTTAATCATTATTGTATATCTCAGTAGGAATAATATGACAAAACTAGACTATATTCACTATTTTGAGCTCATTTGAGTAGACAATATGATATATCTTTGTTTAAATTTTTAAGGTAAAATTAAGTCATTCCTGACCTATCATAAACTTACTACCAATCTCAAACTGCATCAAACAGCATGGTTTCATAAACAGTGCTGTAAAAACAGTACTGTACACAGCTGTTTTCTAAAACAGTACTGAGCTGTAAAAACAGTACTGTACTACGCTGTCCAAAACAGATGGTGTTAGAATAGCATTGTACATTGCTATTTAGTGCAGTACTCTGACTGCACTGTTCAGTACTGTTTACAGCGTTGCGGATTGGGGGTGTAATATGAAAATGTAATTTTCTTATAATTTCCAATCATTTTTTCACTCCTTGGGAATGATATGATAAAACAGGACTAAATATACCATCTTAAGCTCATTTGAGGTGACTATGTCTCATATTTAGAAAATTATTAAGGTAAAATAAGGTTACCCCAGGGCCATCAAGAGCTTAAGTGAAAATTTTGATTTTTTAGATATATCCGATCATTTTCTACATCTTATAGGAAGAAGTATGATAAAACAGAACTATATGCAACATCTTGAGCTAATTTGAGATGCATATATTACATATCTGGGAAATTATTAGGGTAAAATATGGTTACCCCTGGCCCTTTAGAACCGAAAATGAAAATTTGATTTTTTTTTTATTTTCAATAATTTTTTTACATCTAATTAGGAATAATATGACAAAACAATACTTAATGCAACATTTAGAATTCATATGAGGCCCAAACATCGCGTATCTTAAAAATTATTATGGTAAAATATGGTCACCCCTAGGCCGCAAGGGCTTAAATATCCAAATTTCGATAATTTTTTTCTCAAAAAATACATGAGCTACACAAGCCATATATCATATGAGTGATTAACACCAATATCTCTATTAGTATGAATTTTTTCAGGATGATCAGACATCACATTCTTGAAATACAGTACTTGATGTCCTATATTTGACCCTTTGAAAGATGAATTCACGCTAGATAATCGGGTTAAAATGTATTTTCCTTCCTAAACACCACTTCTAAAATAGGTTTTTCTCAATTTCAAGGCTCAAAGCAATGACCAAATGAAGTCATTTAAAGAAATATACTTTACAACTATTTTTATTTATTTTATTATAATGTACCCCCTCCCCGCCTGATAGGGGTGGGGGTCAGAGGCTTAAAATCCACGAAGACCACCCCGAATCAATTGCCCCGAAATCATTTTTCATTCACATCATATGTTTCTACAACTGTGCCAAGTTTGTTGCTTTCCTGAAAAAGTCGAACTACCAAAGGGACATCTGACTGCGCTATGATACATTACATTAGTATTAAAACTTCCTAAATGTGGCGGAGGCGACAAATTGTCACGAAAAACGATATTTCGAAATTCCAATAGTTTTTGCTTTAATAGGACATTTCTGTGTAAGCTTTTCCAAATGCATAATGGAGACCTTAAGCTTGCATATAAAATCGAAACGACAACCTGTACGTATAAATTGCCCTATACAAATACATTTACTTAGTCCGTTACTTAGACTACACATCATCGTGTAATATGCCATTGATAGTTATATAGCTGGATTTTCTATGATACATATTTTAAACAAGCTCGTTTCGTAAGATATGCAGAGCTAAAACATGTATGGCATACATCATTTTCTTCAAAATACATTATACCATGCATCGAAATCAAAATTTCCAGCATAGTATTCGATAGTCATGAGTATAATCATTCCCGTTGACACCAACGTGAAATTGCAAATCTCCCGTTCTAAACTGAAGCTGAACTTGTATCTGAAATACAGTAGACTAATTAACGCTTTTTTGTTTGCGCTCTATACATATTACTGTAGTATTGATTCATGGCCTTCAAGGTTACGTTGTGAAAAAAATTGCAAGCTTAAAGTCTCCATTGTCTTCATTTTGGCTTTGCTCTTACCGTATTCCAAATCCGTTATGAGTTGAACTTATTTAATAAAAGCATCATCTCTACGTCGAACTGTTATTAAAGGATTTGTCTTTATGGCCATGAACACCCATATCTTGGGAGGGACGAGGTTCGGAGCGATTGGTCAGTACAACAGGACGGAATGCATAGAGGCGTGTAGGATGGAGCCGACATGCTTAGCCGTGGACTACAACTTGGTGGACAGTAGTTGCTGGTTCCACACACAGGCGACAGCATGCAACGATCTTGTGCCTAAAGCGGATTGCAAACATTACAAGAAAATAAACTGTGGTATGTAGATTTGTTCGAGTATACATGGTTTTGTTCGTTTCTGTATAATTTTCATTAAATTGTGCTCAATTTTCGAGTCTGATTTATGAACTAGCTGGGACTAGCACAAATTTAAGAAAGTTATGCCTATAATTGTTGTCTGAAAAGTTCCAGGGACACAGAGACGTTTTAGAAGCTTACTTGTACTTGAGCAAGAACTCTGACTTCGGGCATCATGACTATATCTATCCTATTTAAAAAGTTTGACCGTGCATCTTTCAGTGTAAACCAGAATGACGAAAGAAGCCAACTAGCTAGTATGTTTAATACGTATTGAGATATAGAATGATAAAAATCAGTCCATTTTAATTTTGCAGCTAGTGTTACAGCCGCCCCTATTACAGCGGCACCCGTAACTCAAGCGCCAGTTCCCACCACTGCAATACCAACACAGGCCCCAATAACTCAAGCTCCTATAACACAGGCTCCCATAACACAGGCTCCAGTAACACAGGCTCCAGTAACCCAGGCTCCGATTACCCCCATGCCTCCAACTGGGAACAGACCGGCACCAGTTGGAATGTTTATGCCCGGGAACCTTCCCGGACCTACAAGTACGTGCATGTTCAGTGTGTCCCAATCTTTATCTAATAACGTTAACGTTTTTACACTTTGAAACTAGTACGTCTCCCCTTGAAATAATACCAGGAACGTGATTGAAACTTAGTTTGTAAATAGAACGAAACAATGTTCTCTAATGCATTTTAGTGATACCAGCGTCTGCGTTAGCCTACCCTGCAACGCAGATCATGAATGGGGAGTTCAGGTTCGCCGGTATGACGGTAGAGGCGTGTTTTGATGCTTGCTATAATGATGTTACTTGTTTGGGCACTGACTGGAACTCTAACGATGGCAGTTGTTGGATTCACAGAGAGGACACGATATGCCTCGCATTGGAAGAAAATAAGGCAGTATACCATATAAAAAAGATGATGTGTCGTGAGTATTTAACCATATGAAATCTAGCAAATGAATGATTGATCCGAGATGTACTCAACTATGACTAAGTGTAAATCGAATGAACATACGCATGCGCTAATAATCAGTTATAGTAAGATAATAAAGATGTCGCTATGCCATTAAAAACTATTTACTTTGTAAATAATCATTTGGCACACAGCTCGAAAATATAGTCTAACTGTATTTAAATTTCTTCGATTTGGAATTTGTTTTGTACGTGAATTTCCAATTCATATATTTAGTCCCTCGTTATTTAGTCCCTCGTATTTGTTACATTGACGAAAATCTGTTACCGAAGTATGTTACTTTGACGACTTACGTCAACGTATCAAAAGCGATGGTCTAAATACATGAATTACAGCTGTATTTATAAATCAAATTCTAAACGGAGGGCATTTCTTAAAGCTAGACTATAATATTGTCTACCCTTGTGCCAAATGATAATCCGCAACTTGAGTAGGTTTAAATCGAGAAAACAAATAACTCGTATCCAGGAAGTTCATCCATTCTGTTACATTGACGTTCCGTCAAAGTAACTAGTTGTGGAACAGTGTAAAATGTCATTTAGGTTTTAACATGGCTGTCTTTCCTGAAAAGTTCAGGCTCTTGTTAGAAAAAGGTATTATTTGTTTTTTCCTCTTTACAGCTTCGCCATATCCTGCACCCTTATAACCTTCTTACTGGCCCATTGATATGGAAGGACTATATGGTTCGCACCGGGGATCACGCATAGCCCGATAACACGTGAAAATACTACACAAGTCGTCGAATGCTGTAAATATGTAATAATTCATTGAACACAATCATCCTGGATAAACATGGAAACTTTCAATAAAGTTCAGAAAGATAATTCACTTTTTCATTTGTTGTTTCATGATAGTTCACACAGGTTAAATCCATGCCCCGACTGAACCTCACTGACTGAATCCCACCGAATCGCTAGCAGCTCACGGTACATGATGATCCGGTCGAGGCGTAAATCATACGGGTTATAGTTGAAATAGTTCACACTACCCTACCACGTGACCACGTTTAAAAGGGATACAGGATACAGTCAAGTTGCAAATGGAGTACGTGGGTTAATTTCCATATTTCTTAACGTAAACTAGATTCAGGGCCATAGGGAGAAGGGGGTTCAGTTTTGAACAAAATACTCAATCAGCCGGGCGCCAGCCGATGAATTGGAGCAAATGTGACTCGGGCATAATGTGATCAAACTTACACGGTTACTTTGAACGGATCAGGGAGTGGTGAGTAAAAGTTCCGTTAAGTAAAATATTACTGGAGATGCCGGGAGTTGAACCCGGGGCCTCTTACATGCGAAGCAAGCGCTCTACCACTGAGCTACATCCCCACGATGTCCTAACTCAAAATATTTTCACTTTCAAACTGGCATCTTTAAGTCTTAGTATTGAGATGAATTCGGTCATTCGGTGAAAGTGCATAATTTAACACATGGTACATTATATAATGATTGGAATTAGATGGCTTCTCGATCACAAGGATTTCATCAAAAATATGTCCTCCACCCACCTTTGACAATCAGTCTGAGCTATATTTGATAGTAATACATGGCTTAAATGATTGAAAAAAAAGCTGAGGTCAGTTCAGTTATATCATCCAAGGGAGGCATGTTTGCTTCCCCTGGAGATTAAATATGTTTTAATTGATGGAAATTGTGTTGAGGCCATTTGAAAGTGCATATTGTATGGAATGAAAGAAATTGTATTTTCAGCATTGATGTCTCAAGCAAAGAAATATTGGTAATTTTTCATGAAGCACGAGGTATACAGATCATCACGACGAGCCAAAAATGATTATACATGTTTTTATCTTTAACATTTTCACAAATAATCATAATTTTGTGGTTTACAATGCAATAAAGGCAACTGAATAAATAGAAAAATGTTCCAATTTTTATTGGCCCACCCTGTAGTCATAAGGGACTGGGACCCGAGTTGTCGCCAGGTAGAGGCATCAATAGAATTCCACGTGGAATTTTTGAATGAATGAGTGAATTCCGATATTTTGCTTTACACTCTCTCTCCTATGATGGATCCACCCATGGTGCAAGCATGCCCATTTTTGGAATATGGGATCTATTAGTAGTACTATTGGATAATCAAAATACATGTACGTTACTGAAATCAAACGCCTTTTCAACAATTAGCACGTAAACCATGCCAAAAAAACATTGACCAATGAATGAATGTCATTTCACCCGCAATAATTATTTTGCCCAATCATGTAGTGCTCTCTCAGCGTTCATGCTTGAGTAAATCAAATGCTTTTTATGTGAGTTTATTATGACGGAGGATATATAAACAGTCTGCAACATTTTTATCCGCTTTCGCCCTACGATCACCAGTATACGAGAAGACGTCGTCTGTTTCAGCAGAAGGAAACGCTCCGTAAGTAATTTTCTGTATTTTCTGTTGTATTAGTTCAATGCTGATAAAGTAATTTGTATGTAACCAGGTATCTCATATAATGCTACATTCTCTGGTTATATTTTTGTCAACATTTTTTCTTGTTCTGGAACTTGGAATAAATTACAATGAGTAAAAAACTTCATAACCGAGAACTGCATCTTGAATTTATCCTCGATAATTTCAATCTCCTTGCATTCATAATGGGTTGGGACTATTTTGGTTTAAGAACTGGAGGGTAAAATTGTACGTCGGGTTGTCTTGTTTTTCAGGCACCAAGATGTATCTTCCTGTAATAGTGGCACTTTTGTTGACGGGAGTCTTTGCAGAATTGTGTCCAGACAACGACAGCCCATTCAAGCTCAATCTGGACCTTCCATTGCCCATGAGAGAAAAGTAAGTGACTTCGGTAACAGTACGTTTCTAGGATATTGTGAAACAAGCACGCAACAACGTTACCAGATTATCTATTATTGCACAACGAATAATATTCATGATACAATTTTAGGGAGCACGACTCTTGTTTCAGGACTTGGCTGCTTGCAGTTGATGGAGACTGGTTTCCCTATTCTTACTTGAGCAATCAGACCGGCCAGGCGTTGGGTCTTGTCCAGGAGCTCGTATACGAGGCCTGTACCAGATGCAACATGAGATGCAAGACTATCTATCTTGCAAATGATGGAAAAACTTGCTGGGACCCTGTTGGACCACCCCCTCTACATTCTGAAGGTCTGTAATCGTAATGTAAATGATATGTGGAACTAGTTTAACTGACTGGAGGTCAAAACAGAACTCTGTTAGCTTGGTTAAAAAATATTCAAAATCCAGAGTGGTTTTGCCACTTTCTGTATTCTAATTTCCTGTTAAGGCCAGGGTGCATGTTGGGAAATTTTCTGCATTCTTCAATTGAGTCAGGTGTTATTTTTCAAACTAGAATAACTCCTTCCCCACATTGTCTACATCTTCCAGGTTTGCACAAAGAGTGCACTAATGTGCCTAGGAAAGCATTGTGAGAAGATTTGTTTTATAATATATATAAAAAACGAGAAAATTCAGTGAAAAGAAATTCTGAAAATTTTCTGAATTTTTTCACTGTATTTTCTTGTTTTTTATACACTTTATCAAAACATTCTTCTCATAAGCCTTTTCTAGGCACATAGGTGCACTCTTTGTGAACAACGGAAGATATAGACAATGTGGGGAAGGAGTGATTCTTGTTTGAAAAATAACATGGGAATGCAGAAAATTTCCCGTCATGCACCCTGACCTTAAGGTGCCATGGAAGTTAACAGGAAATGACAAAACAGAAAGTGACAAAACCATGTTGGATTTTGAAAAAATTTTGAACCAAGAAAACCTTTTCAGCCCTCTGAAAATGTGACTGAAAAATAGCTAAAAGTAGGTGCTCAGGAAAGGTCAATAAACAGAATCTTTTGATTTTTTCAGAAAATGTGTAATATATTGCTCTAAATGATACAATCTTTGAAATTTTAAAAAATTGTTTGAAACAATAATGGCTGTGGTAAAAACAATTCAGTTTTTCATTTTTTTCTAAGAATGATTTAAAGCAATACATTGCGCACATTTTCTGAAAAAGTCTAAAGATTCTGTTCAGTGACCTTTCCTGAGCACATACTCTTAGTTATTTTTCAGTCACATTTTCAGAGGGCTGAAAAGGTTATTTCATCATGTTTATGGTCATTCTGACCATTTCCATTGTGTTCCCGGTCATGTAAATGATATGTGAAACTAGTTAAACTGACTGGAGGTCCAAACAACTCTTTTTGTTGGTTCAAAAAATTTTCAAAATCCAGCATGGTTTTGTCACTTTTTGTTTTGTCATTTCCTGTTATCTTCCATGGCACCTTAATTATCATGGCACCTTAATTGGAGACCTATTGTCATTCTACACGTGGTTTAGATCTTTCATTTTGCACACGTATTTATGAACGTACCTATAGTAAATTTTTAAATGTTTGGAACTACTTTGAATCTAAAATATAAGCAATTTAAAGACAATAGAGAATTTTCGTTATAAGTTTTTTAAAAACTTATACGTATACTTATACTTTTTTTTTATTTTTTTTTTTTATTAAAATCAACAAATTATATACAGATTACAGAGAGTGTTGTTACGTTACATAAAAAACAATCTTTTTCAAGAATCAGAAAATGGAATCAGCTAAAAACTTATAAACCACATAAACAAGGTGTTTCATAATTTCCTAATTCGTCGGGAAATATCTTCTAGGACGGTAATAAAAAGGGCCAATGGCATACCATCCGTACCCCCTTGATGTAAAGCATGTTTAGTTGTGTCATATGTGTTTTCTAGAATCAAATAGGCTGATATAGCACACGGGTTTTACAGATTTATCTACTCTCAAATATATTTTTTGTAGATGATCGTTTTGAATCACCTTGTAGAAATAACGAAGGGAGAATTAGTTCAGCTAATGAATGAGTCGAGCTGTTTGATTGGATACTATGCCTATTCAGCCGATTAATTTTAATAAGCCATTCTGGTCAGTAGGTCCACACATATACTATGCGTTCGTTTGTCGTTCGTGTAGTGATTCACTTTAAAGGGTCTTGTTTATCGTACACTACAAGGACCCGTCAACTAGCGTTTAGTTTATCGTGTTCATAATTGACACTAGCAAAGGACATTGTATTCGCAGTCCCTAGTTGATGATGGAGCTTGACTATATCGGGAATAGTTATGCCCCACTTGGTACAGATTATGAAAATCAATTTGAATTGATTTTAGTTCGACAAGACCCTTTAAACTATAAGTATACGTATAAGTTTTTGAAACAACTTATAACGAAAATTCTCTAATATTGAAACAGAATATGTAAAATAGAAACATTTATACATGTCTTAACTTTTGTATATTTTAGTTTGTTTTGTAGTTTTATAGCTATCATATCTGTGGCCTCTTATGTTTTGATGCTTCACGGTCATGTTATTTTCGAAAAAATTAACATGGTTGAAACTCCCTAAATTACAAAAGGCCACCGCTTTGCTGCACATTATATACATAACTATCTGAAATATACAAAAGTTGGGGACTTCTACATATGTTTCCATTTTTCATATACTGATGCATTAAAGTCATTTGATTGCTTTTTTTAATTCAAAGTAGTTCCAAACATTTAAAATTGTACTGTAGAGTAGGGTTAAAATTATTTATTTATAATGTATGATTTATAGATCTAAAATATTAATTAACCATTGGCTAATAATTGAGACATATCCATGCACTCTTTGTACAAAACTGAAAGATGTAGGTAGGCACATATAATGAGCAATGTATACCTGAAAATAATGTGGGACTCGAACAAAAAGTCATAAGATTTCTATACATTATTTCTAAACACCTTAACATTCTCAAGCGCAAAAACACTTAAACTACTTTTGAAACTCTTCAATTCATTATTGAGTTATAATCAATTCAATTCCAGTTACACAATTTGAGTGATAGTACATTTTTTTAATATAAGTTGTAATGATTTGCATACCTTGATGGACCCCTCCCTACAGTGATTTCTTTTTTTGCAAACAAAACCCGAAAACCCGAGCAGAGTGTATACAAAACGTTTTGCTTAAACTATTATTCAGGTTTGTTCAATAGACATTTTGACGGATGTCTTGGCTGGGGTGCCACACTGTTCCGTGAAAATGTGCTGAAATTTTCCGCTCCTTTCCTGGAACCAAAGAGAGGGAGATTCTACACGCGAACGACATCCGACATAAAAAGTCTAAGTGACCTAGTTCCCGGAAAGAAAGTCGGTAAGTGTCCCTTAATAATCAATAAAAATACAAATAAATGACAAGCATTTACTATTATGGAAATAGAACCAAATGGCATGCATAAAATATTCATTCTCTCTTCTCCAGATACCGATTCAACAAACCTTCTAAAGGTCTTTGTGGCCTACAAAATATACAGTGGATTGCCGTGTATTAAGGTGTTAACATTAATTTTTAGGCTTTGTCGATGGACACTACTTGGACGTGTACTGCGGACGAGCAATCCTAAAAAGTCAGGGCAATTCACAGCTTGCCGGAGCAGATATACTCAAATACCCAACTTCATTTACTGACGTATTGCAGAAACTCAAGGTCACTAAAGAGGTTGGTCATTTAGCAATATATTAGTTTATCATATGACGTACTCGACCTATATTCTAGCAAAATGAACCAAATCATACTTGCTGTAAAACCAATTAACGTAAGCTTGTTACAGTATTTAGGAAAATAGCAAAGATTTCCTGTAAACTATCCAAGAAGACAGCTAGCTATCATGTCTCCACGAGACATAAATTGTTAGTCTCCAACTTCAAGTTATTGAGGACGATGTTCGACGGTCGGAGTTCGGCGTCTGTAACAAATGGCAGGTGGTGACATTTTAGATGTTAATGCATTGTCTTTGAATAATATGCCTTCAATGTTCACTCCTTACACAAAAATCATCGCATATGCACCCCGGAATAGCCGGACAACGGTAAAGTCAGATACCGTTGTCACAAATGGTGGACGTAACCGTCGCTTCAATTAGATTTTCATGAACTTTATGTTTAATAGAGCACCTAGACTAAATTCCTTTGGAACAACAATCAATCAAAGTGTCTTTATACTCACTGTAAAGTTAATAATGTTCTACCATCGAAATAAAGTCTTAATTTAATCGATCAAAATGAGAAACGGGACAATTACCATATGCCGTTGTCTTTCTAAATTACTCAAATTCAGATTCCGTTGTCATTGACGATATCGAAAACGCTATACTGCGGCAATTCACGACTCAATTTGATTGAAAATGGAATTTCATATGATACATTGTCACAAGAGCTTAATGCATACACAAAATTAGCGACGATAAAATCCCATTAAATGAGGACCAAGTGATTAAACCATTGAAGCGACGGTTATGTCCGCCATTTGTGACAACGGTATCGGACTTTACCGTAGTCAGGCTATTCCGGTGTGATATGGCAATGTCTCTCCTGCGCTTACAGCTAGACGTCGCTTTCCTGCCTGAATACCAAGAAGGCACCGAGGACCTGCTAGTTCTAGGCGGTGTACATAACTGCACGACTTCTGGCTTGGGTATCATGCACAGGAAAGATGTTGACTTCTCATGGTTTGGAAAATGCTTAGCCGAAGTAGAAAGAGTTGGACGATATAAAGTATTATGTGATCGATATAGTAAGTAGTTTCCAGATTCTTCTAGGTTCGTCCAAAAAGATTATAACTAAAGGTCTTAAACTGGATAGTTTAATCAGAGACCTATAAAACATATAATGAATGTCTGTCATTGAAATTTTCATGTTTTATTCTGGAGACAATCTCCAACATGGAAAAAAATATTTTAACGAAATATCCTAATTTTATGATTTTGATAAGCTTTTTTCAAAAACACTCCACCGTCAATAAAGTACAGCTTTTTGCTTGAACAATTGAACTTTTAACGTCATTTCAAAGATTGTTTAGCTTTTGAATTTTTGGCCGCTAAAGTCTTTAGCAGTGCATTAGGCAATAATAATCAGCCATAATTGTTAATATGGCAACAAATATATCTAGAAAGACTTTAGGCGGCCGAAAATTCAATAGCCAGACTATATTTGAAATGACATTAAAAGTTCAATTGTTCAAGCAAAAACCTGCATCTTATTGACAGTGAAGTGTTTTTGAAAAAAGCCGGTTAAAATCATAAAATTTTGATAAAATATTTATTTTCCATGTTGGAAATTGTCTCTAGAATAAATCTTGAAAATTTCAATAAGGATGGTTGTTCCATTGCAAATAAAAAGTAAAAACACAAGTGTATCATTCAACCTGTCTGGGGTACTAATTTTATATGAATAATTGTAATTGAATAATTTTTGTAAGCATCGGACCCCGGGCATTGGACACGTCCGCTTCCGCATTAATGTGTGGAAACATGGGATGTGAGGATTTTTTATTTGGATGGTGGTAGAGGTATTTTCCCTTTGGCACCAGTGCGTATACATATTTAGTAGTAGTACAAGCCGTATCAAATAACGCAACAAGTGGTTATCTCGTAAAATCACAAAACTAGTGATGACCACATTAATTTCATTCAATGTACCATAAACCCACGCCCCTCCTCTTTGCAATGATATGTCATTCATTGGTCATGGATTAGGGGAGAAATCCACACAGTTGCACAGTTGGTCAAAATCAGCTCTGGGCCAAGTGATCAGATATTGCAAAAATCAGTGCAAGGGCTAAGTGCCAATGGAAGTTCTCCTGACTTGACTTGAATTGAACTTGTGACTTTTTCTTTTGGAGCTATCCATGTTTTCTTCCAATATTGCATTGGGCCCCGTACACTGACTTTCGGGATGTTTATAAATTGGTCCCAAGCTAATTTTGGCCCACTTTGCAAAAGGAATGATTACTCGCCCAATATCAACAAATGATATACCATTGTAAAGAGGAGACACATGGCTTTATGGTACATTGAATGAAATCAATGCCGTTATCACTGGTTTTGTGCTTTTCCCAGATAACAATCTGTTGCGTATTTTGATACGCACTGTATAACTAAACGATGTTCAATGTATCTCGCTAAATGAGCATCTTTATTCTGGTCCTTTTGATTAGCATGTTAAGGAATTCGAAAAACTGATAAAAATGATATTATCAATAAATACCAATAATAATTCATGCTTCCGCTTTTCTTTTTTATTTTGATTAATTTTGTTTTTGATCTTCGACTAAAACATTACTATTAAAAATTATGACCCATGGAATGTATACGCCACCTGGGGTGTCTTTTTCATGTTATATATGAAATATTGTGTGATGGAATTTTGAGTTGAATTGAATTATTGTATAATTTTAAAATGTTGGTATTTTTCGATTTTCAGATTCTCAAAGATGCCTTCGTGTTGCACCTTAGACGAAAATAACGGTACAACGTCATACAAAAGTAAACCTGATGCGACAACACAACAAGGTTTACTTTAGCTTGGAATGACTCGTTCAAACCAAATGATGACCGTTAACAAGATAGATAATTGAATTGAACTTTATCATCATGGACTTTAAAGCCAAAATGTATTTGTATTAACTAGTCATGTTTACATGTAAAGCAAACACGTGCTCCAATAAAATAGTTAAAGGGTTTATATTTTTCAAACACATTGTTATGTTCAGTCTATTACGTTTCGAACATGCAACATCCGATATGTACCTTGACAATAAAGTACGTTATATTTTTGAATTATGTTTATTCCTGAATATAATGTATCTTTCTACAGAAACCACATAACAGAAAACGCATATACTACATTACTCTACAGACCTCTACAAATCTCTGCAAATCTCTGCAAACCTCCACTCCTTGCACTGTAGCAAAAAATTGAAAAATATGTACCAAGTGGTATTTTGTTCAGATATCCATTAAAAGCTCGTGTTGTAATCGCTGATGTTTTTCTCTTTTCATCAGACAGAAAATTGGTAAAGCTGCACAAGAACACAATATTGCCATCGGAACAAAATATCACACATTTCTCCATAACAATCTGATGATCCAGTTGGACTATGCGTTTCATAGTTTAAAGCAAAAAGCTGGCCAAAATATTCTATAGTTGGTATATTAATTTGTATGTAGAAGGACCCATATACCAGAGACATCAGTACAGAGGACGAAATCTAACCAATTTAACTTTGATTAAAAAAATGAAAAACGTAATCGCGTCAATGATGCAGAAATTGATGTTATGACTGAATATTGTTGATTTGGTATCAAACTTTGCGGATTTTACGACAGTTTTGATATCATTTGTAAATGTACCCCCAGTTCCACCTTTTTGGAAGCAAGCAACCCAAATGAAGCAAAATTGTCAATTGAGGAGCTTTACGAGTTTACCAAAATTTCATATCCAATGGTTTTGTTGTCTTTTTGGGAACGAGTGGTTCTGTCGCTCATTTCCTCTTTTCCTTTTAAATGAACCTTGACGAGTCCATTGTCTGTTCCAGAATTAGCGTGTCCTTCATTTTGTTCTGTTCTGCATAGTCGAGATAGTTCGATATCATCAGAGTTATCCGTTTCTTGTTGGACTGTCTCTAGCATTACTACAGCATATAGATATATACAAGCTGAGAACACAGCAAGCGTAACCATAAATTCTCCAAGCATTTGATTTTCCGGGTCTTCAATATGCCCTTGTACATACATTGCCTCATAGAGGGCGCTGAATATCGCTGGACTTACGCCATATATGTACCAAGTAGCCCGAGAACCTTGCCCAAATGTTTCCGGCCAAAGTTGTCGCAGTTAACAACGGATGTCGCTATGATGATGAACATACATGTAGTTCCTTCGGAGGCAAAAAAGTAAAAAACGCATAAAAGCCAGTTGTTCGAGAAGAATATCCTAAATTTTGTTGCCAACCACATAAGTGCGTACCCCATCGATCGTAGTGAGAATGTGCGAGGTGATATTTGTAACCCTTGGTCGAAATGAGAAGCACAATCCCAAGTCTCCACTTGAAGCTACATTTTCCAGTTCAGTTTGAGTATAGTTGAGTCTTTTTCAGGGCAACCGCATATGCATTAAATCCGAACGCAATACCTCCCATGAATCAACAAAGTATCCCTACACTCAAAGAAATATACTTTTGGAGTTGATGATTTTTTATTTTCATTTTCACGTACTGACAAAGTTAATCTGCATATGGCTAATTTGTGGTAAAATATTAGTAAAATACATCAAATTACTTCAAAAGTAAACAGTGTAGAACTTTTGAATTTACCCTCGGGCATACCATAGCATTGTCGTATGTTGTACGTGGTCACCCTTTTATTCTTTTTAGGTCTTCATTTTTCATTCCGAGAGAATTTTCTGCATCTAAACAACTGCCATATTTGACCAGATATCTCAATTCTTTTTTATGGGAATAAATAAGTTAAAACATATTTCACACATCCCTTCTAAGTTCTTTTTATTAGTGAAGTAATTTATGTTGCAAATAGAGGTTATTTAATGGGAGGCATGGAATATATAAATCTTATTCGGAGGGAAATATGATATTGGGCAAGGAAAATATTATATTGACCGAAGGCGATAGCCCTAGTGTAAATATAATATTTTCCGAGGAGAATGTCATATTTTCTCGAGAAAAAAATTTATATTCCATCACGACAATCATAACCTATTTATTATTCCACCGAACGAAGTACGAGGGGGGTATAGGAAAGCCGTTCGTTCGTCCGTTTGTCAGGGCGATACTCCTAACTCAAATACCGGTTGACGGATTTGATTCAAATTTTATAGGCTTATGCCTTATTGCGGTAGAACCTGCTCAAGAAGGAATTTTCAATATGGCTGCAAAATCTTTTTGGCTGTTACGGGATCTTATACGGAATTTCTTTAATATCAATTCTCTTCCCGGTTCATTTCCCATTGTTTTAGGTTCATTGGAAAGACTGAGATAGGATGCATAAGTGGGGCGAAATTTAACGCCGTTAACTAAGTATTAAATTGAAAAATTATCGTTTTTTGGCTTGCTCGAAACATCCACCTTGATTGATTGACATCAACCACGAAGGTCATGTGACGACTATCCGTCGGGCCCCGTGTGTTTCTGTTTTCGGGCGTCTGATTTCACCGCATTCGGGAGTGCCTGCGACGTGATCGTATCCAAAATCGATTTCAGAAAGGCCATAAAAGACTGGCCATTTGAATGGCAGAACCGAAACTTTTAGGACTTATTTGTAATCACCTCAGCTTGATACGAGTGAAAAATGCTGGGAAAATGAAGCATTGATCTTATTGGTTAAAGAGTTGCAAGCTCATTTATCAGGCCTCCTAGACTTCCAACAACGCGAACATCAGTTCTGATACCGCGAACTACGTTCCTTGCACTCGAACCACGAATCTCATATCGCGAACGTGAAATCTTATGTCGCGCACCACCATTTCCTTGTTTCCGAACATATTTCTTGTACCTCGCACAGAGATCCGTTACCGCGAACAATTTGTACATAATACATCCGGGTGTTTGGGGTTCCAAGTTACATGTATATACCAATATGCAACGGATTGAAACAAGGAAACGAAATTCAGTTTCTCCTCCGCTTTCGCCGGACTTTCGTTCCTTTGAAAAGCATGCAAGATTAACATCCACGCCCCGAGTTGGCAGGGCTTTTAAATGATGTGTCAAAGGACAGCACTGCGTCCCACAGTCATTCATTTTTGGGATCAGAGAGTATCTGCGCACGGTGTGGTGTAATAGGAGATGTCAACAACAACGAAAGTGTAGAGGTGTGTGATAACTGTGGTTGGACCAGAAACTGTCTTGACACTAGTTTATCACACGTTTGCACCTATGATCATGTTCCCGACATCCATTTTTGTGACTCATGTGGATGACAGAGAGACTCAGCTTATTTCAGGTAGATCTACCGTTTTTGTATAGTTAATCTTTTTTCTTACAATGGTTTTAGGTGCCATGGTAGTTAACAGGAAATGACAAAACAGGAAGTGACAAAACCATGCTGGATTTCAAACATTTTTTGAACCAAGATATCAGAGTTCTGCTTTGACCTCCAGTCAGTTTAACTAGTTCCACATACCATTTACATGACCATGATCACAATGACCATGGTCAGAATGACCCTAGACATGATGAAATTAATTTTTCAGCCCTCTGAAATTTGTGACTGAAAAATAGATAAAAGTAGGAGCTTGGGAAAGGTCACTGAACAGAATCTCTTGCATTTTTCAGAAAATGTGCCTAATATATTGACGTGTCGCAAAAAGGTCGCGCACGCATTGTTACACATTTTAGCTTTTTAACACCACAGAATGTGACGTTTTTTGAGAAAAATGTACACATATGGAAATCCTTTCGTCCTCCACATTTGCCTCTATATCTCAAAATATTTAAGGTGATTAACTCTGATATCGTATATGTATTAACAATAGGATAGGAGCATCATAAAACACGAATCAATTGATATTTTAGGTGAAATAAATATACGTGTTGCTGTGCTTGATAATAGGCGAATGGCGTAAATTAACCCTATTTTAATGAATTTTGAAAACCTTTCGTCCTCCACTTTTCCACATACAACAGAAAACACATACTTTTGCGAACAAAATCAACTTTTATTAATAAATTAGAGTTTAAGAGCAAAATAATCAGGTATGATTTATTAAAAATTGATCTCGCATTTTTTGTTTAATGTACACCTGAAAAGTTGAAGGTAACAAAAAATGAGTAAAAAAGGTAGCTGTCAACAGATTCTATTTTTCAAAAAGGGTCCGACATTTTAGCGCTCCACATGTCTTGGGTCAGATATCGTCCTGGTTGCTAAGTCAGGAATTTTTGGGGAACATGGAGCAAAACGGCCCTCATAATAATTTGAATGTGCAGAGGTTTTTCTAATCTGTCAATCATCAAACGTTCATGTTCCATCTTATGAAGGGATTATATCTCACATTTTCTGTGATTTTTCAGAGTGTTCGAAAATAATGTTGAGAGTAGGGCAAAATGGCCCATGGGTGGGGCAGAATAGCCCACACTGAAAGCTTCGGTTTTAAAACCAAGATTAATTAACTACAGGACTCGTCAACACACAATTTATCTCAGACGGTCAAAGATTAGACAGATAGGATATTCTTAGCCCTTACCCTAAAATTACGATTTAGTACTCATTTGATATGTTTTGAAACAAAAACCAAGTGTTAAAATCTTTATCGGGATGATAGATTGTTATTTTCCTGTATGTAAACAGTTAATTCCACAAGCCGTAATGGGGGGGCAACATTTAAGTTAAGTTTTCATGGCAAATGGTAGCATCTTCAAATTATCAGTAGCTGGAGCTACAGATATAGCACATCAAGTACTCTATAAAATCAGGAATATTGCACATAGGGTAACTCATTTCTTTATTATGATGCAATCATCGGCTCAAATGGACAAAATTGGAAAAAGCTGTCACTAATTTGGCAATACGTGTTGTAACTCAAAAGTCAGGTTTTTGTTTTTGTTGTTATTACGCAGCCCTTTCACTGAAAATGTCAATGCGCGTGATTGCAAGGTAGTCCCAATAATTTGTGTTTCCTAGAGCTTGAAAATACTGTTATCGTCAATGAGTGGATGTTCATTCACATGCATGAAAACTGGGAAAATATTTCTTCCGAATTCCATAGGCTATGAAAACACCTCCTTGGAATTTTACTTATGCGTAATAATACGAACAAAGTTACGGACTTTTTTTCGATCAGATGCGTGGTTCGCGGTAACGGATCTCTGTGCGCGGTACAAGAAATATGTTCGGAAACAAGGAAATGGTGGTGCGCGACATAAGATTTCACGTTCGCGATATGAGATTCGTGGTTCGAGTGCAAGGAACGTAGTTCGCGGTATCAGAACTGATGTTCGCGTTGTTTTTGCATCACAACCTAAAAACATGTCATGAAGTAAATTCGGAACTGTGAAACTGAACTGTGAACTGGTTTACGTATCGTTCTTCATATGCTGGATATTACGTAGGCAGCTTGTGATGGGCATTATCGAGTCACTTTTCGAAATGTTACGAGTCAGATATGCCCCGATGTCCTGCCGATTGAGTATTTTGTTCAAAACTGAAAACAATTTGCAATTTTGAACAAAATACTCAATCGGCCAGGGGCCGACAGATAAATCGGAGCAAATGTGACTCGGGCATATTTAGTAAGCAATTTGGCGTTTTATAACAAATATTCGTTTGGACGATATAACCTACAGGTACATATGCAGACAGAGCCTTTGGGAAATATTGGGTGCGGCATAAAAGAGTGTTTGGTGCGGAGTCAACGGTCATTTTTTAATTTAATTTGGGATATTTCTTAAACTAGGCCGTTTTGGTACTTCAAATATACTCATTTATGTGTACTTAACACTATAATAAGATTGTAAAAATAGCAGTTTAATACATTCTAAAGCTCCTACATATATATACAAAGATATTATACTGAATATATTTTGACGACTTTGTTTGGTTAGCTAATTAAAAAATATAGACCGAAGAGCAGGGGTAATATCGTCGAATACACCCCGCAGGGCTAGGCACAAACGTTTTCTGTACCCCAAACGACCGAAGGGATTCGAAAGCTTTTGTGCCTAGCCCCAAAGGCTGTATTCGACGATATTATACCTGCTCAGAGGTCTATATTACGATTCGAACATGAAAACTTTGGGTTTTGTTTGCGAATATACCCCGGGTGAAATGTTGACTTTACAGTTTATAGAAGGCGTGAATACAGGACTTCATGTTCGAATGACAAATTATGACTGACAATCAGGCAATTAACATACTCCTACTTAGAAAAATATATGATATCATTTTATTAGCTCTCTTGGCTTACAGATTATCCAATGTGATTATGACAGGAATAATTAATTATTTTAGAGCTAATGTCTATGATGGATAGATTTTAGAACTTTTCCTTTCGGATTCCATTTCTGTATACGATTCCAAGGTTTGAGTCTCCATGATTAACATGTACAGTGATGTCAAACCAGCATAATTCTCGTGGCGGTTATTTTACAGGTCTAAGCAACGGGTTGTATCTGAAAGGGATATCATTAATTCATTAGCATGACATAGAAGTTATCTTTATCCATGCATAAAATCCAATACGAGAAAGTCAAGTTTAAATAAAAGGGCAACATTTGAATAACTGTCTAACGCTTCATGAAGACTCGCGTGAAGCCAAAATTACTCTCGATTCATAAAGTTCATCCGAGTAATTCACTAGTATAGCGAGTACAACACGAGTTTATAACTGTTTATGGCATTACATTGAGATAATTACGCAAATCAGAACTGGATTTAAAAGCAAAATATCATCGCCCTGCATCACGCACAGGCAAAAACAGTTTCAGGATAATTTATACCAATAATAGTGGAATGCATAGCAAAAACTGAAATATTAGCCGTTTGGTTTTCAAAAGGAATGAATAGTTTAATTATAATATTTACTGTAATGTGTGCATAATGCTTTATATCGTCCAACTCTTTCTACTTCAGCTAAGCATTTTCCAAACCATGAGAAGTCCACATCTTTCCTGTGCATAATTCCCAAGCCAGAAGTCGTGCAGTTATGGACACCGCCTAGAACTAGCAAGTCCTCAGTGCCCTCTAAACCCTCTGGAAGGAAAGCGACGTCCACCTGTAAACAAAACGTCAGATCGACTCAAACAAATTAATACTTTGTGGAAATAAAATGATTTTTTCAATTACTGCTTTAAACTAGGCCTATTTAAAAAATCATATGAAAATTAAATGGAAAATTGATAAATCACAAACATTTTTAGGGTGTCCAAGTTGTGGATAGTTAAATGTTTTTAATGAGCAATGATCTTTTCCCATTACGTAATGTAAAGATTATTTGAAAGATGGGCAAAAAGGGAAAACCCTTTGAGGGCCTATTTGTGGTATTTAGGTGTTTAAGTTTAACGCCCCAGTAAGGAGAGTGTTCAAGTAGAGATTTCCTTTGAAAGGTCATCATAAATTCACACATAGCTAGGCAAGTTATGTCCAATTCCAGCCAATCCGAACACGCTATTTCAAATAACTGCATGCTATTAACCAACAATTCACCCAAGGTCACTCATTCTAGATTCTATTGAAACTAATGAAACCACCTCAAATTTTATTCTGGTCATTGCCAAAGACCTCAATCGCTACGCAATTTCGGTCTTTTAACAATGAACAGAATGAATTTTTCTATCATATATTGCGCCATATATCATAAAATCTCGGTCTTTATTGCTTAAATATTTGATGAATAAAATGTTCATATGACGTGCACGGACCTGGGGACAATTCGGGAAATGCGGGCTTATCTCAGCTTTGAACGTTAATCTCTGCCTTATTTAAAAAGCCAACTATGTGTTTTACATATCATTTTGAAGTATTTTTTATTTGCATTTCAATGAAATTATTTTTCCTTCAAAATTTTGATGGGATCCAACACATTTTTAAAGTTAAATATACTCCGACATCGTCAAATACGCTGTAAGACGTAACACTTTACGCTTACAGGGCTCGTTGAAATTGAGATAACTTTTCAAATAATGATCAAAATCCCACTTAAAGGTACAGTCTTATTGGGATCCCTTTAAGGACTTAGAAAATTTCATGAAAACGCAATTATAGATTTTTGAAAAAAAAATTCAAAATATTCTTGACTGATATGTGTATTTTCATTTTCTTGAAAAATATAGTGAATATTTTTGTAAAAGATATGATTTCTGGCCCATTTCTGTAACCACTCCCATCATGGCAGATTATTTGTGAAATGTAGTGTTCTTTAGAAAACGTAGTAAATAAAGCCTTAAAAACAATTTTCAAGTATTATTTAAGTGAATTATGCATAATGTAATCCCTACTGAAATGTATCCAGCAGATTTATGTGTGATGATGCATGATATATGGCATAAAAAGGGATTATAATTCAAACTCCCATTATTTACCCGTCTCAATTGAACACGAACCATGGTTCATTGAATGGACAAATTCACTGTGAGCTATGTTCTCCACCACTTTTATTTTTAGCTGAACAGATCCAAAAATGAATTAGGTAACATTTTCAGTTGCAAAAAAAGTGGTGGAGAACATAGCTCATATAGTTTTTTGGACTTCTTTGGTATTTTTTCTAGAACATTTCTGCCACCATTTTGAAAACAATGCCACCTATCAAAATGTACTGTTGTGTTGGATGTGATAAACAGAGTCCAGCTTTCTTTAGGAGAAAAGTAACTAAATCTAAAATTCTTGGCAAATTATGGAAAGAAAAATATCGCAAAGATCCCCCTGATAATTCAGTTATATGTTACAAATGCCGGATTACACTCACAGGACCCAAAAACATTCCTTGTAACCCTCCCCAACCAGCAGATGAAGGTGAAAAAACAGATAAGGCCATAAGAAGTAGATTCTTTGTTTTGCGTCCTGGCAAAATCCAAATCATGCAAGGGTACAAGGAAAACAAACACAAACTCAAGAAAAAACTCAAACTTGTTTGCCTAAGAAATGTATACATTTTATTGGCATAAAAAGGGATAACATACCAATTTGCAGTGATTACAAACACATATCTTTCCATTATATACAATATATTAAAACATAGCTATTATTCAAAGGTAACCAAAATAAGAAAAAGAACAATGTATGCTAAAGTAATCAACAATAACAATTTTGACCTGCATCAAGTTTAAATTGTCTGTTATTTCTGATTCGGACTGAACGAAGTGCGGTAGTACTTTCAGACTCTTGTGTTTGTTTTTTCTGATTTACTCAAAATCGTGCAAGCAAGCGGACGCAAAACAAAGAATTTACTTCTTATGGCCTAATCCATCTATGAAGATTATATTTTCATCCAGCCTTTACTTAAACTATTTTGATAGGAGTTGATCAGTATAATAAGTGACCAAATATGTGTAAAAGTATCGATATTAATCAAACATTAGGGGTCGGGTCAAAATATCGATGTCCGTCAAAAAACGTAATTACTAGTAATTTCGTAAGGGGGAGGGGTCAAACCCTGATTTCATTAGGTGACGGATATTGATAATGGGTTTCCCGGAAATTTCAATTTTCATCATTTTTGGTTTCGTTACAAGGGGGAGGGGAGGGGTTAGACTTAATGAAATTAATTATGTTTTTTGACGGACATCGATATTTTGACCTGACCCCTTAGAAACTGTAAATTCAACTTTCAGCAACTGTTCCTATTGGTAGTCATTGAAATTCAATAAATACTAATATGTTGTATCAAAGCTTTAGAATATTAATATCAATTTGAACATGACTGTATTCACGCCTTCTATGAATTGTAAACATAGTCAACATTTCACCTGGGATATATTCGCGATCAATACCCCTGGTAATACGGGTAATGTGTGACGTCATAATGGTGGGTCGTAGTTATGGCGGACCATGATGAATATTCGAAACATTTTGGTGAGTTTTCATGTTCGAATCGTAATATAGACCTCAGAGCAGGGGTAATATCGTTGAATACACCCCTTAGGGCTAGGCATAATAGCTTTCGAACCCCTCACTCCCTTCGGTCTAGCCCTGTGGGGTGTATTCGACAATATTACCCCTGCTTTTGGGTCTATATTTCTTAAATATATTACAATACAATATTTTGTCAGTATACCAGTATGTATTTTGACTAAAAAATTGTCAAACATTTCCCTTGTGTTAAGTATGGTGCAAATACTACTCAAAGGCTATTAAGATACCTATTCCCCATGGAAATCATTGTAAAGTCAGGTTTAACTCATGATTTTAATTTATTTAGGTAGGTTTAAGGAAATTACTTGATCACTATATTGATTTTACCAACTTGACCTTTTTGCACCCAATGACCTCATTGGCTCATCATTTGACCTAATTTTGAAATATTATCATGAAGTACATTTGTGAGGATACTCTAGATGTAAAATAAGTTTGATTCTGATGGGGGCAGAAAAGGGGGTCTGTTGGGACGGTAGCTTTCACAATTTATTCAATGGAACATTTGCATTTATGACGTCACAATTGCTTTACGGCTACATTTCAAATTATCTTATACGAACGCTTTTAAAATTTTCTGTATTTTCAAAATTGTGTAAGGTTTTGAAGGCGAATGGGACGAGCAATAAGTTTACCTTCATTTAACCTTCTAATTTAGGTCTGATTTGAAAGAAAATGTAACTGCACAATATTGTCATGGCGAAATTTACAAAACAATAACCGGTTTGTTTATTTTGCAAATAATATCAAAATAAGAGCTGGTTTTCGAGACTTGAAAAAATGTGACGCATCGATTTTTTACCACAAATTCCATACATATCAATTTTTACTAACGCCCCAAGTGGATTTCTTGACCGTTTTTCAAAATTCAAAAACATTTTAGAAATATTGTCCTCGAGATCTTGCTACCCTGTAAATTTTGTAATGATTAGATAAGGATAAAGTATTTTATTTTTAGGTTGACTAAACTTGTAAAAAATGTGACGCTTGTCGTTTTTGACGTTGTAAGGCTGTTTGCGCCCTATACTGCTGATTGTTTTGTTTTGTTTTTTTGACGCCATAATGTTACGCTAATTGTCCCCAGGATCGTGCGACGTGTATCAACACTTTTATTTAGAAAATGGCAGAAAGTTTGTATATTTGAGAAATGAAAAATCTCTAAAATATTTTCAAACTTAACACAGACTTTAAACAAATAATCTCAAGGTGTACCATTTTCGAAAATCAATGTACTCGCCTTTTTATCGACCTTTAGGTGTTGCAATAGTTCAGTGTATTCTGGAGAAATATAGTTACGAGTATCTTCAAGGGCAAGCTCTACGTCGAGGTTCTCCAGTATAGTCCTTCCACAGAACACGTCCAAGTAATGTCCAAATCTAAAACCTGAAAATAGAAACCAATATCCTTTGCAATTTTGTTTTGTGAGGCGAGATAGTGTGGAACGGTTGACAATTTCCGTTGTGGTTTTAGAGCCACTACTTAAGTTAAACAACACTAAAAGATTAACCACAAAGGCTGTAGTTTTTGGGATGCTCTTGGAGTGACATTGATACTCACCAACTTTCTTTCCAGGAACTATGTCAGTGAGGCTTTTGATGTTGGATGAAGTACGTGTGTAGAATCTACCTTTCTTTGCCTCTAGGAAGGGCGCGGAAAATGCCAGCACATTTTCACGTAATGGAGTAGGAGCCCAGCCGATACAACCATCGTAATAATTATTGAACAAACCTGAAACACATGCAAACTTTTCGATATTCATGGAAGTGAAAAACTAAGGACTACTTTGTCAACGTAAGACTATCAATTGTAACTGAGTTATGCACGAGATTCTTTAAGGTAGCAATGAAAAAGAGTGATAGAGAAAATAGAATTACTAAATAGAAAATAGAAAACCGTTACATCCGATGCCTGGATCACGTTTGCTCAGATTCATCGGCCGGGGCCCGGCCGGTTGAGTATTTTGTTCAAAATTGTATACCTAATTGTGTGGATTTGCAAGTATTGCCTTTAAATAAAACGATTGTTGTAAATATATTGATTATAGAGGAAAGTCGCAAACCTTTAGATTCAAGTGGAGGTGGCCCAATTGGGTCCCAACACATTTTTGTATCATTTCCAGTAAAAACCGTTTTGCATTTCATGTTACACCTAGTACAGGCCTCGTATACAAGTTCGTATATAAATCCAACGGCATGTCCGGTTGATTGGTCCAATGAGGAATATGGAGCCATTCCTCCCTCAACTGCAAGTAGCCATGTTCTAAAAGAAGAAAATAACAATTAAGATATTGACGATAACGAGTTGAATGTCAAATAAAACTATTTTATTTGAGCCTTTCAAATGTTTTTAGGTCTCGGGGTAGTCTTTTTCCATCTATGACCACAATTTTTGTTTCAGATAATTTTTCTATGTGCTTACTTTTCCTTCAGAGTCAATGAAAGGTCCAAGTTGATCCTATATTGGTTCTCTCTGTATGAACACAACTCTGCAGAGACGACGGCCAAAAACACAACAACTATTATGGGAATATACATGTTCGATTCTGAAAACAAGGTACATCATGGTCTGATTATAAAATCAATTCAGAATCAATGGGACTCTATAAGGTTGTAACAAAGTGAACAAGAGTACAATGTACTACTTAAAAGAGTGAAGAAAATAATGTTTCTATAAAGATGTAAAGAAAATGAGAAAATCCATTGACCTACTTTTTAAAAGTACAAGCTAAGTTCACTGTGAATTTTCTCATTTTTATACATCTTATAAAAAAATATTCACTACTCTTTTCTCTGTACATCGGTACATCTTTTGCAAAACTGGAAGATGTGGGCCTGGTATGGAATGACTTGTGTGTTCCTGAAAATAACGGGCAAATCCAGTGTATTGAGGATTGCATAAAAACTCAAATCGTACACACTTACCTATCTTATGTAGAATAGTGATTAGTGAATCATATTTGTACAAATCACGCGAGATTACGTGTAGTAAGTTACTTACCCTTGGTGGTTCTTGAAATAACGTCTGCTTTGGATTCGAGGGCCAAGAGTCGTGTTCTCCAGAACATAGATTATATAATATGTAGTATTTTCCAGCAAACAAACTCACTCTTTTCACTCAAATACCAATCAGATCTGCCTTCGTTATGAAAATTGAGAGCGCCCTATTGGCTAACAGAATGAAATCATGCATCATTGGAAATAAGAGTACAAGCATATTGGTTGGTATTGTGTTGGATTTATAATCAGTTGCCTATTCTATTTTCACGACGTCTCTTGAATGATACTTGTGATGCCTGGGTCACATTTGCTCCGATTCATCGGCTGGCACCCTGGCCGATTGAATATTTTGTTTAAAATTGTAAGTTCAGATTTGAATAAAGTACTCAGTTGGCCGGGCATAGGCCGATAAATTGGAACTCAGGCAAGTATTATTCAATTTGTATCGATAGGGTATCTTAATCACCATTACTGTATTAAGGCCGTTAACAATGTACAAAAGTTACACTCAAAATATAGGCTTTGTGTTGGAGGGAGGTTTGATGCCTACTGCGTAATTATGAACTATCACAATCAACCGCGAACTGAGCCACGAAAACCTAGATAAGCCGTCTGATCCTTATACCACTATAAGTTAAGAACGAAATATAAACAGAAGTTCTCAAAAACATAAAGCTCTTCAACTTCAATTTTCCTCTATTTTAGAGAAAAGAAACCGGGAGTCGAATCATTTGCGACGAGTGTTTCCTTACGGCGTATAATATATGGTTGGTGTTCTAAAGTGTACCTTTAATACAGATTCATCGGACATGTACACAATCTAACTGACAATTAACAAACATTAATTTACTCTTTTTAATTAATGCAAAACTGACATACTGATAGCCCAGTGCTGCTCTTTTGCAGATCATTAAACTATAATTAAAGTAATCACATGCTTAATGTAAATATGTTTTAATTAACCAATTAAGTGGCAGGTCACTAAGGCCTAATTTAGTCTCGATCATTCCGAATAATGAATATTAAGTAGAAGTAAAAATCATTTAATTTCCTTGTTTTACAGATATCGTCTGTAATGTCACGTACGTTACTCACGTAACGCACGCGTCGTGTAGATCGATGTCTGCCCCAGGTGACAGGTGGTCGTAAACATGCATTGGGTGGAATATTTCTACAGTATTGACAACTAAAAAGTCATGGCTTAATTGTGATGGCATTTAACCCTAAAGAGACGGGACATAAATTTTCAGCTAGGTATAAAACTCGGAACTCACCAGACAATCTTCACTTGAAAATAGTTTTCAACTTATTCAGTCATACAAGCTCGGGAAACTTACAAAGATGTACTGTTTTATTCTAATCGCAAGTCTGGTGGCGGTGGCTGTTTCAGAACCAAGCACCACCTATGGAGACAACAACAACAACGGGGGATACCATGAACGCGTCCACTATAGCACAAGCAAGAAGAGCTACGGAAACGCACAACAAAACCAGGGGTACGGCGACCCACACCAAAACCAGGGATACGGTGACCCATACCAAAACCAGGGAGGAAATGTACATAAGCAGTACTCCCACAAGTATCAGAAAGTAGAAGTCCGCACTGGGGGGTACGGGGATAATAACCAAGGGTATGGAAAACAAGAACAGGGATACGGTGCACATCAATCACAGGGATACGGTCAAGAACAACAAGGCTACGGCGTCGAGACACACGAAGGATATGGTAAAGCCAGTAAGTAACGTAACTTTTGATTTAGAAGTTAAAATGGGATAATGGTTCTTTGGCCTTCTTTATCCTGGTACAAATAATAAAGAATAATTAAGGAAAGTGTTTTTAAATCCTGAAGAGGGGTATATGCATACTTGAATAAGCAAATAAATCAAAAAGTCCATAATGAATGTTCTTCATACATATTACAATTCTTGGATATTTAACAAATTCACACAATTATTGTATTTTTAGCTAACTGCTACCAATGCACATACGCACCACCTAAATACGTAACAAAGACATACGGACACAAGTACGGAGGCACCAAGAGTGGATACGAAGGAGACAAGGTACATTGGGAATATTTCTATATTGTGCAAAATGTGTCGCATGAGGCTGATGAAACAAGTGATCCCTTGTATAGATCAACGTTAAAACATACGTGTTTCCCAGTTTGATTTTCAGTCATACCTTGGAAATCCAAGATGCGTTAACAAGGGTCAATGGAAAACTATGTTTATATTTGATGACCAATAGCTAGCTCAATAATTGATATACTTAGTATATATAGTACATAGATGGCGATACTGAAGTTAGTCAATGTAAAAACACTGTTTATTGATATTAACCATAGAATAGGCATTATGGAGATGAATTTACTAATCGAGCATTTACATACGTGTTTGTGTCTCTGCTTTCTGTTTCTCTAATGTTGCCGTTTGTGCTTTTTAAACTATGTACAGCACTACGGAGGTTATGTCAAGGGCAGCGAGACCAACAAGGTACAGCCAGGATGGGACAAGTGCAAGGGGCCATTCGACCACTACCAGGCAAAGGCTTTCGGCATAGACGTGTGGAAGTGCCACGATAACTGTTACGTCAGGAAAGACCCCAATGGACGTAAGATATATTTTGGAGCATTTTCTGCATTGCAGTATTTTCTATTTCACAAAAGAAACAAAAATTCTTTTTTTAATTTTGTAAAATCTAATGAAATTTTTAAATTCAGAAATGATTTAATGATTTTGGTCGATTGTGGGAGATAGGGTTGCAAAACTTTGTAGGGTAGCATTTACATTTCATTTTGTTTTTCAAAAAAATCAATTACCGTCGTTATGCTTTTATTTTATCAAAATAAGAAGAATGAATCAAGAATAAAAACCCAAATCGCATATTAATAATATTTCACTGCGAAACCAGAAAAAACAATATTGTAGGCCTATATCTATTATTTTTGCTACAGACGTGTTCAGAGGCTGTTACAAAGGAGAGTTCGGAGTGAACCCCAACATCCTTGGCTGCAGCTACCAACAGGGCTCCCTCTATTGCTTCTGCAAAGGAGACAAATGTAACAACTTCGCCGCTGGACAGAGCTATCCCCATTAAACTAAACGAATGAGATGATCACATATAATATAATATTGGAGAAGCGATAGAAGACAATGATCCACGGTCCATGTAGAAATCCAAGCACTTGATTGGATAAAGATGAAATGTTTTATGTAATGACGTGTGACACTTGGGAAAATAAAATAATTGTCTCATTTACGTACTTGTTTTGTGTTCGTACCCCATACGTTGGACAAGTGAACTTCAAAACACAGTTGGTGAAAAACACAAATAAACAATCAAGATTCGCGAGAATGTCGTTGTTCACCTGCTGTGTCCCTGTGGCCTCCTCCCCAAAGAAACCTAAAACATGGGCCTCTGAAAGTATTCTAGATCGCATGTTAAAGCCTAATTGTATTTGCACTGCTACTCACCTAGTTACGCTGACAATGAATATTGTCACATGATTGCATGAAGATCGTCGACGTAACAAAAGCGAGGGACTAAATATGTGAATTGCGTCTTCGTTAATATTCCAAACATAGAACCGCTTGCATATTCTCAAACTAAACTATCTTCCTTAACTTTGAGCCAAATTATTGTCCACAACTTGACTTATAAGTGGTGTAGAATCGAGAAATAAAAATATCTTACCGAAAACGAAGCCCTTAAGTTCTTCTATCTTGTTACGCTGACGTATCGTCAGCGTAACTAGGTGAGTACCAGTGATTTTGGCGATTTAAAAGAAGTAATCTAATTCTTCAATTATGTTTCGAAATATACTATATTCGAATTTCTCACCTACCAAAACTTCAGCTAGAAATTATCTAATATTTGGTTAATCCCTCGATTACAATCAAAAACATTTTAAAAATCAAATTCGTTTCTCATACGGATATGCGGCTGATAAACGGTATCAGCCGCACACGAGGATGATAAACGATTTTCTGAAAAATATCACATGGATCTCAATAACATCAGAAATATATTGCTGGGTGTTGTTGTGCAGAAATCACAATAATCGTGGGATAATATTATATATAAGTTATCTAATGACAGGGAAAATATGATATTAGCCTAGGAAAATATCATATTCACCGAGAGGGCGTTTCATCTTCCATCACATGAATAACATACGGGATACAAGATTTTTTGCATATCAATCGTGAATTATAATCCCTGTTTATCCCACGAATAATGTGTTATCTGTACAATAACAGCTACTTATATTTCTGATATTATTGAAATCTGTGTGATATTTTCCAGAAAATCGTTTATCAAACTCATATGCGTGTGATATCGTTTATCACACGCATATCCGTGTGATATCACATTTGCATTTCGCGCCACAATATTGTTGGAAATTAGGTCAGATAATTTATTCTCTTTTGAGAAAATAGGTCCGTTAATTTATGCTCTTTAAGTTTCATTGGTGTATTGAATTACGATTGTGCATATAATTTGATTAGAAGGCTGCTAAATAATGATTAAAAATGGTATTTATGACGAACTAGATCATGTACAGATATTCTAATTTCTAGTTTATATTGTCTGCAAATGTCCTGGAAATTGGATCAAAACATCACAAGGTGGTTGTAATCATGGGATAAACCCAATATCACATAATTTCTCGTGATATCATTTTATAGCCTCGTAGATATCAAATTTCAACACTCATTCGCTTCGCTCACTCGTGTTGATATTTGATATCAACTCGGCGATAAAAATGATATCACTCAAAATGATCTGATATTCTGTATTTATTTCCCAGGGAAAACATGTTATTATGGAATATATACACAATTCCCTTAATAGCCTTTCTTTGCTTAAAATCTCAGAATTCTACTTTAAGTCATTCCATCAAGCAGTTCTAATATTCACCTCGTACAAGTTGTATTTGATTATTACCGTTATTTCAGGTTGGTCTTAACATGTAAAAATAATTCCCTTTCAACGTGTGTCACTTAGATTTCAAAGTTATTTAATTTTTCACGTCTTAGGTACTTGGTGAATAATTGTTTGAACTGTTGTACAGCCCAAATTGAACAATCAAATAAACAGGTGATTACAATGATTTTATAAATATATTTTTTAGACAGCATATAAGTAATATTTCATACAGGTGTAAACCATGAATACATTTTAACATACTTTAGACACTTTTCTATAAGTCTAGATTGAGTGAGTGTGTGGGTGATTTTGAGTGAGTAGGTAAGTGGGTGGTTGAGTGAGTGAGTGAGTGAGTGAGTGGGTGAGTGAGTGAGTGAGTGAGTGAGTACATGTAGTTGAGACGTGAATAGTAAATGATATGTCTGTTCAAATGAATAATGAAATAATGGAAACACAACTAAATTACAGGCTATTATCAAACATATCTGACGTAGAATGAATGAGTTGCAATTGTCCACTTTCGTCCGATTCCAAACCTTCAAAGTCACTGAGGAACATATCAGTCCCAGAATCATCCAGTATTCCGACGTCGTTATAGCGACAAGTTGAGATTTTTGTCTCCTCGGATGAGCCGCATCTCGATCTCATCTGATTTTGATTTGAATATGAATAGTTGGACGTCATACTGCCCGTGGGCAACGCTGGCTCCCTGTTTTCGGCGTTCAGCGGACTGGATGTGTTCATAGCTTGGTAGGGCATATGGACATGGTTCATCGGTGTACTAATCTGTTGATTGTGCCCGACCTGTTGGTTGTATGCGTGGTGGGGTAATTGGTTGTGCGATAGGTTGTAACCAAGTGGGGACGGGGGTTGGTTGTAGTGATAAGAAAGTGGCGTAATGGCATTTGGGTAATTTGCATTTGTGTTGTAGATATAGTGGTAAGATTTTGGCAACTGATGTTCGGGCAAAAGAGTTCTTGGGTTTAACTGGAGACACCCAGCGACGAGATTCATTGTATTTTGTGAGAGTCCTTTAGAAAGCGCTTTAGCGAACGATACGCCTTCAGGTCGCAATCCGGTTTTTAGTATTTCTGATAATGCTGCAATGTAGTTTCTAGCGAGGCGGAGAGTTTCAATTTTAGATAGCTTTTGAGTCTTTGAATAACAAGGTACGTGCTCCCGAAGAACGTCCAACGCTTCGTTTAGACCATGCATTCGATTTCTTTCACGACTATTCGCTTTAACTCGCCTTATTCTTAGCTTAACAATCCTTCCTCGGGTCATTTTCTTCTTTTTTGGACCTCTCTTTTTTGGCACTTTGGGAATTGTATTGTCTTTCGCTTTAGGTTGAAGATCATCGGGTTGTATTGCAACAATGTTTTTACGATCTATTTCTTCGGCTTTTGCGGCAAGTTCTTCTAGTTTCTCTAAATCGTCTGTTTCCATTAGGTTCTCATCGAGGTCCCATTCTGGGTCGCACTCCTTGTTAGTGTCTACAGTGCCCTCAGTCATTGTCTTTATTGGCATCGCACCTGGCCTGTAAATAAACAAAAATATTACATAAGCAGCTGTACATCTTTCATAAACATAAACACTCTTTATTTTGTATATATACTGCAGTGTGGTCACTATATGCTGATGACTGGTTCCCTACTACAGATCACCCATCAGTAGTGTCTATGATTGATTCATTTCCCTGGCCATGTATGTCGACCTGATTGGTATCATGACTGAAAGTTGCGGTTTTGAAACTTGAGAGGCAACATTTTTGACATTTCAGGGATCTTTAAAATACTTTAAGTGGTCTCAAGCGCAAGTGCGACACGTGCCCAATAGACTCCCGGAAGCCTCTCCACGATTGTAAAGATCAAAGCTAGGAACCTCAATCGGGCATACCTGATACAATTTAATGATATTTTATCATCCTAAGAACATATGCAATTAAAGTATTATTGCTTTTAAATTGATACGTTCGGAGTGCGTTAAATGTAAACAGAATTAAAGGTGTACGGTCAAGTATATACTGCACCTGTATCAAACGCTCAGGCAGATTCAAGAATATTCACATTTTTTCTATTAGCACTGAAAAAATGACTCAGATATAAATGACCAGAATTTTAAAAATAGTGGATAAATGATGTTTTAAATTGAGCAGTATGTCATGCACTAATTCTCCTAATCCTGCTATGATGTCACGCACACAGGTTGGTCGTAAATCAATAGATACGACAATGACATGGCATTAGAATTAGTATAAATCCCATGATAACCTAATTAATAGAATAATAAATGAACTTTAATCACTTTTCTTTGCTCCACCGGGGATCAGGTGCCGAACGTGACAATTACTCATCCGTGCGTGTCTCGTGGGATTTGCGCAAAGTCCCAAAAGATTAACATAAAATCCCCGGGGACCTTTTGGAGACAAGAGTCTGATTTCCATCTCTTATTGTCACCGATTTTATGTCTTGGCATAATCTTAATCAAATGTTATTGGCGGTTTATTCATATATTGCATTTTGACAAAGTTACTTTAAGCTATGTATGTTTATACTAAATCACATCAGTATCAAAGTTAAAATCAAAATGTCAAGTCTTAGATAATGGCTTCATGGAAATAGGAATAGTTGCTTTAAGTGGGTTTTTATACTTTTCGCAAAAGTTAGCAAACTTCTCAAAATGAAAACAACCCATTTTATAATATTGATGAATATAATTTCAATGAATCATTTCAAGATCCTCTCAGTGAATCACGCACACCCAAACTCTGATCGACTATGTGTACTGGTGTATGTAGAGATATAGTTGTCCGATGATATACATTTGATGATTTACAAGCGAGAGACAGTTTGACAATTTAAAAAAACACAGGCCTACTGACATCGTTTTTGTCCCAGAGTAATATACAATTCATGTCAAGCGTTAATTCTATAGGAAACTAAAATTGTAATTAAGAAGAACAATTCTATAAAACATAGCCTATTAGGCCATCTGTTATCTAAAGATGTAGTTCATTTCCCAATACTTGCGTTATATTTGGATGAATCAAATTAAGCCATTGAATTATTAATAGCGCTAATGAGATGGCGTGGATGAATCTACAGCAATTTGACAATCAAACTTTTTCAGCATTTTATGGTGTCATTTTAACTGTATTTAATACAATGTATTGTATTTACAAAAATATCGCCCCATTGCATATTTAATTGGGTAGGGTTCTTGATTAGCTTCGGCTTATTTATTGTTTATTGTACTGCCTTGTTTTCAATACACATTGTTACTATTGAAATTGTATTTCATACCACCATTTTCAGATGCACAATGCTTTAATTGTAAACAATTCAACATTCCGAGATAGGCTCTGTGGCGAATATCATGTTTCGAGGCCACGCAGAGCACGTTCTATTAGTCAACGCCATTCAAATAGAATAACAAAATTTATAAAAAACATTATCAATAAATTCTTATAATGATAGTCAAAAATAATTAACAAGCAATTTTAACTGACTTACCTTTTTTAGGAAATGAAAATTTATGTCATAAGTGGATCTTCAGTCAGCATTCAAAGGTTAAACCATCCATAACCAATAAATATCACGTTCATAAGCTAATATTCGTGTGTGTTTGTGTGACATTCAATCTCAGCTACATTGTCATTATTGTTGTGTACTATACTAATATCAGTGCTTTAATGATTTGCTGGAGCTTCAGTCTCTGGAGATGTGTTCCAGTGTTCCCCCATATGTCACTGCTGGAACATTTATATGCCCCTACCAGAACTACTTAATTATTATGCAAATTTGCCAAGCACTTTCCAAGAGTCATTTTTATCGATCTATCACATCTGCCGTGAAATCACAACTTTTCTTACCACAATGTTGGGATGGTCCATATGTTTACCCCTCCAACGTTTTAGCTGGTTATTCTTTAACATGGTCTATCAATACCAAAACTGAGATTTGTGATATAATATTATGCTGCCGATTCAGTGATCATTTGATTCATTGTGGGTATGGTTAAACTCCTTAATTCCCATGGGGCATTTAATGATCACAAGTCCCATCCCTCGTTTCTGATATGATCCTGCTAATACATTTATATTAATCTATCTAATGATAACATAAAGTCCAAGTAGGAAGGCATTGTTTTATTGGCCCTTGAGGTTTGCTGATAATCCACTAATATAAAATCTATCGAGAAATATGTTATTTTTGATGAATAACCAAAAACAATCGAAAATTCCCATTTGTACCTTTTATTTTGATAAAGTAATTGTTCGTACTTGATAGAGAGATAAGTCAGTCTCGCTATACCGCCATTAACAACACACTAGAAATTTCCAAATCATTTTGCATTTAATGGTGTCTGTTGAGCAGTAAAATAAACAGAACAGGCATTTTCATAATTGAGAAAAACCAAAAATGAAGATGTAAAAATGCTTGGTAGCACTAATTGATCGTAGTAAGTGGTAATTATTAGCTCATTAGTGCACGCGTCTCGACATGGGAGCCCCGACCTCTATATCGACTACTTCAAAGATACAAATACATTTAATTTGTACGTAATAAATGATTGTTATTGTGCCTAGGATAGACAGAACAGAAGCATGGGCTTTATACAATTGTATGCAACCTGTTTCTGGGCACTCAAGTAGGGCGTCTGCCGTACAAGTGTTTACTCGTGTTGGAGGATCTGGTCGCATCCCTGAAATTTATTGTCACAAATAATTGTAAATCCAAAATAAAATGAGCGATTTTTTAATAGAAATGGTACACATATTGTACCAAAAGTCAATCCCGTAGCACAAATCTAGAAGAAAGAAATCAACGGTCTTTCGAATTTATTTACTACTAAAGTTTGCTGTACACATTTTTGTGTGCAAGTTACACGGATAGGACCGGACACCTTTTATTTGCAATTAGCACATTAGCCGTCACCCCTTATGAAACAACTGATGTTTGAGTGTTCTCAGACCTCACTCAGAGGCATCTGGTAGTCTCCAGTAGGCACCTCAGCTGTCCAACACTCATCCCATCGCAATGCACATTCTTGGCAATATTATAATCTGAGCAAAATATAGCGGAACCCGAATATATGATCAAATATTTAATTTCATATTTTCTCAACATAAATATTCCGAAATCATTAAAATTGATATGACGCGTTTTTTATTGATCCGTTCTTTCAGATTTTGTATCTTTTGCACTTGCTACAATTTCTTTCTTTTTAAAATATGATAGCGAAACGAGGGAAAAATTAATGCCATAGATTAATTCTCGTCAACAAGTTACTTGACTCAAACCAAAATTAATAATGCACAATAACAAAATGTGGGTAATAGTCTAAGTGCACAAGCTAGATGTGGTAATACTATGTGCAGATATGAGCAAGAAGTGGTAACTATCTCAGGTAAAACAATTTGTGGTAATATTCCCATTACAACAAGACGACAACCACTTGACGATACCGTGGAAGAACTACGTCGCGTGCCAACCACTTTACAAGCACTTCTCAAGTAGATTGGAGCTAAAGACCAAGATAAGCAAGCCAATGAAAGACATGTTATCTGGTCTTATCAGAAATGACAGGCTCTAGCATACGACCATTTCTTATAAACCACTCAACTCACTTTACGTCAAATTGATAAGAATTCATTGATCATTCCTTAATCTTTAACTTATTTTGTTATAAACTGAGGGGGTTTATCCAAGTAATTCACACGGAACAGGTTGGATATTAGCATAGAAGGGAAAATTGCTAGTATTGCTATCAAATATATGGAAGTTTCGAATTTAGTTTAATTGTGTTTTTTAACTTCAATGAAAGATCATTTGTTGTAATAAATGCCTATAAATCGTCAACTGAGCACTATTTTCTTTTTTGACATGATCCTTATAAGTGATCATAAGCTGGTGATTCGAAAGGTAGAAATTAGTGTACAATTTCATTTTTCAATCACTGATTTTGATTTCGATTTGTATTTTGATTTTTTGCATTGTCTTCCAAGAATGTGATTGTTGCAACATATCGACCAAACACTTAAGATACAATAAATCAATCTCAGAGACGTTCTTAATATGGGAATACATTTTCTTGTCTTTCACATTTTGAATTATTTATCATCCAGTTATCCCCCGATTACTCACTGTCGTCTTTAAAAAGCGACATATATGTGCAGTTAAATAATTCACACCTTATGTACTAGGTAGCGGGTTCTAATTAAGATATATCCATATTCAATGTAAACAATAATTTGTTGTATCATGCTAGATTTTTTAATCTTCAATAATTCAAACGTAGCAGATTTAGAAGATTTGGCAGATGTCTCTAATTACGGTGAGACCCAAGGACTCGCGCTAAATTAGATCTCTGTTCAAGTCCTGTCATTTGCTTGAATAGAGCAATGCATCAGTGGCATAAAAAGTATTGTCCTCATCTATATCACATATGTTCTTTTCGATGGCCGAGATATGTTTTAAATGACTTTTTGAGAATACGAGAGTATTTGAATTCTGTAGGAGATTAACGTTTGAAATCAATTTTTATCATTAGCGCGTATAATTGTTTAATTTCGAATTTCTAATAGCTTTTGGGGTTCTTGTACTACTTCGGGAGATGAATTGCACACTTGGCTTTATTTACTTTTGTTTTATGTGTTTATTGATGAAACCATCAACGTTTGCCCTAATAGGTTTTATTTCATTCAATTCGTAATCAAATACAAAATGCTTTATATTTATAATACTGGCTACTTCATGTTTTAAGTTGTGTTAGGAATACCGCCAGAGAGGCACTTCAACTAAATGCCACCGCATTGAGACTATCAGAAACAGGGAATTTTTGCGAATTTCATTTTTTATAAAATCCCTGGCAAAACAAGGACTTATAGCGAAGATTTGTAATCGCAAATTGGTACTCTTATTTCTCTAATGTTTATAATCACAAACGAAGATAACAAGTAGCACCGCACGATTTATGATAATTTATATTAGGATGACAAAATTGAAAAGTTTACAGTAAATTATATGACCATTGATTTTTTACTCTGACGTGCAGCAGGACTATTATATAAAATGACTAATGAATATTAAATGAATTGAAGAGATGTTTTCTCACGTGAAATATTCTTTGATAATTAATTAGTGTACAATGATCAATGCATAATTGACAATGATGCACGTGTGTTACATAAATGAGGCAAAAATTGCTGGGAAATGGGAAATATCACTTGAGCAATCTACTTGTTTAATCAAGTGACATATCCGGATTTGATTTCAGTGCCATACAGCAACAAGCCATCCTTCAAGATCTAGCATCACTGTCAAAAATTATATGGAATAAAAAGAAATACTTGGATCAATGATGGCAACAACCATGCAAAACATTCAAATAAATCTCATTGTATCTTATTGTATTTTTAAATTATAAATGCCATTCTAAAAGTGCTTGATACAAGACTAACCTTTCCTTACATGTGTAGGACGTTTGTATGCCTGTTAGGTGGAACGGGGGTGGTATCATAAGGTATTGGTGAAAGACAAAAAGAGCATCAAGGCGGAATAGGTTGTACATGTATGCATGACTCGCGATGCTGTCAGTTATTAGCTTCATCCCGGGGCCACATCAATTATATAACATTGTCTCCCGAAGGAGACGCCCACTGGCTCTAACTGAAAAACGAAGTCTTTATCATAAACGTAGACGTCATGCATTGTGAATGTGGTCATTCCCGTAGCCGGGGGAGTGTCGAACCTGGCCAAAAACTAGAGTGTGACAATTTTAGGACCTGTGCACGTGACGTCAATACGTAAAAATCAATGTTGAAGGGACAATGTCAATATATAGATTTGTTGAAGGCAATAGAGGTTTATTACTAGTTTGGCATTTGTGTAGACCCAGAGTGTAGGTCAACATCTACCCTTTGCATTCGTTCGACTTCGCTTCACAAAAGAGAGCTTCGTCTTCGAGTTTATAGCTAGACTCGCAGGGTGGTCAACATCAATAATTAATAAATTCAATAAGCTTAAATGTTCAATTGGAATTAAGTGTTTTGGGACAACATAGAAATGCTGACCCGATCCCTAAACATGTTATATATCTCTTAAAGGGAGGGCACTATTTGACCAATCACATGAGGAGTCCCCCAGATACTATTTCTAATTTTTCACCTTCTACGAGCAGTTGCAATCAATGTTTTGTCTTTTTATTAACTTCGTCTTATTATAACAAACGTCAATATTCTTGTTTTTAGTGTTGTAAGCATTGTTATGATCAATTCTAATGACACTTGAGTAGCCTGTCTTGAATGATAAGATGCATCTATAGATGTTTACAGAATGTGTATCTTGTACATGATAAACCTTTTGATTCGGTCTAATTCGGTAACCCGTTTTAGTTCGTGTTGTCATTTTTGTGGGAGGACGACAAAATGTTTATCTACTCAGTAGCCGTTCTTTTAATTGTAGCTGTTGCAAATGGCCAAGGTAAGGCGATAAACACATTCTAACTAGTTACAAACTCATCGATCACTGTCGATTATCGAAATGATCAGTCTTTGGATCTCCACTAACACTATCTACTTCATCTAAAAGAGGCGATTTGTGTAGGAGAGGGAAGTCCTAGATCCGTGAAATGATGTTTTCACCCAGGAAAGCGAGTACAGTTACGGACAGAGGGACAAGCAAGTGAGTAATTAGTACAGCTGAAACAAATGCGTTATTGTCACTGTGTCTTTTAGATTGCCATCCGGACAATGGCTGTTGCTGGTTAGGTGGTTGGTGCGGTAGTGGAGCAACAGACGATTGTGTTAATGGTAGATGGGACTACAATGTTGGCTGTGTACCCTACCATCAGGATTGCTGCCTCCCCAATACACCACCTACTGACCCACCAAGTCCTGACCCTACCTCTAACACAACTGCTCCACTGGAAACTGATCCACCACGTAAGTGTGACGTAAAGTGTATGTGATTTTGTACAATGAATCTGGGTCCACATTTGGAATTTCTCAACATTTCTCAATCCAATTGGATTTTGTTAAAAAAAACATTATATTTCTGATTGACTCTCTCCCGGAAGTAATTGAACATTTATAAAAAGTCGCTTCCTTCTGAAAACCAATGGAATGATGTAATTGACCTTTACTCTCTACCATGAACGTGATTAATTACTTGCATCGCTATATTGACGCTGGTCCAACTGAGGCCTACTCTTCTTGTTACGTTCACCCAATGTTCAAATGACAACTATTTCATTAGCACCTCAATCAAGCAATCCACAAGTCGAATTACTCCAGAAAGTTATCTACAGTGTATGTCTACTTCTTTTTATCAGATAGGTAGGCCTGGAGAAAAACAAGCCCTGTAAAGCATTGAAACCAATATAAGAAGCATTGTATAGAATAAATAATGTTTTATCGTAAGGTAATCTATAACAAAAATTACTGTTTTCAGTGCCAGACTGCGACATTAGAAACGAATGTTGCCTCGTGGGAGGTACATGCGGTGATGCCGCATTTGATGAGTGCCCTGGGGGTACCTGGGAGTACGGCCTGCGCTGTGTTCCATTTACGAAGACGTGCTGTATCGGACAGATCACGCTACCTCCCCCGGGACCAACAACAACCAGGGACCCCTCTATCACCTACCCTCCATTGAATTTAACAGGTAAGAGAAAGGAAGGGTGATCACTTCGTATATTAAGAATTATGTCAACAATAATCTAGCCAATATTAATGAAATAGGAGCATTGATACTATTGTTATCAGTGTAATATTTCGATGCTATTAATTATTGCTTGTTAATTATTGTTATTGCTTGTATGTTTCTCGCAAATAAGGCCCATGGGCGTTTATTTGAAAGAGGGGTACGTCAAATAATATTGCTCCCTCTTTTTAAAGGCCCCATGACACTATTTGAACTTTGAAATTTCAAATTGTATTGCAAACGTTAGTTACATGAAGGCCATGTGTCATCTTTACGATCGATTATATAGATATCCCTCGAAATAAAACGCCCCTGATTTGGAAAAGCATTTTCTCTTAATAAACGTCCATTTCACATTGCAATCAATTTTTCGATGTTTAGTACGTTTGAAAACGTCACAATTGTTGTGCTACACGTACATAACATAACCGAGTCACCATTCTCTTAGATTGCGGTGAACGCCCAGCTATGCCAGCGTTGAACCCAAAGATCCAGATCGTTGGAGGAGAAACGGTGGTACCCCACTCTTGGCCATGGGCTGTTGAGTTAAGATTCGATTACTTCAACTGGAACGACTGGAGGCATCACTGCACCGGAACATTGATCCATCCTCAGTATGCTATCACTGCAGGCCATTGTATTGCAAAGAGCAATGCGTAAGTAAATACAAAAGGCACGGCAAGCTACACGTTAATATTTAAAACGTGAACCTCACGTTCACTCTCACGTTCAAGATTATCTCTCCATTATTTCCTTAGAAATGAATATTCAAGTAATACATTCCAAATCTAAATGGGAATACCGTCTGCGTATACAAATCTGCCACTCTTTTTACTTGAACAGGGATGGCATCCACCAGTTCAGAGTGGTACTTGGCAGTCATGACCAGAACAACCCAGATGGTCTCGAAGTCATATCCGAGTTGGAGCAGGCATTTGTCGTAAGTTCAAAACATTACCTGTTATTGACTTATACTAGCCTATGTCAAGGCTAATTTAGAGGACCCATTCTGGGATACCTAAGATATCATTTTATCGGATTTCTGAATTCTTCGAAAATTATTATATTATATTTTTGCTACCTCCAGCTAGGTTTCAGTGATATACTTTACGACCCTTATATTAGGATTATCTCGGCTTAACTTAGGGGAGTTATTACCCTTTGCATTCGTTCGACTTTGCCTCTCAAAGGGTAGTTTTTAACTAGACTGTGCGCGCAGGGTAGGGAGTTATTTTTTTATCTGGGTAAAGGTCTAGGTCAGATTTTCTAATTTCCTAAAATAGGTCAACAAATATTCATATTTTAACCCGAGATTTTGTATGCAGATTGTTGAAAGTATGTTCATAGTGAAATCTTGCCTCGGTTTTGGGATATTTTTTTATTTATTAAAATCATATAAACATATATATATATCAGTGATAATGACACCCTAGATTCGAAAAACGCTCAAAACCGTCATTTTCAAATCTACCATTTTTGTTATTTTATTTTCTATCGTTTTTAAATTTGAAATGAAAGTTATATTTTATTCATGTTTACTGGTTGATGATTTTTAGCATGAAGACTACAGCACCTCCATACCTGGCTCCCCTAACGACATTGCTCTACTAAAGTTGGACGAGCCCGTAGAATTGAGCAACCGTATTGGTATCGCATGCCTCCCCGGGTACAAGGACCAAGTGTTTTCACCCACAGATAACTGCTGGATCGCGGGCTGGGGAGAGACATTAGGTAAATGATTTCTATCCTTTTTTATTTTCGCATTATGGCCGTTCCTAACAAGGACAAGTTGAGTCATAATATCATCAACAGTTTATTTCATTGTCTCCCGAAGGACCAGCTAGACTCTGGGCGAGATCCAATACCTACAACTTTAAACCCTACAACTAACACAATCGCCGGTCCGTATTTCATAATTGTGATACATTGCCTCAGGTACTAGTCAGCAGAATGTATTGACAGAAGCCAAACTGAACATTACAACCAATGAGGAGTGCGACTACAAATGGGAGACGGGGTCTGGACGTGTCAACCTAATCAAACCCGAGCACATCTGTATCGGCAATGGGTTCCCAGGTGCCTGTAACGTAAGTATTACATCGTTGTATGGGTTTCGATATATCTCGATACACACTTGTAGTGTCCCCGTTTCTGGACAGTTCTTAAATAAGTTATTTACAAACTGATTAGTGCTGCACTATATTACATTATTCTTCATGACAATACACTACATTCTTTCAAAATCATACAGTTTTCACCATTTTGAGCACTTATTTTCAAGTCATTTAGAATCAAAATAGTCAAATTTGACCCCCGGAATTTTTAAAAACTGAAACCCCGCTTGGCAAAAATTGGGCTAAGGGCCTAACACAACAACACATTTACTTACAGGGCGACTCGGGTGGCCCCCTGGTGTGTGAGAAAGAAGGCAAATGGATTGTTGCTGGGGCGACATCTTTTGGTGCAGCAGGTTGTCAATCTTGGAATGCTCCCAATGTTTACACAAGAGTGTCTTACTATATAGACTGGATCAGAGAGAAGATGAACCAAACGTAACTTTACATCAGCTTCTAGTCTTGCTAGACCATATTGATGGCTTTGGTATGAACGTTTTTGCTGCTTTCATCATGGGCAAATGTGTTGAAAGATACATTTGTGAAAGTATGAGTTGAGATATTAAAATTGACACATTTCCCATTTAAACACAGCCATCAAAAACATCCTTTGGAAATCGCAAATCCCTGAATGAGGAATGAAGGGAACTATGAATGTACCTTAATGACCAATAATTTTTGAGGAAACAAAATACTAAATATTATTTCTAATGTGTATCGTATATAAAAATATAATGATTAATGATAGAAATGACATTGTTAATACTATATACATGTTAAAACTTCATTAGAACAATTACTTAAATATACACTACTATTCTAGTACAAAATTACAATTATTAATCTGCAATTGTACATGTATCGGGCAAATTGTGAGATCTACAATAAGTATTGATCAGACACATGTTATGGACCAGGTTTGATGCCAATGTCTTTTAAAATGCATAAGTGATAAGGAAGGGTTATTACTAGTGATTAGAGAATGGAAAATTAGAGAATGGAAAATTACATTACAAAAAATACCTAAAACTGCTTTCTAATATGTTTACTTCTTGAATCAACTTATTTTATGTTGTTATATGAAAAGCTTTTCTCGAAATAATTTTTTAAGTGACCGACAAACTTGCTCGGGTGGATTTTTTTATTTCAAACAATCAGTATATTCATCAAATCATGATGGCTTAATTTCTTCATCGTTTCGAACAAAAAAACGAAGAACCTAGACAAATAGCCAGATTACTTTATCAAAAAAATTTAAATATTTATTATTTCGTTGGCGAAAATTCAAAATGTAAAATATCACTGTTATTAGGATACAAGAGACACACACCCACTATATTTATGATCGATTATTAATCTAATAGTCATCATATTTTATTTATTACGATATACTGATATAGTAGGATTTTTATGATGGACATGTCCAAGGAAAGCCCACATAATTTCCATTGTGGGTTGTGTCCAGCTGATATATTCTCTCCATCCAAAAGTTCATCCTGGCTGGCTGATAGTTGGTTCTTGCAGTGATACCAGTTCCAACCAGTTCCAGATGGTCTATACCAGTACATGTCACCTTTGGCCAGACAACTCGGCCCTCACTATTAGGGTCACTGTAATTGATTAGATATGACCTAAAAGGGCTTATTCAAAAACGAAATTATTCAATAGATTGCGAAAAATGCAATTCGGTTTGAATATTATTTTCCTAAATTTTTCAATGAAAATATTCAAAACCTCGTGATATTGAAACTGAAAACATGTTAGTAAATATTTATGAGAAAATGCGCTATTAGTTTGATTTGTGTTGTTGAATTGTATTGTATTGTATATTTATTGTAGACTACGGCCCACTCTGATAATTGTAACTCCTTCCTTACATGAAAGGTTACACATTCCAACATATTTCAAACCATCTGTATGATTATACTGGACACTTTCTGGGTAGTTGGACTTTCTATAGGGGTGGCAGACGGCCCTCAGACCAATTTATACCCCTACCCCCAAAAAACCATGGGGGTACTTTAATACCACCCAATAAAAAGAATACTAATGCATGTCAGATATTCTTTGTTTTATATAGGGTAGGGCATGTTATGGTTAGTTAGTGCCAGAAATTTCCAATCTCTAACTTATATGGTTACCATAGAAACAGTATTTATATCTCGAAATATTCTCAATTTGACCCCCTCCCAAATGTGTCCCTTTGTTCTCAAAGTGAAATATTTGCAAATCTGTTTGGATTTTATGGCTGCTACTTTGTCAAAGATTGTATCAATGTGTATATTTTAACATTTAAACACTGAAAAGTGTTCATAATGATCCTATAAATCAATAATATTTATCACATATAGTCACACATAGCTGCTTTTAGGGAAAAGTGGGCGTGGCACTTTTTGGTACGTGTGTACTTGTTGCAGCATTAAATGAAAAATACATATTATACTAACAACAATTGACATTTAATTAGCATCTACTTATGTTGTGTAACATTGTAATATGTTCATTATCATTATTAGACACTTTAATATTTTATATAAGTGTTATCCTGACCCTTCCCTTTATCCCTACATGCTTCAAGGTGGGCATTACCAATCGTGTCAAGTTAACATTTCTGTTTGATTTATTTTTACCATAGACAAGGTACAAAAGCTTTACCATGAGTACTGACCTTATTAGGTGCTAAACTGATGAATGGATAGGTAGATGGCAGCACTTGTGCTGGTTGGACTACACGCTAGCATCTACCATAGACACATATTGATTTACCATACTTGTTATTTTGGATTAAAGTAAAACTGCTTTCGCATCAAACTTAATGAGATTCAGATTGTGTTTGAAACTAGATGATCTTCAGATTTTGTGTAAACCTTAAATTCATGACAATCAAAAGAATTCAACATTTAGGAAGTCAACATTAAGATTTTTAACATCGTCTCAATGAGAATTTAGCACAACCTTTTTCAGAAAGTTAAAGATCATAGAAAATTGAACATAATCAAAGTTCCTCAGTAGAACATTTAATCTCCTAAAATCACATTAAAACTATATCAGCAATATTTCCAAGCTAAATAGTATAAAAACTTCTATCACATCATTTGCAACGTTTTCATTATTCGATAGTTCAACCCTATATGAATTATTGATGATTTTAAAAGTGCAAGGAATCTAAATGATCAGGGAAGCCAGTGATATGTATTTGCCTTATTAATTGTTGACTTATACAATGAAATAGACTTAGATGCAAGTAGAAATAATCTTGCTTTACATCATTAAAAATTCAAAATTCAGTCAAATAAGTGATATCATATTTGAAATCTTCATGAAGAATTACATTTCTTCATGCAATAAGTTAACCTTTTAGTGAGTAGTTGTGACTAATGTAATCATGCACTTATATACTGTAATTTGTCAGTAAAAGTTATTTATCCTATACTTAGTGTTATAGGTAAATAAAATGCATGAATATAATTGATACCTTAGGTGAGTGGGGATATACATGTACTGCATATCCCGCTTTATCCCATACTTGGTCGTGTTTCAGGTACATAAAGCAGGTTTGTAAAAACTTATATTTTCATCAGCGGGCAGATATAGCTTTACGTTCTGTTGCGAGCGGGCAGATATAGTATATCTGCCCACTCCGTCATAATCGCCCTTGGGCAGATATATTATATTTGAATCGGGATAGTTCCAATATCCTGAACCTCATATAGGATAATCTCTATGTATCGCCAGGTTTATCACCTGCTCAGTAATCCCCTGCAGGAATTTCATTCTGTGCAATTTCTCATATTTTCGTATATTAGTATATGATAAATAATTTTGGGTACAAGATATAACCCTTGGGAAATACAATATTCTACCCTCAACCCCTTAGGGGAGGTATATTGTATTTCCCTCAGATATATTGTATTTCCCTGTATTAAAAACTTCCCATTAATTAAACCTCATATATAATGCACACCATTTTAAATATGAATCAAAACTATGAATTAGTGATATCCATGTTTCTAACGAAAGCATGAATTTGAAAGAAACAAACATTCTACTCATATGGTATAAAGATATTACCAGTTGTGTCCATTTTAGATTTGATTGAAGAACTTCATTAGAGGCAATTTTGAAATTACAATATATTAAAAGAGGCTCTGTTGCTTAGATGGGAGAATCAATTAGCTGCATTGTTCAGTTTATGACAAAATTGATGTTTAGTGTTACTTTCATGAACACCCATCCTGTTTAATAGCATTTGGAATATAGTAGTTTGTATATAGATGAATTAGATAAGGCATTGTCGAGGAAAAATATCCAACAAGATTACTAGTTTGCTCATGAAATTAGGCATACTCTAACTTGAAACAATTTGTAACACTCAATTTTTGGGGTTTGGAGATGGAAGTAATAATGATGAAAAACAAGCAATTTTAAAATATTTATGTTTTACCCAAATTTTTAAAGATTTTTGTTAGCCTTTGTTTTGTCTGTTTTATTCTCAAATAAATCATGGTCATCAATTCTATTGTGACAATATCATCATTTACCAATTTTAAAATTATATATTACTGGTTAGAGAATGTGATTTCTTACTTTAGGTTATATTTATATCCCGATTTATATGTATAATAATAATTGATGAAGACGAAGATTATCCTCTATGAGGTTCAGGGTATTGGAATTATCCCGAGGCCAATATAATATATCTGGTCGAGGTTCGTTGGTCCCGAGGGAAGATATTTTCTATTGGCCAAAGGCCTTAGGTCCTGAGGGAAGATATATTATATTTGCCAAGGGATAATCCTAATAGCATGAACTGACTATAGGATGATCTGTTTATCCCATATCAATCATTCTTATCTGGTTCACATTGTTCAATTGGCCAGAGTTAGAAAGAATACAACCACATGAATGTATTCATGACTAATTTTGTTTTCTTGGCCTTAGGAGGATTCTCCTGTTTTTTTAAGTATTCATCCACATATTCTCGAATCATTGATTATTAACATATGTATTAAGTATGCTACTTCCCTCATTGCTAATCATACACAAATGATGATTATGACTTAGTGGGCATGTGTAATATATCTGCCCTCTCGGGCAGGGACATTAGCTATATCTGCCCGCTGATGAAAATATAAGTATTTATAAACCTGCTATATGTATCTGAAACATATCCAAGTATGGGACAAATGTATCTACTTTGATTTCATACACTAAACCGATTTGTTTAGGAATTATATGAAGTATTTCAAAAACATATACCGAACCACTATTGAAGGAATCATTGAAAATACAGCATATCAGAAACATGTGTAAATTGTTTATCTTGCAATTATTTTGCTATAGAAATTATACTGTACCTTCCAGAGAATAGCTTTTTTGTTAACTATGAGCCAATGAATGAATGGATGCATTTTATTATAACTGCAAAATGATGCTCTATGCAATTCATACGAAAAATTAATTTTGCCATATTAGAATCAAGCATAATCTTTAATCCATTGGATAGATCATGCATTGCCTGATGTTGAGGTATTGATAAAAGAATCAGCAAGTGTCTGACAAAATAGATTTTAGTGTTATGTATTAGGCAAAATATTAGGAAGGGTATAAATGGTCTCCAATCTTTCTAGTTTTGAGTATTACGTCTTCTTGCTTTGATTCAAATTATCCTCGGTCTCTATTTGTAACCCATCCCTCCTTCCCCATTTAGGCAATGGATATGAAGATGATTTAGAGGTTATGTGAAGGATACTAGGGAAGGGTTGATAGCCAGAGTTAAATTAGTTCATTTAAGTTTAATCATAAATGTTATGCAATTCACACTAGCATCAAATATCATATCAAAAGGATTGAACTGTTCATTACTTTTCAATTGCAGTAAACATGGTAAAATGGTTCTAAAAATTGAACATTGTTGAACAAGCATAGATGACTTGGATAGCTCTAGATGACTTGAACTTATTCATTCATATTCTAGGAACAAGTCAATGAATAAGTAAGACTTGACTCTTGACAGGCTTTAAAGACAGGGGACCCTATAAGACTTAAACTAAAAGTTCATTTGACCATTGATGACCTATGATAGGGAAGGGTCAGGATAACACTTATATAAAATATTTAAAGTGTCTAATAATGATAAAGAACATATTACAATGTTACACAACATTAGTAGATGCTAATTAAATGTCAATTATTGTTAGTGTAATCTGCATTTTTCATTTAATGCTGCAACAAGCGCACAAGTACCAAAATGTGCCACGCCCACTTTTCCCTGAAAGCAGCTATGTGTGACTATATTTGATAAATATTATTGATTTATAGGATCATTATATCAACTTTTAAGTGTTTTAGTGTTAATGTAGACATAATATTACAAATTTTGACAAAGTAGCAGCCATAAAATCCAAACAGATTTTGAAATATTTCACTTAGAGAACAATGGGACACATTTGGGAGGGGGTCAAATTGAGAATATTTCGAGATATAAATACTGTTTCTATGGTAACCATATAAGTTAGAGATTAGAAATTTCGGGCACTTATTAACCATAACATGCCCTACCCAATATAAAACAATGAATATCTGACATGCATTAGTATTCTTTTTATTGGGTGGTATTAAAGTACCCCCATGGTTTTTTGGGGGTAGGGGTATTAATTGGTCTGAGGGCCGTCTGCCACCCCTATGGAAAGTCCAACTACCCAGAAAGTGTCCAGTATAATCATACAGATGGTTTGAAATAGGTTGGAATGTGTAACCTTTCATGTAAGGAAGGTTGCATTTCTAGAGCACTTGTACAGAATGGCTTACAGTCTATTGGTCATAATAAAGTGGATTTAGGATTTTAAGACAGCAGTATTCACACATAAATCAATGGGCTAGATGTGAATAAGAACAAACTGGAGAAAATAAGTCAAGTCATTGTGCAAATATGGTTGTTAAGGGGTTTTCCAGACCCCCCCCCCCCCCCTTGTATGAAATAGAAGAAGTTTTACGCACATGAGGAATAATGGCAAAAACCCATACCCTGTTTTAGCAAAATTTGCCCAGTATGTCATGACACTAGAGCTTAGTGTCCTGCCTTCATCGCTGTAATCTCTTCCGTCTGGGTCGGTGAATGGATCCCCCTCAACATATGGGGCCTCGTCACTATGCACAGCAGAGGTCCAAGCTGGTCGGGTGGAGTAGTTGGGTCTATGGTTGAAGAAGTACATGTAGGTGTCGGCGTGTACTAAAATGACAAATATACCACGATTCCTCATCGGCTTGGAAATACATGACACTGATGACGTCTGACAGCTTCTTCACACGATTTTAGAGTTCTGATGCTGTTTGTCCGTGTGAAAACTTACAAAAATAACGTATACCTGCATGTTTCCTTGCTACATCATTAGATGGTCCTAAGTATCTTAGATCACCGACAAAGTTTGAATAATTATTTGCCCAGATAGTGTTCCATGGCAGAAGCTCTGCAGTCGTATCATTGTCATATTCAACATCTATGGCACCAGGTACATACAAAGCCATTGCCTCATTCACAATTTCCTCCGTGTTGTCATGAAACATGCGTTCTGTATAACTAGTGATTAGACCTCTAAAATATGTATACCTGTATGTACTAAATGCATCATCCTATTATTAATTCAACATTTTTCTGGAAGAAAATTATGTTATTTTATTTGTAAATCCATATACTGGCTAAATGAGCATCCAAAACTTCAGATGATGACATACAGTATGTTGATGAAATACACCAGAATGACGTTGAGACAGGATTAAGAAAACAAAATGCTAATGCTAATCCCGGCAGTTCAAATTAGAGATTTTCTTCTATTTTTATTTTGAAATTTCTTCCTTACTTTGAGGTAAGCTATATTTTGTACTTCAGAGTAATTCAAACGAAAAAGTGACGCCCCCTGTTCATTTTGAAAAATTCTCTTATGCAGACATCCACTAAAATAATGAACTACCTGATATTTTCACGAGTAGGAGGAGTCCAACCACTAAACGTCCATCCTTCATCCCTGTTGAAACCCAGTATATATGGAATCTTATTGAATCTTCCCTGGTTGTACAAGTTGATAGGGTAATCAGGCATAAAGGTACCATCAATAACTGGCTCAGGCCAGACTCCTGCTTCGTGTCTTAGTATAGTTTCCATGTCGAGAAGTCTCATACAGGCCACTACGAGACCAGGGTCTGTATCCACACAACCTGTGACAGTGTATGTTAGGTTTATCCATTTCCAATATTTAGAGTAAAATACATTTTTAAAATGAATGACACACAAAATTAACATGATAAATGTTAGATGTTCGATGACTGTGTGAGATGTACAGTGAAATAATCTTTGAAAATATTGTGGGTCTTCTCTGACTCATATACTTTACTTTTAGACACTCTTATGAGCTTGCCTAATATATGCCTATACCTAATTGTGAGAAAAATATAAATATTTCTAAATAATATATGTCGGGTGCTTTAGTTCCCAATAGCCTTAAAAAGAAATGAATATTAAGAAACATATTTACAATAGTTCACATTTAATTTCAAGGTATTTTAACCGTATATTGCTTATTAATTTTACATGACCAAATAAATGTATTGATTTTAATTTAGAGAATAAATATTTTTTAATAATAAAAAAATTGGCCGAAGTACCATACACGCTGTAAGATTGAGGTGGAGCATTCCATAGCAAAGGTGTTCATCCTTAGGTTAATGTGAAGGCGCTAGGCCTAACAAACAATAACAATTTACCTACAGAAAGCGCTATCAGGTCGCTTTTAGGTGTTTCTATGAAATATGGGTTCACTCTGTTGGCTGCTATGGCAACTCCACTCTGAGATATCGCCCTGGTAACAAGTCCAGCATTCATTGGAGACAGAACTTGGGCTGAGACACTAACACCACCTATATAGTAGAAATGGAGGAATTGGGAAAATATCATCCTTCAAGGACAGGGCTCCTAAAGGAACAAAATAAATAGACTAGATGCGAGTAGAAATAATCTTGATTTACGTTATTAAATATTCAAAATTCAGTCAAAATGATGACATATTTGAAATCTGCATGTAAAAGTACATCTAAAAATATGTTTTCGAAAATTGTCTATCAACTTTGAAAATTTAATTTTTTTTGAAAATGTGACTTCTTGTTCGGGTTGATTCCTCATAGACCCCATGTTACAAAATCACAAAAGGTGAATTATCTTCTCTTGTATTGGATAGATAGCATTTTCTTTTACTGGACATATTTTAATTTGCATAACTATTAGATACATGAGGGTTATATGAAAATTGAACCACGCAAATAGATGTAATTTAAGTTAAAGGGAACTTTCTACTATACCCGCCATGCTATCTGACCCGAACGAGCCACCTGGTGGTGAATCTGGTAACTACCTACTCGCATCTGCGTTATTGCACTTGGAGGATGGGAATGCACTATAAATTCAAGTTGCATCGAATGGTGTATCTAACCTGCACTAGCCCCATAGATCGTGATCCTGTTAGGATCACCCCCAAATGCTGCAATGTGCTGTCTCACCCACTGAATTGCAAACTGTTGGTCCAGAAATCCATAGTTGCCTGGCGCCTGAGCATCTCCAGTTGTCCAAAATCCTAAAATACACGTTTTTCTTTCTGTGGACCCATTCCAATCTCTCAGTTTTATGAGCCATTTTACCACCGAATGAAGACCCGTCTCGAGCCCTTAAACGGTCGGGGGTTGGATCTGCGCCCCCCCCCCCCGAAGGAAATTTTTGATCTGAAACTTTCTGTCTTTTCCTAAATTGAATCTTCATAAATAATGGCTCAATACGCTCAAAATACTGGGAATTGAATATCCTCTCCAATGATACCTAATACATCCTCATTTGATTGATCGATTCTGTGATCATAGGGGGGGCAGATCTGTCCCCTGGCCGTTAAGGGTTAGTTCTAATGGTCCAACACTTGTAATTAAAATATACCTGAAATAATTTAAATGCCTACCAAGAACTCCAAGCCTATAGTTGATTGCCACTTTGATGACATCTTGCAGTACAGCAAACCCCGTACCATTCCGCATTCCACTTCCTGAAGCAGCAATGATAGCATTATTACATGATGGAGACGAGAGTGTGATATATACAGAATATCACATCATTTTGAGTGATATCATTTTTATCGCCGAGTTGATATCAAATATCAACACGAGTGAGCGAAGCGAATGAGTGTTGATATTTGATATCTACGAGGCGATAAAATGATATCACGAGAAATTATGTGATATTGGGTTTATCCCATGATAACAATCACATTGTGATGTTCTGATCCAATTTCAAGGACATTCGAAGACAATATAAACTAGAAAGAATATCAATTGAATATTTGAAACACTTTATTTTAACAATTAAAAGTAAATAAAATGAACATGTAATCATTGTTTTTTGTCAGTTTTATGTCAGCTTTATAACAGTTAATATTATTGTGACTAAATTAATAAATTATTAATAAAAAATTAAATTAATATTAATAAATTATCTGAACTTATTTCCAACAATATTGTGGCGCGAAATGCAAATGTGATATCACACGGATATGCGTGAGATAAACGATATCACACGCATATGAGTTTGATAAACGATTTTCTGGAAAATATCACACGGATTTCAATAATATCAGAAATATCAATAGCTGTTATTGTACAGATAACACATTAATCGTGGGATAAATCGAAATATCACCTTGAGAAATAAAATATCACACGAGGCAGAGCCGAGCGGGAAATTTTTTCCGAGTGTTGGGGATCTGGTCAATATTTGTACTCATGAAATATCAATAATATAAATAAAAATATCACTTCTTAACGAACTGAGGGAGTCAAAATACTTTCCAAATGACGTATGAAGTATCAAGTAGAATTATGAATTAGTTGCGTTGTCATTTACTAAGTTTTGAAGTTTTTTTTAGATCCTCGCCACCACTTTCTTTAGTTTCTTATACTTTATCAGTTGTTTCTACATACCCGATCTCATGCTGCCACCGTGTATGTACAGCATAACAGCTTTGTTGGCCGTTGGGTCTAGGGTGGGAGTCCAGATGTTCAAGAACAGACAGTCTTCATCATAATCAAAGGAATTAAGCTGGGGACAAGATGAACCTAAATTATATATAATTGATTAATTTCGGATATTACCCAGTAATGATGATATTGAAGGAAATAACATCAGACTTCATAAGACCTCCTAGGTATACATGTGTTTCCCAACTGATTATTTTACAATCTATGTCTCGACAGACTTAAATATATAACTACAACTTAAATTAAAGAACTCTTGCATTGTGTATTTATTTGTTGGTGAAATAAATATTAGGTGACCACGTTTTCCTGTGTACACATGTTCCTCATATAGAACAAGATTACCATATTCGGTTGCATCTCGCTCTCCCGTCCACATCTGGAAGGGCTGGGTTACCCTGAATCTGTTGTCACCTATAGGTGGCGCTGCATAGGGAATCCCAAGAAAGTTGTAGGCGGGTCTAGGGTTGTCCGGTACATAGGAAATAATCCCCCTTACAGACGCTGTGTCAGTGATACGGACAACGGGGTCCTCCTGGCCAAAAGTGACTGGAACATTTAGCAATGCATTAACGTCATTCCGTTACGGAATTTGGGTCCTCGTGCGGAGATTGTACATGCTGATTTTGACTACACTACTGTGGTAAAATTATTATGTCCAAATGTAAACCTCTCTGGAAGAACAATTAGTCAATTTCGGTATAGCGGGGAGGTGGCTACCTATATCAAAGGCTGCTGACTGATTTTGGCAGAAGTCCGGACTTTTAAAATGGGGGGGGGGTGGAGTAAATGAAGATTGTTTAGTTTTTTAAAAAACTTGTACTAAGAGGCATTTCAACATTTTTGAATTTCATGATAAGAGGGTGTGTGTGGGTTGAACCATAATACTGATATGTCCACACGTCCTGTCAAAATTCAAACACCGTCCCTACGTCAGGTGTTTTTGACATCTTTTTCAATCACTATATCCAAAAGCACATTAAAACAAAACACTTCTTACCTACAAATACGATGGTCAAAAGTTTCAGCTCCATTTTTCTTGATATACTGTCTGTATATGAATTGACCTCATAGGGTGGGAAGTAACATAAGGCGACCGTAAAACTTGATTTTGGGTTCAATTTTCAAAATCCCAGGTTGCTTGATTGATACACTTTACAAAATCAAAGGATTTACTAGGCCTTTTGACTTTGGCGAGATCATGAATTTATCATGAATCAAAATCAAAGAACTAAAAACATGTTACGAAAATTGCTTGCCAGAATAACAGGTCATATTTGCCATGATGTACGACTAGTTACCTGTTTCACCCAATCCGGATGGTTAAAAATAACTTTATGTCAGATAACAAGATAGACAAACAAACAAAAATGTTTTTCTATATTCAAGGCCAATTGTATGGTTAAAATATAAACAGACATTACTAAACATGAAGTTATGTAGGTTTTGATTCAATCAGTATAAACTGATTGAAAATTCAATTTCTTTTATTCTGATATATACTATATCTTTTATTGACTCTTTAGATGTCATGATCCGACATATTAGTCATAAAATATACACTGATACAACATGTCTTTATTTACATAACAGAGAAGTATGCAGAAGTGAATGATGTTCATGTAAAATACTAGCCGCCGGAGTTACATAATAAGTAGGTAGCTACGACCGGGAATACTAATTAGGCTAGTATTTTATGATTCAATTATTGGTTGGTGTTTGTAAAAACCAAGGCTGAATTTTATGTCTAGATATTGAAAGACAAGAACAAACCAAAACTCCAGAATATTAATATTAATTCATAAATGCAAATCTTCAACTCAAAAGAAGGCAATGAACAATTTTGCCATTCAACTTATTCATTAATTTATATTACCACAGGCTGGTATCGAAATATTTGTCCGCTGTGACGGAGCATGCTATTTTTCATAAAAACACTAAGAATACCTCACGATTTATTTTTTAACTAATATGTTTCGTTATACCATACAAAATTACTTACTCCATGCAATGGATATATCATTTGCGGGTAACTTTCACTTCTATTTGAAGTCCAATTACGCTGGGAAGAAAAGCTATTGAAAATGGCGCCGGAGTATCATACTTCAAAATGTACCATTTCTTGTTTAACTTTCTAATGGCACGATATAGTGACACGGTAATATTTACACATGGTTTCAGCATAACTATGAAGGTATAAATGAGATGTTGATGTATTTGGTCTTTTTAATTCTTTTATAAAAAATATTGTTTAATTTTTTTGTCCGCTGTGACGGAGCAGTTGCAAATGTGAACTGTGAAAATGCTCCGTCACACCGGACAAAAAATATTTATTATTTTTTATAAAAAAATTTAAAAGACCCAATGCATTAATATCTCATTAATACATTCAGAGTTATGCTGAAAACATATGTTAATATTATCGTGTCACTATATCATGCCATTAAAAAGTTAAAAAAGAAATGGTACATTTTAGAGTTTGATACTCTGGCGCCGTTTTCAATAGATTTTACTCCTAGCGTTATTGGACTTCAAACAGAAGTGGAGGTTACACGCAAATGATATATCCATTGCATGGAGTAAGTAATTATCTTTGATATAACGAAACATATGAGTTAAAAAATAAATCGTGAAGCATTCTTAGTGTTTTTATGAAAAATACCATGCTCCGTCACAGCGGACAAATCTTTCGATACCAGCCTGTGATTACAGACAAAATATTTCACATACCAAAAGCTCACTAATTAAGTATCGCTACAAAGAGGAAATCCATAGGCTAAGGTCGATAGAAATAATTTCTAAATAAAGATGGCCTTGGGATTAAATCGATCTGTGTTTATTTATAAAAGATAATCAGAAGATGAAAGATAATACTGGATTCTGTTGGTGCTGCCATCTTTATATCGGCCCAGAACCTATGAGGAAATCAATTATAGTTGAATATAAGAGCAAATCTCAAAAGTAGCAAAAACTGCAGTCAGGTGACTATCATAAAAATTCCTTAAAAACCTGAAGTTGTTGTTGAAGTTGATACTTTGAAATAGAAATGGTACAAACTCTCATTAAAAGTAAAAACTGATGCTTACTAATTTAGGACTATGCCTAATTTGTTGAAAGTTGGCTTTTTGAAGACACGGGCTTCAATTTTGAAAATAGGTCCAGATTCTCAAAAATAGGATCCAATTTTTTAAAAGTTCCCAACATTTTGGGGGCCAACGTTTTTTTTCAGAAAATTATTTTTGACACCTTCTCTTGTGAATTTTCAGACCTGATTTGAATTAGAGAACTCATGACACTTGGGTTGTCAGAATAGTTGGGCAAGAGTCGGAACACTTGGGTAGCCAAGAATAGTTTGGCTTCCACATCCGTACGTTTTCGTGAAAAATAGCTGCCCTTGATATATTTTGCAAAATATTTTTCCGTGCAAATATGTTTAAAATATGCTAAACTTTCAAAATAAAGCGGTATTGTTTGCCTATCTGGGTTGAAAATAAGTTTTATCATGTTTTATACATTCAATATGTTTTAATTTTTTATTAAGGTGTCTTATTCTTTGTCCCTGAAAACCCAGGTTTCGACACCAATATTATGATGCTACTATGCTAAGTCTACGAAATATTAAAGGTAATCATTATTTCGATAATGGCTGCCCTTTTTGCATTAACAATAAAATAATTGTTCCAATCTTGATTTTTATAATTTCATCTTATTACCTGACCCTGAAAATCTGCGTTTAGACACCGATATTATGATATTTCTGTGCTTAATTTACAAAATATTAAAGATAATCACTTATTTGATAATGGCCACCTTCATTTGCATATATATAATTTTTTCCCCAAAGTTGATTTTTGTGCAACCCAGCTGAATCACTTCATAAATCCCTAATAATAGTGGTTACACAACAAAACATCATACTTTAACATATTTCTACGTACGTTCAGAAAATGACAAATGGACTATATTCTAGCATACACAGACACAATTAATGGCTGGCTGAATAAACGGCAAATGACGATGAAAAGACACAGATAACTTAACACTGTAAATTTTGAACACAGAAGTTACTAAGCACTGGTGATCCACTCGATTACGCTGGTTACCGAAACGGTTCGTTTCGCTAACAAAATGTCGAAGCTACGATTTTTTCCTAATTTCACACCTTGTTAGCAGAATTCTCACGGCATTTTTAACACAAAGGTGTATCAGTAACATTCACTCCCCTCCATAAGTTTGGTAACCTTAGCTCCCCCATTGAACTACGTGTTAAAGCCTCTTTACCTTTGAATTTTTATTTACTTAACCGGAGATTAAATAACTTATAATATTGATGGAAACGTAACTTGACTTTATTTCCAATACCTCCAAATTTTCTCAATTCTTTTCCTCTATTACAATAGGTCGAAAATTGATGATCAATTTGATGAATTTTTGAAAATCGTCATTCTCATGTTATCCAATTGGAAATGGAGGGTTCGGGGCAAATCAGAAATCAGGATATCTTTCATAAATCACTTCATAAATCCCTAATAATAGTGGTTACACAAAAACAAAACATCATACTTTAACATATTTCTACGTACGTTCAGAAAATGACAAATGGACTATATTCTAGCATACACAGACACAATTAATGGCTGGCTGAATAAACGGCAAATGACGATGAAAAGACACAGATAACTTGACACTGTAAATTTTGAACACAGAAGTTACTAAGCACTGGTGATCCACTCGATTACGCTGGTTACCGAAACGGTTCGTTTCGCTAACAAAATGTCGAAGCTACGATTTTTTCCTAATTTCACACCTTGTAAGCAGAATTCTCACGGCATTTTTAACACAAAGGTGTATCAGTAACATTCACTCCCCTCCATAAGTTTGGTAACCTTAGCTCCCCCATTGAACTACGTGTTAAAGCCTCTTTACCTTTGAATTTTTATTTACTTAACCGGAGATTAAATAACTTATAATATTGATGGAGACGTAACTTGACTTTATTTCCAATACCTCCAAATTTTCTCAATTCTTTTCCTCTATTACAATAGGTCGAAAATTGATGATCAATTTGATGAATTTTTGAAAATCGTCATTCCCATGTTATCCAATTGGAAATGGAGGGTTCGGGGCAAATCAGAAATCAGGATATCTTTTCAGCAAATGATTCAGCAAAAAATATTTTTATATAGAAAATTGAATTGTCTAACTTTTCTGTATACTAAGTGTTTAGTTTATTTGATGAATATTAAAGTTACAGCGCTTCAAAGTAAATTTTTCGCCTCCTGTGTTATTTCAATGGGAGATGTTTTTTGAAAAAAAATTGACTTTAAACGCTATAACTTTGTTGAACCTGAAGAAACATATCATGGAGTGTATGTTTGAGAAAATGTACACATTTGCGAACAAATAGTTCAGAAGACAACAGAATCGTCGATTTAGGGAATAAAGAAAAATCGCACCTTCGACGTTCTGACATTTTGTTACCGAATTCAAACGGTCAGCGTAATCGAGTGGATCACCAGTGTTAAGACCCTTATATTGAAATAACTAAGTTTACATCGGGAACAACATTGAGTACTATGAGTAAATTCAGTTCATCTACACAGAATGGTACTATCTTTGGATCGAGACTAACCTTGTATTTTTCAATTCGTATTTTGCCTATTTTTGGGAGTCGTGTCCTCCCCGTCTTCCATTTTGAAATATGCGCGCAGTTTGGCAGAGTAGTGCCTAGTAGGCGTGCAGATTGACATGGGCACCGTGTCATATGGGATTTATTTTTCCCGATACTTGGACACTGGAAGGAATCATAAGCTTGAATAGTGAATCTGGCTTTTGAGAAAAACAGATTAAGTGCCAAAGGAAAATAATACAGTTATACAAAGTAGGATTAGTAATTCAGATATTAAACATGAAATGGATTTATCAAACTAAAGGCTTCTGCTTAGTCATATATAGGTCGTATGAAATATAAGTTTGAGTTCTTGCCTAGAAAGACAGACGTACAGATGGGGGAATTCTCTATACCTCCCGGTCTTTGTTCGATGGGATAAAACAAAACTATTCATCTAATAAGTAAAATAGGCCGACTTGGGCAAGGCTATGCTCTAGAACATGAAATTCTACACACGATTTCTCATCATTTTAAGTCTTTCTGTAGCAATTGTGATTTACATATACAATTATAATATCGGACATTCAACAAGAAGGAAGAATTCCAAACAAGAGCAGGAGAATGGCCCTGATTCAGTGGATTTCCAACATCAGGAAGAACAACACTTTCCAATCGAGGAAAAATTAATTTGGACGAAAACGATGACATGCAACGTGGAATCTGGATATAAAACTCGCAAAGAAGGGAACGTTGATAGTTCTAATGGTACCTATACATCAGGGTATGACAAAATACACCCCAATCCTGGAGTCAACTGTTCTTATAGCATCTGCCAGAAGATAAATAAAGGAAGACAACCTGTTATGTATAGGCAACCTAAATACATTAGACCATCAATTGAAGGTCTGGTAACACTTGTAGTTAAAACTGCTAACCGCTTAAATCTCGTCGAGCGGTTAATACGCAGTGTATGGAAGTTCTATCCCAATGTGAAATGTATTGTCGTTGACGACTATAATGAGGACTTTGAAAAGAGGCCTGGTCTTCAATACTTCTTCAAAAACTCATCAAATGTAATGTACCATCAGGCGCATGAGGATGCTGGTATAAGTTACGGTCGAAACCTTGCATTAAAGTTTGTAAGAACAAAATATGTTTTCTTATGCGATGATGATGCGGTCTTCAATAGTGAGACAAACATTCCGAAGCTTGTTGATTTGTTGGAGCATACCGATTTATCATTCGCTGGAGTAGTACATAAAAGCCAACATTACCCCTTTATTGGTGCATTAATGGTTCGCCCAACAGAAGCACAAAACACATCAACGATGAGTTCTAATGAAACGGTGGACCTTCTGCAATATTCAACTATGTATTATGAACGATTAGCGTGTTTTGGCCAGTGTTACGTCACAGATATGATATTGAATGCATTTCTTGCTCCCTTAGAGGATTTGTTAAAGATGGGAGGTTGGGATGCAAGTTTAAAAACACAAGAACATATAGATTTTTTTCTGAGCGTACGCAAATTCGGGTTAAAAGCTGCCGTCTGTTTAGATGTAAATTTAGATCACATGTCTTCCCGAAACAATCCTCTTCGTGTGAAGAGAATACAGAACAGACATATTTACTTCAAAATCATCAAACATAAATGGAATTTATCAAAATGGTTTTTCTGTAAGACAAATAGATCTTCAAGTTATCAAAACAGGAAATTTCCAGATGATTGGACTTGTAGGAAGACTCCCTATTTTTGACATAAAACTATAAAACAGCAAATCCACAGTGCAATCCATGGAGTAGCAAATCCAACAGAACAAAAAATGTCTGATATATAGCAGCCACCTTGAAAATTTTGAAAAATTATGATTGCTAATACCATGCTTTTCACATGCTCATGCATTTGAATGTGTGAGCAACTTATCACGTTGTGTCCTCTGCGTCACAGTTATAACTGTCTCCACACCACGTGTATTAATTATTAATGCCTTGGTCACATTTGCTCCGATTTTCACTATGGCGCCCGGCCGATCGAGTATTTTGTTCAAAATTGAATACAATATTGAACAACACACTCAATTGGCAGGGCGCCGGCCAATGGATCGGAGCATATGTGATAAAGGCATTATATGTCTACATTGGTTTTTTGTGTGTAATGCCGTGGTCACATTTGCTCCGATTTTTACTACGGCGCCCGGCCGATTGAGTGTTTTGTTCAAACTTGAATATAATATTGAACAAAACACTCAATCGGCCGGGCGCCGGTCGATGGATCGGAGCAAATGTGACCCAGGCATAACAGAGGTATTTTAGTTCACACAATTCATTTACATGTCAATGTATATTTAACAAATAAATACAGTATTCAGAGTTTTTATATAAAATAGTTTTATTACAGCACTGATAGTTCTCCTCAGTGAGCACAAAAGCCTGAATAAATTCAGAAGCTTCTTGACTTTTAAATAAAAACATAAAATTTTCACTTTCTCAAGATTTGCAGTAAATTCTTTTCACATAATCTTATTTGTTAACCGACTGACAACTCAACTTTTTAACAAGTCTTTGATTAAAAAAGTTTTAGATGACCTTTTGCCATCAGGCACCCACTCAGTGTATTTGTTTAAGTGTAGAAATTAGTTAAAAAATAAAAGCTGGCATCTAAATAGTTTCATTTTTGACACTGTTTATCAAATGTTTTTGGTAATGTAACACTGTTTTGTAATTCTACTGTTATGTCTTTGAATGTCATTCAACATCAATAAATCTGATCAGGATACATAAGTTAACGATTGTATTTGGCCTCCATTCTTTAAAACTCCATTCTTCTACATATGACATACTCAGTAGTTCATTTATAAATACTTGCACAATATGTGCAGAGTAGAATATATACATGAACATTTTTAGCTTAAAGACTACGAGTTGTGCGTTGTATTAATACATGCTCGTTGTATTCTGTGATCTTGGTTTCTTTATTTTTTCCAGGTTCTTCATAATCAGATCGTGCAGAGTAGCCTGGAAAGTATGAAATAAATGAGATCATACACTGCAATGTGGCTTGATAGGGTTAAACATTCAAGATTGATTGTGTAATGGGTCCTGGTGGACCTGATGGGGTTAATCATCATTCATGATCAGTTATAATGCTACATGGACTGAGCTAGATAGGGTTAAGCATTTACAATTAGCCAATGGTGTAATCCTTGATGGGGTTAAATATTCATGAACAGAATTAGCTAGTCACAGGCGCAGCACTTAACATTCATGATTATTGAGATTTGTTCATCATTTTTGTGGAATCTTTCACTTATTGATTACTTAAAAACTAAACCCCATCCAAGTAAAATCTATTTTAGGCTCTGGCTGTACAAAACTTTGATTAATAGTACCACTATCCAGGCTGTGAATTCACAATTGCACAAGTCCATTACGCAAGTCCAGGATTCAATCAATACCCAGTTCAGGCACTTTGCTTGTTGCTTAAAGTACTTCAGAGTAGTGGTGTCAATTAACCGCTTGAGCATTAACCGGTTAACCGGGGGTTTTTACCGGTTAAAGTCGGTTAACCGGCGGGAAATTTGAACAGGTAATTTCAAATGAAATCTTCATCTTCGATCTTGAAAGTTGAAACAAATTGGAAAAATGATATATCGGCGTTTATTTTTTACGTTCGTCAAGCTTTACTCTATTCTATGTAAGTAAGCGCGGGAAAGCAATGTGGCAGGGATTAAAGTTGCTGATTGGATGTTTGTAAGGAATTATCGGACCTATCACATGTATGAGTAGCTCACATGAAACTGACGCTTGAAAAACAAACAGATTAAAATGCAAAGTAAGCGCGGGAAAGCAATATGGCAGGGATTACAGTTGCTGATTGGATGTTTGTAAGGAGTTATAGGACTTATGACATGTATGAGCAGCTTACGTGAAACTGACACCATAAAACCAAATGGATTAGCGTGCAAAATAAGCGCGGGAAATCACAGAATTATACACGGTCAACTAACCGCCCATAAAAACACAGACCGGTCAAGGCATTATCGGCGGTTAACCGGTTAACCGGTTAATACTTGACACCTCTACTTCAGAGTGTTTGACTGAGTGGTCCACTACTTGTAAAAAAGACAGTGGTGAGTGAGTACTTGTATGTTTATATAAAAGAACACAGGGCTCCTTCAATGAGGGTTTCCTAAGCCTGTCTTCCATGATTGCATGCGTAAATTACAACTCTATATATACAATATGGGATTGCTCACCTTCTTTGGTGGTAAAAAAAATACAATAAAAATGCACTGTGTATTACTGTTCACTAAATTAGGCCTTTAAATGTGGACCCTTAAACTCTACAGTACTTACATAATGATTTCTTAGTTCCATAACAACTAATCGTATGCTAACAAATTCTTTTTCATCTAATTCTGTTATGGTTCTCCTATAGTCCTCCTGGAATCATGTAAGAAAGAATCAGATATAGCAAGCAGGCTAAACAGAAAATTGTCTCAATTTTAGAATATCTTTGGCTCATGTCATTCCTTGTCATGTTTATTTTCTAAAAATCACAAAAGTGCATAATTTATTCCAGGAAAACTAAAGACTTTTACAATAATGTATTATTTTTCTGTAAGAATGGTTACCATTTTATTGTTAGGGAGAATTTAAACATTTTTCATCCATTTTTGCACTTTGAATCATTAATAACGTTACCAATTTATAACATATTGTGAATCTTTTGGGAGATATTCTTTTTGATATTGTAAGTAATAGATTGGAAGGTCAATTGTACACATTGCTTGAAATTTTGTCACCCCCTATAGATCAGATTCTGCCTTTAACTAAACCAAGTAAAACACAAAGACACTATTACTTATATAATATTTTGATAGCTAGAAAGATAATGAAATAAAGATTACTAGATATAATAGTTCAACACTTATCCTGAAGTGTACATGTATAAACAAATCCATAATTGAGTGATATTTCATTTTACCCAGAAGTGTTATATGATACATTTTTATTTTTTAAAACTTTATGGAGTACATGTACAACATTTAAGACAAGGCATTAACATCCAAAATGTCACCACCTCACAATTGTTACAGACAAAAACTGCCAAACATCAACTAAAGACAATAACAACATGTCACGACCATATTTAAATGAGTTCTTACCACATGAGGATATTTTGCTACTTTGGATACAATTTTAGCCCTAGTGATGAAATATCTGGAAATCTGATCTAGATATGATGCAGCCTCACTTTCAACCTGTCGTGCTTCTGACATACTGTCTTCCTAAGAATATAGAAGTAATGTTTGTATGTATAAAACATGTACAGTATATATGAGATATATCCACTGAGAGGTATTAGATATATGATTTATTTAGAGGGAATGAGATTTTAACATAATATGCAGGTAAACTGAACTCCCCAAATGATGGAGTGAATTAAAGGTGGATATTCTGTATGCACTAAAAAAATACCCATCCCACTCCTTAGATACATTATATATTTCCTAAGTCTATTTTATTAATAAATTCCTCTTGGCAGTAACATACCTGTATAGACACACCAAAATTGTTGCCATCTTCAATCTTGGGCATTAGGAAAGCTATCCACATACGGATCTGAAATGAAAACTCCAATTATATATATAGTGATTACTGGATTATTGCACCTAACTGTCTTATTCTAGTACATTTACTATGTTTAAAATCAAAATTTCATCAAAACTTTATTTGCATGATCTTTGAGGTCTCTTATACACTAACTGCCATATCCATGATCTATGTTAGGCTTACCATATTTGCATGATCTATGAGGTCTCTAATGTTAAGCTTACCATATTTGCATGATCTATAAGGTCTCTAATGTTAAGCTTACAATATTTGCATTATCCATAAGGTCTCTAATGTTAATCCTATCATATTTGCATGATCTATAAGATGTCTAATGTTACTCCTACCATATTTGCATGATCTGTGAGGTCTCTAATGTTAAGCTTACCATATTTGCATGCTCTATAAGGTCTCTAATGTTAAGCTTACCATATTTGCATGATCTATGAGGTCTCTAATGTTAAGCTTACCATATTTGCATGATCTTTAAGGTCTCTAATGTTAAGCTTACTATATTCATGATCTATAAGATGTCTAATGTAAATCCTACCATATTTGCATGATCTAAGAGGTCTCTAATGTTAAGCTTACCATATTTGCATGATCTAATAGGTCTCTAATGTTAAGCTTACCATATTTGCATGATCTATAAGGTCTCTTATGTTAAGCTAGCCATATTTGCATGATCTATGAGGTCTCTAATGTTAAGCTTACCATATTTGCATGATCTATGAGGTCTCTAATGTTAAGCTTACCATATTTGCATGATCTATGAGGTCTCTAATGTTAAGCTTACCATATTTGCATGATCTATGAGGTCTCTAATGTTAAGCTTACCATATTTGCATGATCTATGAGGTCTCTAATGTTAAACTTACCATATTTGCATGATCTATGAGGTCTCTAATGTATGGCTTGACTTGATCTAGCAAAGATGAGATGTGCTTGTTTGAGGGAGATGTGCCATTTGGTAATCCTAGTATTCGACAACCTGCAATTTAATTATTAATTCATTAAGGATGGTGATATGTGGAAAAACAAGTCAATAGACTAGATACAACATAATCTTGATTTTTATTATTAAATATTCTAAACGAAGTCAAACCGGTATTATATTTGAAATCATTATACAAAATCACATCTAAGGAGTGAAGTCAAGACGATATGGGATCTTTGGAACAATTTAAGAGGTACTGCTACTCAACAGCTTGGCAAGCATTTTTTCAAGTAAGTGTAGGTTCAGAATTAATAACAAGAAAATTAACCCAAAAGTAACTGATTATATACCTGGAAACTCGGATAACCCATCCATAAGGTCCAGCTTTCGCTTTTTTGGTTGGGGCTGAAAATATTGTACATGTATAGTTACTAGTTTCGCTCCAGGCCCATAGCCAGCTTTTGCCAAGGGGGTTCAGTTTTTTTTAAAAAGACTATGGAGTTCAAATTGAAAAATTTTGGCCCAAAATCACTTGAAAGTGCTCAGATGATGAAAACTGGCTTGATTTAGAAAAGAATTTTGGCCAGGGGCTTATGGAGCCACCTCAAAAGTTAACTTCTTAAGCTGTAACTTACCCCATCTGCATCATTGTTTAAGACCACCTCTGGAACTGGTATGTTAAGATCTGTGTTAATATCTGTCACACGTGCAGCATCAAAATCTTTCAACTGAAATACATGTACACTCACGATCACCTATCATATGTCAAAACCTCTCTGTATAGATAATACACGTTCTGCTTTAATACATGAGATATCAGTTATATGGAAAAAACAGATGGAGAGAAAAATTAAACGCATGTTGTGAGCATACAAAATGTCAACATGCAATCAATGTAATAATCAAGAGAAAAAATCAACCAAATGATATTTCACCCAAATAATGACAAAGAGGCCTGACACTTTAGTAAGTCAATGTTCATGTTATTGCTATACTTACATTCAGAATGTCGTTGAGTTCAATCACTTTCTTGGGTAACACTTCTGACACAAGTTTCTCTGCTTGAGTTTTGTATTCCTCTTTGAACTGTGTCACCTGTAAACATAGCAATAAGCCATAAGGGAGTTCACACTTTTTTTAAGTGATTTACAGGCCCATAGCCAGCATTTGCCAAGGGGGGGTTCACTTTTTGAAAAATTATAGGGGGGGGTCACTTTTGACAATCTTGATCCAAAATGGCCAAAATCACTTAAAAAGTGCTCAGAAAGGAAAAAAAAACTGCATGATTTTGTCATTTTGAAAGATTTTTTGGCCAGGGGGGGTTTGATGGGTTCGAGCAGGCTACGGGCCTGATTTACAATCAATGATACCAATTAAAGGGTCAAATGTTTTGTTTCTTGCTTTTCAGTAAGTATTTGTCAAGAAATAACTATAAAAAAGTTTGTGAATCACCGATTAGGGCATTTTGGTCTGAGCTAAAGGCTTTTAAGTCTCACTATTGCGGTTTGATATAACATACAATGGCCATTAGCACAAGGTAAAGGGGTTAAATCAACATACATTGTAAATATTTCAAGTATCTATAGTAACCTATAATAACAACAACACTGTTTAGTACTTCCTATTCTTTCTTTAATTTACCCAAATTTTTAAGTGTCACATGTTAAAACTTGTCAAGTTTGACAGTGACATTCATTTGCATGAATAACATCTTCAAAAAATAAACAGTAAACATTGTGACTTATTCTCTACAAATACCTTCTTAATAGTATTTCTTTCATCTATAAAAATCTGAAAAATCATTTGGTTCATGTAAAAATATCCATGAATATGAATGTATACATTGCATGGGGTTACTTCGTCATTGGGCTATTTCGACCGTGGGGGTATTTTGACACTTGTTTTTTTACCAATTCACAAGATGGCTGACCCTGGAAATATGAATAATCAGCAAATGTCGAAATAACCCCATGGTCGAAATAGCCTGACGAAGTAGCCTCATACGTTGAAATTTGACGCATCTCCCATAGGTCATGCCAAATGCAAGAGGATGTCGACATAGTCTATATCCAATAGACTGAATTTCCCAAGAATTCAGTCGATTGATCATGTCCCTCCTGTGAGAAAAACAGGAAAGTTCCTGCACACAATATATCAATTTTAGGAAACTTTACTTCTCAAAAATAAGCATAAGACAGCATATTGTCAAATGGAAATAAAGCTAGGGGAAGTAACAAATATGCAAATTAATTTACCCAATGGGCCATTTTGAATGGCACTTCCTATATAAAAAAATATTTTCAATCCCAAATTTTAACATATGTTGGCTATAGTCTGAATATTTTCATTCCAAATTTCAAAAAAAAATTCAGACTAGAGTCCATTTCACTGCTTCAGTTCGTCAGTAGAACGGCAAAAATAAGAAATTGGGAGACCATTGTACAATAATATATGGAAAAGTATATTCATAATGTACATGAATGACATTTGTATATCTTGGATTGCTTCTAGTTTGGCTTATAAAGTGTGTGGCCTCTTATATTTGGATGTTTCTCTGCCATGTTATTTTCAATAAGATTAACATGGCTGAAATTCTTCAAATTACAAGACGGCACGGGCTTACTGCACAAAAAACTAAAAAATCTGAAATATACAAATGTCATTCATGTACATTATGAATATACTTTTCCATATATTATTGCACAATGGTCTCCCAATTTCTTATTTTTGCCGTTCTACTGACGAACTGAAGCAGTGAAATGGACTCTAGAGCTACAGAGGATATACAGTGGGGGACATAAAGAATTACAAAAGCTATGGAAATTACATGCTGTCGCACATGTAATAAATTCTTACCTCAGTGTATTCAATGATCTATTTTCTCCGTCCTAGTAAGTCCAGATATGGTGGAATTCATGTCCATAATGACAAATAAGAACTTAAACATTTGAAGTGGAATTCACATGTTAATGCTGATTCTTCAAATGTTGAGGTGATTTTGGAGCCTGATTACGCTGCAATGTGGATTGGCTCCCAGAATGCAACATGACACGTGTCAGCTTTCAAAATGCCATTCCACCATTTTGAAACCTGTCACGAGTAAATAAAGTTACCTGATGTTGCATTCTGGGAGTCAATCCTCCTTGGATCACAAACATGGCGATCCATCATTTGCAGGTATGAAGCTTTGGATTCATTTATTGTGCTACTTAAAGTGAATGGGAATTATTTTTCTACCGCTTGGGAGAGTTAGAGACACGAAACTTAGAATTTAGCTCATTGTGACAACTTTTGATTTATTTTGTCCCCCACTTTAGTCTAGACTGTATCCTTCGTCTGAATAAATATTCAGACTGTAAGTCACCTATTGTAAAATGTGGTGTTGAATAAATGTTACAAATAAGTTTGTTAAATGATAAAATGATTACCTTGTAAAGTACTTACAATATTATTTTTTCGTATATTGTCCTCTTACTGAAGATATTCATAAAATGTACAGACGCTTCTTGTAGCGAAGCCATTGATTAGGTCAAGCCATTTTGGCAATGCCAATTCTCACGATAAACGAGATTTAGCCAGTGACGTCAGTCTATTTGTAAACAAATAACACGTGGAGCGGACGGAAGCGTGTTGATAAATTCCATTTGTGCGGGAATTTATTAGATCTAGTCATTTATTATCATTATCCCGATTAATTTTCTTCATTTATAGTAAATAGAGCGGAAATATTCATGAAGAAGGCCGAGGTAATCAAGTTGTCATGTGTTGTCAAAGTTCAAAAAATTTGCATATCTCGTTTGGATCTCGTGAACTCAAACGTCCTTGACATTGATTTCGCGATGTACTTATAAACACATCCTGAAGTTTTGGTGAGTCTGAACATTTCATTATTTTATATCAACTTGTACCCGCCTTATACAAATATTTTTGCTTCTAGTTTAAGATGAACATCTCTTCAACATATTCACCAATTTTCAAGGTGAACATTCTTGTAATAAACGAGAAATTTATGTGCAAAAAATATCACCGCGATTTCCATAGGAAATATATCAATCATAACAGACCGAATATTATATTCGGTCTGTTGGATACATACTACACTTTAGTCTAATGTTGACAGCAAGAAACGAAGCAACTTGCTAGAACACAAGTTTAAAGGCGAGGCACTCAGACTGGAGGATTGCAATTGATATTTGAATCAAATTGTGAAATGATGATTTGCAAAAAATTACAAATGAAATTGAAATTTGTTGAAAGAATAAAAATGAATGAAAAGCAAAATTAAAAACGTTCAACTCATGTAATCGAAGCAATCAATAGCGCCTTGACGTCAAATACCTGTTTCTCTGCACTCTGTGCCATACTTTTCTGGAATCCTGGGTTTCGAAAACAATGTAATTTACTAAATAGATGGTGAAATGTGTGATTCGAGCGTGCAGGAAGTGGAGTTTCTTATTTTACCTCCAATTTTGAAAATTTGTTGAGTCGTTTCGTTCAGAACCGATTAAATCTATATTTGCTCTTTTATAATTCTTTTATTATTCAAAAGGAATACAACATCAATCCATCCATAGGAAATTCATATACTTTCATAATTATTGAGGAACAACAATGTTTGTTGCGAATCATAAAATTCAATATTCCCGGGAACGTGATTCTTGCTGCTTCGTAAATCTATATTGGTTGTGTCATGACATAATAAATATATTTCCGGTTTGTATTTTTCTAAATATTTTCGTGACATATTGTCCTTTTAATAGTCTATTAGGCGTGCTTCAGTTCTATTGATCATCAAATTTTAATCAGAGCATGTCATTTCTCAGTCTGGAATAGACTTTGAATGTCATATCATATTTCATAATTGTGAAGTCCATTCACAGGAGACAGGTTAGTATGTATCCAACACAGGGCTGTCAACTTGGGACCACCTAATATGAGTGACTTCAAAATGTTGGACACCTAAGTCCAAATCTGAACACTTTTGTCCAAATTTTGAACACCTTTGGCCAACTTTTAAACACCTTTGGCCAAAGTTTGAGCACCTTTGCCAAAGTTTGATCACCTCAAATTTTTCGCGCTCGCTACGCTCGCGATGTCGTCAACGGGGGGGGGGGGGGGGGGGGGGGGGGGGGGGGGGGGGGTGGGGTAGGTACGCAAATTTCCAATGAACATGCGTGACATATACGGGATTCGCGTGACAAATCCGAACAAATTGCGTTCGGTTTTTTACCAACGTTCGTATTTTTACCGTATCGTCAACATATTTTGAAAATTTTTTTCAGAAATATTTTTGCGTGACAATTACCAGGTAAAATGCGTATTTGCGTGACATTTTCTGTCACGCAAAAAAAACTGGCGTGACTTCAAATTCTTCAGCAAATGCGTGACAAATACGCAAATTGCGGGACAGTTGACAGGCCTGCCAACAGACTGACTAAAAGTCAGTCTGTTACACAGTCAGCACTATCAATGGTATACTTTACCTTTAGTAATAGAAGAGAGAAGTTCAAAAGCTGTTTGTCACGATATTTACCGATCCATCCACTCTCTCCAATACGCATGCGCAGCCCAATGTAAAAAATAAGGCAGTGACTGGAGAGCCTAAAATTTTAGGCTCTTTAGCATTTTGGTAACCCATTTGGCTAAAGAGCCTTAAATTTTAAGGCTCTTTGGCATTTCGGCTAGAAAGCCTTAAATAGGGTCTTTAGCATTTTGATTGCCAATTTTGCTAGAGAGCCAGCCTTAAAGGAATTCTAAGTGACGGAAATGACAAAATATTGCTTCTGGGACGAGATCAAACGATTTTGACATATTTTTACTCAACCTGTTTTGTAATTTAACAATCAACACAAATTAACATACTATATTTAAGCAGATACCGGAGATATTCATAAAAATATATTTTTTGATCGATAAACTCACCGATTATTAAACCGGAAGTGTCTTCTCTGAGGTCCGCGAAGAAAACGAAGAAGGAAACATACAACGATTTTATTCATTTCACTTTTGCAGTGGATTTGATTTTAAATGCTTCTAAATGATCCTTGAATGCTTACTTTGACTTCCTATAAGAACTGTTTTGACTTCCCCACTTCAAAAAAAGAACATTATCACTTTTACTCGACTCATAAATTTACTTCCGGTCTACCGAAAAAAAGTTCTTAGAACCTATTCAATCCTCAGTCTAAATTTGGCTTTTTAAAGGTTCAGTAACCTTCGTGGTGCGGCAACTTGGAGCAGTCATATACTTGTTCAATTTTACTAATCAGTAATGATTTTGATGTTTAGAATAGGCCCTTGAGAGAATTGTGTTGAGGTCACATTTAGTGATGCCCAATTGGAGGCTAGCCTAAAAAAACGTTGATACAAATGAAGGACTTTTGAAGGGGAAGTTTTTGCAAAAAATTGAAAAAATATTTTGTGCCTCTTGTCATTTGAAAATCCTAAAAATCGGCATGGGAATCTAATAGACAATAGATTTGGAAGTGTATTCTCTGATGTCCCCGGGCTGATGTCCCTACATTCCCGATAAACTGCATCATGATGTGCTGTATCTAGAATTCAACAAGATCATTTTCTTCATCCCAAAGTCTCCTTCATACTTTTTGCCACCTTCAAATGGGATTCCCCGTGTGCTGTAAGCTTGTGAATATAGTAAAGCCAATACAAGTGATTAATTTCATTAAACATGGATGGTTGAGCGTTGGAGCGAGCCCATGAATTTTTAAAAAATTGTGTACATAATATCCGGACCTCAGAGAACAAACTTCATAATGAAAAAAATTGTACCAACATGGAATCGAACCTGCGCCGTGGGAGTATTAGGCGAACGCCATAACCACAAAACTAGAGTGTGTTTTCTTTTTGTAAAATCTATATTTCAATAATAAAACATATGTGAATAATATAATTATACATAGACCCAGTTACATTGTTTAATTTCTGTACAGTTTTTCATTTTCAAAATATGCATGTATACTTCCAGTTTTGTCTCTATTGAAAATTTGTATTTCCCTCCTGGTTATTAAAACTTCTTTATAATTCTTATACTTATTTATTCCTATAATTTGTTCAAAAGTGATATTATCAAAAAAATTCCATATATCCCTTATTTTTGTACACTCATAAAAATTATGTTTAACATTGTCAATTACATTACAATTTTAAAAAGAAATATCTCTAATTCTAAAACCATTTAAAATCTCATTACATGGATATACGTTGTGTAATGTTTTCCAATGAATAATTAAGAGTTTGGTATCTACTTTGCACTTAAATGCTCTAATCCAAGTTGCACATGAAATATCCTTACCATTATACTGTAGAAACAATTTTCTTTTATCTGTACATATAATCCAAAATCTGATGCTTCATAACATATTATCTCTATACCATTTAAATATACTAGAGTGGCTTGTACATACATTACCTTTAAGGCTCTTTGGCCGAAGTGCTAAAGAACCTTAAAATGTAGGCTCTCCAGTCACTGCCTTATTTTTAACATCGCTGCACATGCGTATTGGAGGGAGTGGAGGGATCGAGTGTGAGTTTGGACCAACTTTTGCAAGTTTGACCAGGAAATCACCTTTCATTTGGTATGTTAGTAACCTTTTTGATCGTATTGGTATGTAAGAATCATATATATGTCGAAATATAAGCATAAATGTCACAGTTTGAAGGATAAATGTCAGAATATTTACCGGAAGTGTTTATATTTCCAAAGAGCTTTCGGACTTTTCTATTACCAAAGGTAGATTGATGGTGATGACTTTGGTCTGTTATGATGTACTACTTTCCTGTGGAAATTGCAGTGACATTTTTTGCACAAAATTATCAATTAGAGGAACCATTTCTTCAATAAAATAAACATTACAAAATTTTAATTAAGTAGTAAGGTACAATTAAATGCAATAAAAAGTAACACAGCATATTGTCAAGTGGAAATAAAGCTAGTTGAAGTAAAAATGTGCAAATTAATTTTACCCAATCGGCCATTTTGAATAGCACTTCCTATGTAAACAAATATTCAAAATTACCAAACCTTAACATAGGTGCCTTATAGTCTGAATATAATTCAGACTAAATAGGATATAGTCTAGGAGACAGGTTACCTGAGAAAAAAATTTAGGCTAGGCTGTCTATCTATGTCTGTGTCAATAATCTGCAAAAGGCTGATAAGCCCATATAAAGCAGATATATAATTTAACAGTGATAGAATTTGAATAGAATATAATTTAAAACCTTAACATTTAAAATAGATCTATGGTTTACAACTCATTTTAAAATTGAAAGGAACCTTCCTTGTTGTCCCCTGTACCCCCCTAGGAAGTCCCTTTATGTTGAAATACCCTTGGGCGACTGTCAGGCTACCGCATTGACATCACCCCTCTTTACCAGTAGTGCAGGCTTGTTGCTGTGCACTGGGGACCTTTTACATTAAAACATAGATCTATATAAAAACACACCTATTTAATTGCAGTTGACATAGGCATAGTATGATGATTTAATACTAAATAAAATTGATAACTAAAGTGATATGCATTATGTTTTATAGTGAGTCATCCTCAGGCCTCATCCAATATGGAGGAAAAACCAAGAGTGCTCATACTTGGAGGTATCAGTATAGAATTTTTTTTATATCTCTAGTATCTCTAAATTAGATACTGTAGATTGATTTAAGTTTGTGGTATTACTATTAACTTTGATGAATTAAACATTTCAGAACATTGGTTGCTGTTATAATTCTGGGATTTTTGGGGAAAACATATCAAAACAACATTAGATAATATGATAATCTGGTTATTGATGAATATTTAAACTTAAATGGGTAAATCCCCAAATTTAAGCAGACACTAAGCAATTTAGAGTAAACCGGTAATTATTAAACTTAAAGGTGCTGTGTTAAGTTTGTGAAACATTGGATAATAAAAGTAATACAAATTTTGTCAAGTTAATGCCTTGATATCGTTATAGCCACTGCTTTTTGTCACATTTGTATACCTAGTAACATTCTTGCCTGTAACAATCGGCCACTAAATTTAATTATTTTACATATTATAGGTACTGGTTTCATTGGTCGAAACCTTGTCCACTATTTAGTCAGCAATAACCTAACATCAAAGGTAAGTAAAAGCATTTTATTTTAAGATAAGTTATGTAAACAAAGATTTTAAGTCATTTGATGATCACGAATTTATGAGGCAGGGGCCCATAAAGCAGGCATTGACAGTGATCTAAGGACTGCCGAACAATATTTATTCACTTCTATGTTCTGTAGAATATTGTTTGATAAAGTAGCATCGGAAGGGGGCTATCATTTTATAAACATCTTGGATGTGAAATTTGAAGGAAAATGGACTTTGGATAAAAGAAGAATGCTGTGGGGATAACTTTCATGTGGGAAACTGTATTTTGAATTTGAATCAATATTTGAAGAATGCTGTGGGGATAACTCTCATGTGGGAAACTGTATTTTGAATTTGAATCAATATTTGAAGAATGCTGTGGGGATAACTCTCATGTGGGAAACTGTATTTTGAATTTAAATCAATATTTTAAGTAATACTTGTAATAAAAGGATACTGTGTTTTTATGAAATAGTTTCTTTTTGTTTGTAGATTCGTATAGTTGACAAGGTCATGCCACCCATGGCATGGTTGAATAAAGAACACAAAGAATCTTTCTCAAAGGTGGAATTTAAACATGCAAACCTGATTAATTCAAGTAAGGCAAACATATATCCGGTTTTATAAAAATCACAAACCTTCTTTAATCCCACCCACTGAATAGTAATAAAAGTATAAATACTGTATTATAATGATATATAGGCCATTTTTTTATTTGGACTGCATTTTTACCATAAACTTGATTTTTCATGAAATATTTATTTAAAAGTCCTTCTCCAGAATAATTGGTATACAGGTATAATGTACATCTCCATTACATGACAATTGCATTTTACTGGACATACAGGGTGGGCCAAAAAAAACCAATACCCAACTTTAAATCAGGATAAAAATAGTTACGTTCAATATGGTACATTGACTTATATATCATTTTAAAGGTAATACATTTTCAAACAATTTGGTATATAACACTATGCAGTGTTTGCGTTGACGCCGTTTTTTTGCCATTTTTACGGAAATTTCAGATGGTTGGACGTAAAAATCAAAATCAACTTACGTCCCTAGGACACAAAAATTATAAACTGCTTCAAGATAACTTTTACTGCAGCACAGTAGCGGTGAAACATGATTTTCATCAAGATTTTCAAACTCACTACCTTGATATACGAGCAATGATCCAGGTATATTTATATCGACAAATCTGATTGGCTTTCATGACTACCCAAGATTAACAGGGTTTCCAGTGTGAGACATGGATTTTGATTGGTTCCGATATATTCCGGAAAATGCCGCAATCGAAATGGAAGATCAAAACATACAATATTGCAGAAATTCCCTGTGGTTCCCCACAAATTGAAACGATTGTTTTTCACGATTATCTTTATCATTTCCACTAGAAGCCTGGCGTCCGTCAACGGCAAATATTAGGTGGAGAACTTGTTTTTCTTATTGCATGTAACAGAAAGTAGTAACTTGACGGCGTCAACGCGGTAGCCTGACGTCCGTCAACACCAGGGATTGGTTGTACATAAACATTTTAATTGTTTTTTTCATTATTGTATGTAACATAATAATCTCAACCCCTTATGTAATATTTTATATAACACATGTAAACACACCAATTCTGGTGGATAAAATAAACATAAATAAATAAATAAACTAGAAACCATTATGATCTAATGTTATACATCAAGATAAATGTTTAATGATAGATCGAGGTTTTTCATCTAAAAGTCTTCAGAATAAGGAGAAATGTTAATAAAAAGAAGCAAAAGTTCACGACCTTGACATGACCTTCAAGATCGCAGGTTTGTAAAATGTGAAAACAAAACTCTTAATTTGAGCATTTCCTTTATTCATTTCGGACTATTTTGGTATAACATTACTTAAGAATTGTGTAAAAAGGACCCAGTGATAGATATTTATCGGGAGGATGCATCAAATTACAATATATGTCATTTTTATCCCATTATAGTGTAAGCACTCTATTATCGCCCACTTTATTTTCACTTTCACAATATTTCTTGAACTTTGTGAAGAAATAAGAGGGACGCAAAAAAATTAGATGGGGACTCAAATTTTTCAAATGGGTTGCGTCCCTGGGACTCAGAAATTTTAATGGCCAGCGCGAACACTGACTATGACATAAAGTCAATAGTAAAGGTGTATCATACTTATTTGGGAGGCTGGGTCGCTATTTAAGGTCTCTAGATTTTAGGGAGAAAACAGTAAATCTGTGGAATTATGTAAACTTTTTCTTCATGGAATATCATTTTGTTAGGTGAATACAAGCTTGTATATTTGCATCATTTGTGACTTAACTTATTGTTTATGATTTTTTTGTATTGTTTACTATCAATAAGTACTCAAAATAGGTATGTTAAAAGACATAAAACGTATATGTGGTGGGGGGGGTTATTTTTCAACAAGACGTTGCCTTGTCCCATAGATCAAAGGTGACATTGGTATTCCTTCAGTAACAAGTTGTCAATTTGACTGATCCAGATGCTTGGCCACCCACATGACCCAGAAGCCCCGATGCTAATGTGGTGGATTACCATACATGGAGCCATCTTCATATATGGTAATAGGTACAGGAAATGGTGTACAATCACAAGCATCCAATAAAAAGTAGTGATTAGCTGAACCGCGGAATCCTAATTGCTGGAATGTATTGCAACAGAAATCTGTTGATAGATGGCCCTACCGCTTGAGGCTTATTGTTGATGCATAGGGGGGGGGGGGCATATTAAGCAATTGTTTAATAAATAAATTGTAAAGTGTTATTAAACAATACTGAAATTCATAAACAATAAGTTTAGTCACACATTAATGCAAATACACATGCATGTATTCACCTAACAAAATGATATTCTATGAATAAAAAGTTTACATAATTCCACAGATTTACTGTTTTCTCCCTAAAATCTAGAGACCTTAAATAGCGACCCAGCCTCCCAAATAAGTATAATACACCTTTGCTATTGAATTTATGTCATAGTGTTATATACCAAATTGTTTGAAAATGTATTACCTTTAAAATGATACATAAGTCAATGTATCATATTGAACGTAACTATTTTTATCCTGATTTGAACTTGGGTATTGTTTTTTTTTGGCCCACCCTGTATATGAGCCTAATGTTTTTCATGAAAAATATTAGAAATATCACCCAAATTAAATTATAAATATTCAAAAGAGGTCATTTAAATCTACAAGATGTAAAAATATCAAATTTGTCCGAAGCAGAGGTAAAGTGAAGTAGACCGATTCGATAAAATACAAGTCTCGATTTGGAAAAAGAAGTTCATTTTATCATAAAATATCGTGTTTTTTATAGAATGTTTTCAATGATTGGTTTAAGAGAAAAATATTGTTGAATTCAATTCTCCATATCGATACCAATCCTTTGTCCGAAGCAGGGGTAACACTCAATTAGAGTGATGAACTTCGTTCTCCAAACTGAGAATAGTCTTATTATATAGTCTAATAGTTTATTCACATTTATATATATAAAGAACATGGGTTTTCACTTGAAAGTCTGTTCAACATACAATAAAGCTTTTAAATCTGAATAATCGCAAAGTTTAATTAATGTATTTAGAAGCTGTAGAGAAAGTGTTTGAGGATGAGGGAGGGGGATTCCAGTTTGTTATCAACTGTGCCATGGAAACCAAATATGGACAAATGGAATCAGTAAGTTTTAAATCAACATTTTTATTTCTCAAAGTCGATTGTAGTAGATTTTACACTATCGAGTCTGTACGAGGCATTATGTCTATTTTCTTACAATTTTTATTAATTTTTGATTAAGTAACATTGAAATTCCTTATTTTAATATTATTAACCCAATAATTCAATGTTATAATTGGAACTTTATTGAGGTCCTCTAATGTATGTGCATTATAATCACACTTTCATTTATAAATCAATATGTTCACACAATACATAATATACCACCCTGTTTGCACCCTGAATTTTTGATAAAATAAGAAAAATAGAAATAATGATATGACAATTTGAACCAATTGAAATTTAAATTAAAGAATACATTATGTCAACGGAAATATATTTTTTCCAATTTTGCCTCAAGTCCGAAATAAGTGCTGTGAGTACTCCTTCCCAATTGCATTTTCACTTTCACTTTTAAATTCCACCCTATGCAGACAGAGCCTGTGGGAAATATTGGGTGCGGCGCAAATGAGCGGAGGGTGCGGAGCTAACGGTCATTTTTGAATTTAAAATTGGGATATTTCTGAAACTAAGCCGTTTTGGGACTTCAAATATACCAAGATATGTGTATTTGACACCAAATATCAATAAAATTGTGAAAATAGTAGTGCAATTCATTTTATAGCGACGCAGTATGCCTTAAACATTTCCCAGACCTATATATTTTGAGACTATCCTTTTAATACTGCGTCCCCAGCATTCATAAAAAATGGTGTTCAAGATACACTACCCATGCAAATTATTTTTGCATCTTGGAAGCCAGGCAGTATCTGTGTTATTTTATAAAAATTCGGAAATTTTTTCAGATATGAGCCCCCTCTAAATATTGGGTGCGGAGCTACGTTTATGGAGCTGCTCCGCACCCAATATTTAGAGGGGGCTCATATCTGAAAAAATTTCCGAATTTTTATAAAATCACACAGATACTGCCTGGCTTCCAAGATGCAAAAATAATTTGTATAGATAGTGCACCTTGAACACCATTTTTTATGAATGCTGGGGACTCAGTATAAAAAGGATAATTTCAAAATATATAGGTCTGGGAAAGGTTTAAGGCACACTGCGTCGCTATAGAATGAATTGCGCTACTATTTTCACAATTGTATTGATATTTGGTGTCAAATACACATATCTTGGTATATTTGAAGTCCCAAAACGGCTTAGTTTCAGATATATCCCAAATTTAAATTCAAAAATAACCGTTAGCTCCGCACCCTCCGCTCATTTGCTCCGCACCCAATATTTCCCACAGGCTCTGTCTGCATAGGGTGAATTCACTCTGTGTGAGTAATTGAGTGAGTGAGGGTCACTCCATTTGTGTAGTATTGTTAGTTTGGTGTTGTTTTTATTTTATTTTTTCTAGTGTAAGTGTTTACGTGTCCATCCAAATATCATCAGTTTATATATAATTAAATTGATTTTTGGGTTGGAAATTGGTTTATCACTCTCAAAAATGAAATTTGAAAAATGTTGATTTTCTGTTCACTTCATTTTCAACAGTTAACCTCCTCCACAACTGACAATCTTTTGAAATTGTACATATAACTTTAGAAGTCAGTTCTGTTTTAAGATTCAAATACTGATATACAATTTAGAAATTTGAAAATCTTTGAATTGATGGATTTGCAAGAAGTTGTAAATGTTCTTTATCTTAAACACTATGTTGGTGTGGGGTTTCCTGTTAAAAATCATTTAAAGTAAATTTTTTAGTGAATTGAATTGTAAATGTATAAAGTGTACTGTTGTGAAAACTGTTTGTTTGTTGTATTTTTGTCTATTATACAATAAACTACATACTCCTTTGTGAACTCTCAATTTTATTGTATATATTTTACAATTTCCTTGTTTTCTCATCATTCTATATATCTATTTATTCTTTCCTCTATTTGAAACCCTTTCTTTCAAATTAATTTTTAAGTTTTTTATCTTTCTTTAATGTGTACATGAGTATGTATATTTTTGGTATTGGTTAAAACATTAGGAAATACATATATAGTGCTTCAAAACATTTTTTGTAGAAATTCTAAGCACTTTTTATTTATCACAATGTAACATAACAATCATTATTTTTTGCATTACTATTTAAAAGTTTGTTACCAATCATTATTTATATGTATGTATGAAACCTGTAAAGTGGAACATCTCTGTTAGTTAAAACTTTTCAAAGTCTCAGCAATTTTGCATTGTTATAGTTGTTGGTATTTATTTGAACTAACTTTGCATTGTTATCATATGATAATCATAACTTACATTACAGGTAACTTGCATTGTTCTTTCTTTTATAGTTAAATTGCATTGTTATATCATCATCCACAAGTTACATTGCAGGTGTACAATTAAGGTATATTACAGCTTAGTATTGTTACATTGCAGGTGTACAAGGAAGATATATTACAGCTTAGTATTGTTACATTGCAGGTGTACAAGGAAGGTATATTACAGCTTAGTATTGTTACATTGCAGGTGTACAAGGAAGATATATTACAGCTTAGTATTGTTACATTGCAGGTGTACAAGGAAGGTATATTCAACTTAGTATTGTTACATTGCAGGTGTACAAGGAAGATATATTACAGCTTAGTATTGTTACATTGCAGGTGTACAAGGAAGATATATTACAGCTTAGTATTGTTACATTGCAGGTGTACAAGGAAGGTATATTACAGCTTAGTATTGTTACATTGCAGGTGTACAAGGAAGGTATATTACAGCTTAGTATTGTTACATTGCAGGTGTACAAGGAAGGTATATTACAGCTTAGTATTGTTACATTGCAGGTGTACAAGGAAGGTATATTACAGCTTAGTATTGTTACATTGCAGGTGTACACGGAAGGTATATTACAGCTTAGTATTGTTACATTGCAGGTGTACAAGGAAGGTATATTCAACTTAGTATTGTTACATTGCAGGTGTACAAGGAAGATATATTACAGCTTAGTATTGTTACATTGCAGGTGTACAAGGAAGATATATTACAGCTTAGTATTGTTACATTGCAGGTGTACAAGGAAGGTATATTCAACTTAGTATTGTTACATTGCAGGTGTACAAGGAAGGTATATTACAGCTTAGTATTGTTACATTGCATTGTTATATGGTCATCAACTTAGTATTGTTACATTGCAGGTGTACAAGGAAGGTATATTCAACTTAGTATTGTTACATTGCAGGTGTACAAGGAAGGTATATTACAGCTTAGTATTGTTACATTGCATTGTTATATGATCATCAACTTAGTATTGTTACATTGCAGGTGTACAAGGAAGGTATATTACAGCTTAGTATTGTTACATTGCAGGTGTACAAGGAAGGTATATTACAGCTTAGTATTGTTACATTGCAGGTGTACAAGGAAGATATATTACAGCTTAGTATTGTTACATTGCAGGTGTACAAGGAAGATATATTACAGCTTAGTATTGTTACATTGCAGGTGTACAAGGAAGATATATTACAGCTTAGTATTGTTACATTGCAGGTGTACAAGGAAGGTATAGTACAGCTTAGTATTGTTACATTGCAGGTGTACAAGGAAGATATAGTACAGCTTAGTATTGTTACATTGCAGGTGTACAAGGAAGGTATATTACAGCTTAGTATTGTTACATTGCATTGTTATATGATCATCAACTTAGTGTTGTTACATTGCAGGTGTACGAGGAAGGTATATTACAGCTTAGTATTGTTACATTGCATTGTTATATGGTCATCAACTTAGTATTGTTACATTGCAGGTGTACAAGGAAGGTATATTACAGCTTAGTATTGTTACATTGCAGGTGTACAAGGAAGATATAGTACAGCTTAGTATTGTTACATTGCAGGTGTACAAGGAAGGTATATTAAAGCTTAGTATTGTTACATTGCAGGTGTACAAGGAAGATATATTACAGCTTAGTATTGTTACATTGCAGGTGTACAAGGAAGGTATATTACAGCTTAGTATTGTTACATTGCAGGTGTACAAGGAAGATATATTACAGCTTAGTATTGTTACATTGCAGGTGTACAAGGAAGATATATTACAGCTTAGTATTGTTACATTGCAGGTGTACAAGGAAGGTATATTACAGCTTAGTATTGTTACATTGCAGGTGTACAAGGAAGGTATATTCAACTTAGTATTGTTACATTGCAGGTGTACAAGGAAGGTATATTACAGCTTAGTATTGTTACATTGCAGGTGTACAAGGAAGGTATATTACAGCTTAGTATGAATTGTGCCAGAGCTGCAGCAGCACACAAATGTAGCCGATATATTGAGATTTCTAGTGGCCAAATGTTTTCTAGCAGTAAGGTAAATACATGTCATGCTCATTTAACTACTGTCATTATGCAACAAAAGTATTTTTTACATGTGTTTTACTATTATACTAATAATCAGATGGTGTTTTCTACTTTTTTCTGAAGTGTTTTCTACATGTGTTCAAAAGTATTTTCTGCATGTATTTTGTTTTTGTGTTCATAAGTGTTTTTTACTTGTGTTCATAAGTGTTTTCTACATATGTTCAGAAATGTTTTCTACATGTTTTTTGTACTTGTGTTCATAAGTGTTTTTTACTTGTGTTCAGAAATGTTTTCTACACATGTTTTGTGTACTTGTGTTCATATGTGTTTTCTACACATGTTTTGTGTACTTGTGTTCATAAGTGTTTTCTACATGTGTTCAAAAGTGTCTGTATGTGTGCTTTGTACTTGTGTTCAAAAGTGTTTTCTACATGTGTTCAAAAGTGTCTGTATGTATGCTTTGTACTTGTGTTCATAAGTGTTTTCTACATGTGTTCAAAAGTGTCTGTATGTGTGCTTTGTACTTATGTTCAAAAGTGTTTTCTACATGTGTTCAAAAGTGTCTGTATGTGTGCTTTGTACTTGTGTTCATATGTGTTTCCTACATGTGTTCAAAAGTGTCTGTATGTATGCTTTGTACTTGTGTTCATAAGTGTTTTCTACATGTGTTCAAAAGTGTCTGTATGTGTGCTTTGTACTTGTGACCAGATATGATTTCAGAAGTGTTTCTTCATGTTTACATTTCTATTCAGATATTCATGTTTTCTCCATGTATTTAACTCTGTTTTTAACATATCTTCAATTAAGTTTTCTTTCCTGCATTTTTCAGACTGCAGTAAAGGAAGACCACAAAGTGGAGCCCTGGACCAACCTTGCCAAACATAAGAGACTCGTGGAGGTAGAGCTAGAGACAATACCAGACTTAGATTACTGCATTGTTAGACCAGCAATACATTATGGCATAGGGGACAGAAGGGGGCTTAGTAAGTACATTGTATAGCTACATATATATGGTATGTACACCTTGTATAACTTCCATTATTTTGTTATTTGTAAGAATTCCAAAGTTGTTCTATTTTTTAAATGAATTTTTTGCAATGTGACAGTACATGTTATTTGTTTAAGAGAGCAATGTATGCATTATTTAGTTTAAATTCTGTGAGGTTCGAATGAGAGACACAGTGTTCTGATTTATACAATTTAATACAAAATTGTGAGAAAAGATGAATGTAAACCCCTTGCAAATAATTTTATTTTATTTTGGTTCTTACATTGGTTTGAACACCTGAAAACAATATAGTAAATGTAAAAATAGTAAACATCATTTCTCGATTTCTCAGGCTTCCTAAAATATGTTACCAGCGAAAGCTTTACATGAAATTCTTTGATGACCACATGTAAGTGGATATCGAGGGAGCCAGGATGATACTGCTGTAATATTTTCGGTTCATCATACGACGTGTATGTATTTATGTATTTGGTCTATTTTCAGCTCCAAGACTTATAATTGGTGCAGTATACAAACAAATAAAAGAGAAAATGAAGGTATGTAAAAAGTCTGTTTGAGGTATCCATGTGTAGCATAATGATCAATTTGGCTGAATCTATGTGATTTTAGTCCTAGTTATATAGAAAATCATCCATTTGAGACTCTACCCATCTGGAATTGGCTCATTCCCGAGAGTCACACGACTAAAACTGTTCATTCAGATATATGGAATATGATAAACTAATGAGAAGACTGAATCTAAAAGATGACTTTAATATTTTTCTGCTTTTATTCTGACCTCAATATATCATCTTTCGCATCTGCAAACATAAGGCAACATGACACGAATGTTTACATTTTGGCATTTTGCAAATATTTGTCTATTGTACTCTGTTGCTTCAATTTTGGTGTTAGATATGGTATAGCCTGTATTATACCAATCTAAGTCCAATTACAGTTGTATAACATGGGTATATAACAACGATATACAGTGGAGAGTGGTATATCGTCATCGTATACAACTCCTCCGTATAAACTCCAGCCTATACCACTGTAGAAGTGCATTCTGGGAACTAATGAATAACAAAATCATGAAAATTTTCATGATTTCCTAGAATCAAGTGACGTCATAAATGGTTCCGGCATGATTTGCTAGAATCAAGCCACGTCATAAATGGTTCGAGATCAACATCGGCATTATTGAGTTGGCTATGGGATGTTTTTATTATGGTTTTTATGGTTTTAATTGTTTTGATTGTGTTCGAATCAACGCTATGCTCACTTGTGGATATATCATATACTCACTCGAGTATAAACACGATATACAGAAAGAACCATTATATAACTTCATAGTACATCATCATTATAATAATTTCATCTTCATTATAATATACAGGTGTACATCCAGAAACAGAAATCACATAAACTCATATATTAAATAATTTAATTTCTTAGATGTTATGGACAGGCAGTCTCAAGATGAACACAGTACATGTATATGATGTCTGTCGTGCAATATTGCATCTTTGTCACCATGGTAACAAGGGAGAGATATACCACCTAGTAGATAAAGGAGATACAAGTAAGGATTTTTTGTGACCAGTCCAGCAATAGTATTTGTACTGACATTCATTGTAAATTATATCAAAATTTTTACTAAATCTTTTATTTGAAGGTGCCGGGACTATAAATGGAACTACAAATACTGTAGATTGATTTATACAAAGCTCTTTCACTAAATTATATTGGCTGCATAGATAGCTTACTTGTTTAATCCAACATTATTTTATGTAACATGATCTCCCTGTTCAACCCCCCCCCCCCCCCCTACATCAATATTGTGAGTGTATTATGTAAAAACCTTTTCAGCTCAAGGCAAAATAAGTGAGCTTGTATCTGAGGTATTTGACATAAACCATGACTATGTGGGGACAGCCATGTCTTCTCTTGCAAAAGTAAGTTACTTAAAGGCTCTGATTAAGTTTATGATGTTTGATTGATAAAGATATATTTTCAAACTTAGCATGGGGTCTTTAATATATACAGTAATATATGTTTTGAGATGAATTAGCATTGATGGGACTTGCTGATTTTATGAAATTAAATAGAATGAAAATGAGAAAAGCTTGTTATGAACAACTATGGTGTCAATTTTGAAAATAAGAATTATGCACCCATATACATGTGATGTATGTAAAAAAATCTTTGGAAAACACTTTAGTACAAATACACATGAAACTGAGAATGATGTCAATTTTGAAAATAAGAATTATGCAGCCACATTTGTATAAAAATCTCGGGAAAACACTACAATAGTACTATTTATTAACTATTGATTACTATTGATAGTAATTTCTTCACTTGCAGCTCAACTTTAAAAGTGTTGCTGAAGATATTAATGAAAAGCACATGATGCCATGGTCTGAGGCCTGTCAGAAGGATGGCATAATAAACACCCCTCTTAATCCTTACTTAGATCAGGTCAGTTATTAGTAGGTGGTGTTCTGTATCAAAACCTGTCTAATGGAACACCTCTATCTGTAAGGAATATACCTCTCTATATGGTACAGTTATGAGAACAACTATATCCCATTGACCTACATGTTGATGAGCCCTATCTGTAAGTAACACCTGTCTACAAGGAACAACCTATCCAGTATAGAGGGTACATACACAGGTTACCAACTGAGTTCAGTGTTCTAAATGTTCCCAGTTCAACATGTTTATGTACAAATAGACATCAAATAGTTAAAATAAGTTGTTTTTTATTTATTTTTTGATAGGATATTTCTGAATTATAATTGAGTATGGGTCATTTTACAAGTATTAGGTTTATGACTTGCCTGACCAATCAAAATATATAAAACAGTGTAAGAAATGTTCAACAACACCCATATGTCCAACAGTGAATAATATTTCCAACAGTTTCTGCCATGTTCAACAAACTATAACATATCTAACAGCGTTCAAAATCTTATTGATATGCCTCATTATCCTTCAGCTTCTTGTTTGTTGCATTTAGGAGCTGCTCTATGACAAGCATATACACATGGACGGCACCAAGATAGAATCTACAGGCTTTTGCTATGATAGGCCAAGCTTAACCATCGACTCATTAAAGGAGGTCAGTATATACGTCTATATAAGATCTTTACCACTTACATTTGTGGTTTAAGTACAAAACACCGCTATGTGACACTACCATATATGGGCATAAACCAGGTAAAGGCAGCTGCCTTGTCAAAATTTACAGATAGACTTTGCCTCACCTTTTTAAACTTGCCTCACCAATTTTAAGAACCTGGCTTCACAACATGACACTTTTCAACACAACACTATAATGAAGTATACTTACACTTTATTTGTGTTCTCTAAATGTTTCCCCGTTGCTCTCAGAATATCACATTTTATCAATTATTTTATCAATCTGAAATTATGGACTTTAATTCAAAATCATATGAGTTCATATCGAAATTACATTTAAATCATGTATTTTCTTAGGGCATACAGTGTAAACCATCCAAATACTGTTTGTTCAGCTCAATAATTATTTTAAAAAAAGTTAACATATTCATTTGACATTTTTGAATGTTGATGTATAGCAAAATGTAGGAATACGTATTGAAAAATAGAAGAATAGAACTTGAGGAATAGATATTGAAAAATAAGTGTTTAAGGGCAAAATTGGCGAGCTTACTTTTTGAATGACCTGTTTTGTTTTGTTTTAGATATTGGATGATTATGTGGAAATGGGGTTATTTCCCCCATCTCTCGCCAGACCATAGAACATATCGCAATAGGACATACATACATTCTGAAATCCAAATATGCATCATAGTTTTATGCATTGTCTTAATCAGGGCCTGGAGGCCATATTACACACTGAAAAGAGGGTCTGGAGGCCATATTACACACTGATAGGACGGCACTCAGGCCAAATTTCACACTGAGGCCATATTTTTTACTCGGCATAGAGTGAAACATACACTGCACTTACAAGAGAAAATCCCCATAAACGCCACAGGGTTCTAAAATTGATTACTTCAGCTGTACTGTTGACTTGAAAGTGACTTGAATACTTCAATAATTGAAGGATTAACTATTATGATTGTTTCTCTATGGATATTTTTGAAATTGGCCTTCATGATAATTATTAGATTTTGGACCTGCTTATGCGTTTTACCTTCGAGATCTAAGGTTCACTAGCTAATTCCTTAATATCTTTCGATGATGATTAGTAGTGAATTTCAAGTTTGTTACATTGCATGACATTTAGGACATCAAAAAATTTATTTAAGATGATTTGGGAAAATGCTGTTGCGTTTTGCTGTATACTTTCACAAATTAGTGAAAGGCAGTAATTGGATTTAAGGAATCGTGATATTTAAATGTGTATTTATAGAGTTTATTAATGTCTTAAACCATGGGCGCATTTTTGGAACAACTTTTGTAATTTTTGATTAGGTTGTACTTGTCATACCTGTCATTGTCCATTTAAGAGTACAAAATTTCTAGAAATCACAAGTATGATTGTACCAAAAATGGGCCCCAGTGACACAATTACTAAGATTTTTTAAAAATATTATAAAATGGTCATTTTATAGGTGTTTATGTCCCTGAGTATACTCAAATCATATTTCAGTGTGAACACCCTTGGTATATGGTTCTCTGATATCTAGCATTGTTAAACCAACTTGATATTATGTTCATAATAATAATTTATAGTAAATCACTTTCAGATTTGAAATCGGATATCAAAATTTAGGTCCGATCCTTTGAAGATTGATCGACTTTGTTTTACATTTTGAATTCACAATAAAGCTCCAATCTTGACGGGCCAATTAGATCCTGTCAATGCTTATCCTGCCGTCATGGCAACAAGCCATTAGGTCCAATGTGAAAGCTCCATATACCAATGGTGATCAAACTGTATCTCACATAATATGCAATTGAATTTACGCAAATAAGATAATAATTATTTGATTGATGCTTTCATAGTTGCTGCTTTCTTTTTTGTGTGCTTTGAGTGACTATTTATGGGAAATCTAGGTATTTAAGAAAAGTATTTATACGAGTATTTGCATCATGTGATTTGAGAGGATTTTACATATCAAATTATTCATATAGAAGTACCTGCAAAGGTATCTATTTCCTTAGTCTATGAGTGCATTTGAACTCTAAAGTGCATGTTACTATATAGAATTCACTGTCTAACATTATTTTTATGATATTGTTGCTAAGTGTTCAATGGTTTAGACTTCTTATGTTTTTAGAAACTATCAATATTGTTGAATCTCTGCAATACTTGAAAATGTGAAAAAGAATTGTTTGGTTTTAAATTGATTAAAAATTATTATAATGCCATTTATGATAGATCAGTCCAAATAATGTGGATGAATGTATTTGATATTTTGAAATGACCCATATTGTAAATCGTGAAGATGTTGTGATACATATCATTTTGAAGCAATATTTTATGTGCAAACTGTGATAAGGACGTCAAATCCCAGCAATAAGCAGAGAATGAGTTATAAAAGCTGTATCCTTAGATTCATCTATTTTTGGATGATGTATTTTCATAATTTATAAGGGAATAAAAGGAAGGGTATAATATATGATCTTACATTTATATCATAGTTTGTTTTTACATTGTTATTAAATATGTTAGACTTTATTGCACTTTTTATATTGTCAAGTTTTATATTGTCATCTGGTGATGTTGGACATGCATGCGTCTGTGCAGCCAGGATAACTGCTCATCCATTCAAATTGAAATTTTTACAGATAATAATAATTTTTTTTTTTTGACAATATCTGATTAGGTTTATGGCATGCTGGGTAAATTAGTACTTTCATGGTGGCTATTATTATATATCTTGGATTTTTGAGCAAAGTGGAAAAGATCCATTGAAACAAAAGGGAATTTTTATCATTGCCCATTGACAGTAAAATCATATTAACCAAACTGCCAGTAATATTCCTATATATTTCACATTGGTTGACAAATTTTTATATTTTACACTCAGACTAAACCATGGAAAATAAGGGCTAGGGTATCAACTTAAAAGTGTACAAGAGTATTCTATCAACATTTTTACAATTAAAGAGACCCTAACAATAGTTATTCTATTATTCTCAATAATTTCAAATATTCAACAAAATTTGAAGCATAATGTTGATGGTAATCACATGTTTCATCATTAATTAGTTTAAGCTGTTTGTTGCATCTTTTCTGATTGGGAAAACTGCATAAACCAACAGTTTATTCACGGCATCTGTATTCTCAATTGTCACTTTTGTACCAGGTGTCACTAGTATTTCTTGAGTGCCATCAATTTCTGCACTTACCAACTTGCCTTGAATTTTCCCGCTTCCACTCCATACAATTGCCATATATGGTCGTTCATCTAATTCCCGAACCCAATGAGAATTTGAATTGATCTCCATTCCTTCTCCATAAAACTCTCCAAAAAATATTTGAAAGTGTCGCCCCCATTTACCAGATGAGATTTCAAGACACTTATGGCGCCATCTGCTTTCAAATTCTGGATCCCTTGAACCATCAAAATCAACCATGTGATCTAGCAGACCTTGTTCATCTGGCACACCTCTCAACTGTTCCTGGGACTTTTTTGTTGATCGCTTAATCTGGTCTGGTTCAACATAGCCGAGTACCCATGCTAAATGGTTTGCATCATCCTGGGGTCTTTGCACCTCTAAGGTTGGCCAAGGCCCAGGTGAGTGCACCATGCCCGGTTTAATTGTCCAGCAATCGTAAGGCTGAACCTGGTAGCTTCTCAGTAAGGTGTAGCAAGAGTCGTCAAAACCAAACTGTTTCATTGCCTTCACAAGGTCCTCTTTGCTACATTGGGGCTTCAAGCCAAGTCTTGTCTTGTCTTTTTGGAACAACTTTTGTAATTTTTGATTAGGTTGTACTTGTCATACCTGTCATTGTCCATTTAAGAGTACAAAATTTCTAGAAATCACAAGTATGATTGTACCAAAAATGGGCCCCAGTGACACAATTACTAAGATTTTTTAAAAATATTATAAAATGGTCATTTTATAGGTGTTTATGTCCCTGAGTATACTCAAATCATATTTCAGTGTGAACACCCTTGGTATATGGTTCTCTGATATCTAGCATTGTTAAACCAACTTGATATTATGTTCATAATAATAATTTATAGTAAATCACTTTCAGATTTGAAATCGGATATCAAAATTTAGGTCCGATCCTTTGAAGATTGATCGACTTTGTTTTACATTTTGAATTCACAATAAAGCTCCAATCTTGACGGGCCAATTAGATCCTGTCAATGCTTATCCTGCCGTCATGGCAACAAGCCATTAGGTCCAATGTGAAAGCTCCATATACCAATGGTGATCAAACTGTATCTCACATAATATGCAATTGAATTTACGCAAATAAGATAATAATTATTTGATTGATGCTTTCATAGTTGCTGCTTTCTTTTTTGTGTGCTTTGAGTGACTATTTATGGGAAATCTAGGTATTTAAGAAAAGTATTTATACGAGTATTTGCATCATGTGATTTGAGAGGATTTTACATATCAAATTATTCATATAGAAGTACCTGCAAAGGTATCTATTTCCTTAGTCTATGAGTGCATTTGAACTCTAAAGTGCATGTTACTATAGAATTCACTGTCTAACATTATTTTTATGATATTGTTGCTAAGTGTTCAATGGTTTAGACTTCTTATGTTTTTAGAAACTATCAATATTGTTGAATCTCTGCAATACTTGAAAATGTGAAAAAGAATTGTTTGGTTTTAAATTGATTAAAAATTATTATAATGCCATTTATGATAGATCAGTCCAAATAATGTGGATGAATGTATTTGATATTTTGAAATGACCCATATTGTAAATCGTGAAGATGTTGTGATACATATCATTTTGAAGCAATATTTTATGTGCAAACTGTGATAAGGACGTCAAATCCCAGCAATAAGCAGAGAATGAGTTATAAAAGCTGTATCCTTAGATTCATCTATTTTTGGATGATGTATTTTCATAATTTATAAGGGAATAAAAGGAAGGGTATAATATATGATCTTACATTTATATCATAGTTTGTTTTTACATTGTTATTAAATATGTTAGACTTTATTGCACTTTTTATATTGTCAAGTTTTATATTGTCATCTGGTGATGTTGGACATGCATGCGTCTGTGCAGCCAGGATAACTGCTCATCCATTCAAATTGAAATTTTTACAGATAATAATAATTTTTTTTTTTTTGACAATATCTGATTAGGTTTATGGCATGCTGGGTAAATTAGTACTTTCATGGTGGCTATTATTATATATCTTGGATTTTTGAGCAAAGTGGAAAAGATCCATTGAAACAAAAGGGAATTTTTATCATTGCCCATTGACAGTAAAATCATATTAACCAAACTGCCAGTAATATTCCTATATATTTCACATTGGTTGACAAATTTTTATATTTTACACTCAGACTAAACCATGGAAAATAAGGGCTAGGGTATCAACTTAAAAGTGTACAAGAGTATTCTATCAACATTTTTACAATTAAAGAGACCCTAACAATAGTTATTCTATTATTCTCAATAATTTCAAATATTCAACAAAATTTGAAGCATAATGTTGATGGTAATCACATGTTTCATCATTAATTAGTTTAAGCTGTTTGTTGCATCTTTTCTGATTGGGAAAACTGCATAAACCAACAGTTTATTCACGGCATCTGTATTCTCAATTGTCACTTTTGTACCAGGTGTCACTAGTATTTCTTGAGTGCCATCAATTTCTGCACTTACCAACTTGCCTTGAATTTTCCCGCTTCCACTCCATACAATTGCCATATATGGTCGTTCATCTAATTCCCGAACCCAATGAGAATTTGAATTGATCTCCATTCCTTCTCCATAAAACTCTCCAAAAAATATTTGAAAGTGTCGCCCCCATTTACCAGATGAGATTTCAAGACACTTATGGCGCCATCTGCTTTCAAATTCTGGATCCCTTGAACCATCAAAATCAACCATGTGATCTAGCAGACCTTGTTCATCTGGCACACCTCTCAACTGTTCCTGGGACTTTTTTGTTGATCGCTTAATCTGGTCTGGTTCAACATAGCCGAGTACCCATGCTAAATGGTTTGCATCATCCTGGGGTCTTTGCACCTCTAAGGTTGGCCAAGGCCCAGGTGAGTGCACCATGCCCGGTTTAATTGTCCAGCAATCGTAAGGCTGAACCTGGTAGCTTCTCAGTAAGGTGTAGCAAGAGTCGTCAAAACCAAACTGTTTCATTGCCTTCACAAGGTCCTCTTTGCTACATTGGGGCTTCAAGCCAAGTCTTGTAATAACCTGGAAATGTTTATACATGAAAATCCATTTCTGAATCCATGTCTCCACATGTTGTTTGAAACCTGGGGAGCAAGGACTTTTGGAACCAAACTACAGTCAGACCCAATCAGAATTTTCTTACGAATTATCTTGGTCTTAACTTTAGAAATACTTTGTTTTGGTATGTGTTACAAGGCAAAATACTTTCTCCAAGTATACATTATATTGTAAGATAAAATAACTTTAATTTCTTTTTTACAGTGTCAGTATATTATGTGACAATACCTTTTCTAAGTATATATTGTAAGGTGGACAGTCTACTGGTAACATGAAGTAAGCCTCTAATTTACCATCCTCCATGCAACATCTTCCATCTTTGAACTCACCTACAAGTTCATCAATAAATGGAATACAGTGGTTAATTGTGAGGTCAAACTCAGAACTAAATGCTAATTGGTTCTAAGTAGAATTTAATTGTTCTATCCTGAATTAGTATTAGTATTAACATTAATATATGTCTTACCTGCGTGAACATGGCATGGGATAGGTGGCACCTCTTTAGTCCCAAAAGATGTCTCCACCAGATCTCCTCCAATGTCCAAAACTTTAACCAATGGCCACTTGTTGCCATAACAACCAAACAACTGTTGCTCAGCAACAGCTAGGGCATCAGTCAGAAAAATCTCCTCTTCATCAATTAGTAGTTTTGTCAAACCTATGAAGAAAATAATCAAAAGTCTGTACATGTATAAGCACATGAACTTCCAGAATGTATTGAGGGTCTTGTCATACCTTATCCAATAGAGGCTCCTCGCTCTCATACCTTGTCTTATGAACCCAGACCCCTCCCCCTATGTTATAAGTATGTTATTTGGCAATATTGTATATACCCTTAAATTTTGTATTTTATCACATTGAAAATAAAATATGGAGATATCTATCAAGATGTTGCATCTTTGACACAATCATGTTTTTAAATTTATGGATGGTTAGAGTGTAGGACTTTATGTGATCGAAGGCACTTATAATCACTCCAAAGTTAGAAAGTCCAGGCTCAATAAAAATACATTTCATATAGCACAATCTAAATATGATTGTGCTTTCAGATTGTACTCACCCTCATTTTCTTTTGGTATTGTGTTCTCGGCTGTTGTGTTTGACATGACCCACCACTCTACGGGAACATAACCTCTATCATCTACACATTCTGGCTTAAAACTACTGTTCTTTCCTAGGATGTTCCTTCCATTATATCCACCACGGTGTACAATAGCTCTCCTTGCAAACAACACACCATCTTGTTGAGCTAACGTCTGTAAGATCTTCTCTTGTAATGTGTTTTGTGGCACTGCCATTGTGTTATACTGGAAGGCTACTGTTAGATATACTATTGTTTTGTTAGCATAGTGGGTTATCTTGTGTTATGTAGAGTTTGCAATGACCTTCACATATGTATATATGAAGTTTATCTATGTGTTTATGTCTTATGTTTAGATGTTTGTAAAACAGACATACAATCATAAACTACACATATAAGGATACATAGAATAACAGACTAGCCCAACTACTAGGGGAACAGATGAATTTGGTCACTACCTATTCTTAATCTTACATGTGAGTAGTTTCACTAGAGGCACTGAAACTCATGGTTACATATAGTTTACTCCATTTAATTATTTAAGGTAAAGGTGAACTTCATTGAAATATTGTCAATCGTGCAAGATTGAAATCTTCAAACTCTTCACAATCCATTTTTTTTATTTTATTGACATTTATGCACTATTATCATTGGAAATACTGTACAGAATGATGGAAATTTAGCTTTTGTTTTTTAGTTCTTCCTTCCGTTGGATTTGCTCATACTGCATGTCCTGAGAGATGCTGTTTCTAATTTTCTTAACATATATTTGCTAAAATTCACCGATGGTTGAGTTTTGTTCTGAAATAGTGAATTTCTCATGATGTAAATTAAGCTTTAGTGCTTTTGTAGATCTTTGTACAAAGTTGATATGGTATTCAGAAATTATGTTTGGAAGACAAACTGAACAATAGCAGAAAAAGAAACACAATCTTTTAGTATTTATTTTGAGTCCTTTATTTCGGTAATCTTTAATAATGACAGTATCATGGAATAAATACCAAAGTGTAACTACTGCATGCAAAGGAAAGACCACATTTCCCTGATTGTTAACAGGAACAATGTTTCTACACAGTCCAACATCAGAGGCAATCATTCAATGGCATCAGGTCCCTCATATTCTATACATATAGTGTACCATGATTTTGGTGGTACTTTAGCCTTCTTTGGCATACATCTTGATGATATTCCCTTAGTGGCGTCTTCTAAAGCCCATGACAATCCTAATGATTGTTTCTTCTTTATCATCTCAATCTGTTGAGCAATTTTCGAATTTATGAATACAGGTTGGTCACATGGTGTTCCTTCTGAAAAACAAGAATAAGGCAATTCTTTATGGTAATATTCAAGACTATTGAATTTATGAATGTATATACAGGGAATGTTATATCTTAAGAAGATCTGGGGCCCATTAACAGAATTTTTGTAAAGTTATGAATTCGTAAATCAATTTTTGTAACCATGGATATAATGACGTCACAGTTAGAGAACAATGGATTTTATGAATTCTTAACTTTGCAAATTGTTAATGGCTGGTTAATTTTAGAAAACTTGCGTCTTCACTTTTTATATTTCCATTATTGGTGTTTTCTTTATGTATAAGCCTAGCTAGATTACCTCTTGGTTTGTTCCTTTCATTAGCATTTGTTGTCAGCACTGTTTGAACAATGTTCAATATCGCAAATACTCCAGTTAGAATCATCTTTCCTTGTTTGTATTTTTCTTCTCAAAAATAGATTGTAGGAGCTTGTCAACAAGCTTGTAGAATGTTCAAAACTTTCTGAATATGTGTATCATGGCAACCACAAATATTGTGACATCATAAACATGGGCTGTGATGTCATAAACACTGTTGGTGACATCACAAATATGAATTGAATTTTTTAACTTCTTGGGACATTGTGATGTCATTTCTTTGTTCATGTGTTTATAGTAACTGTTGCTATTTAAAACAAGTAATATCTATGGCATCATTGGTGAGATATATAATGGAACTCAAATATATGTTCCCATAACAACAAAATATAAACAAGAAAATCTGCTATGTATTATTTCAGAAGCTCATTATTGCTGGAATCACAGTATTTTGATTGGTTGATGTCAGAATTTATACGTTTGATTATGATGTAATAGATTGAAAAATTTATTTATATACTTGCCCACTTTACCATAGGAATGCAATGCATAATGAAAATCTCATTAAATGAAATATTTGCTTTAAAGGACAACTGAAATAGCTTTTCTCAACTTGCAGCTACAAAAATGCTGTTTTCTCTGTTGTAAGCCCACCGTAGAGTTCTTGCGATAGCCATTATAAAATAAATAATACATAACTGCTAACGGTAATAGATAACAAAATAAAACTAACTGATAAATCAAATTGGCCCCCACGTGATTAGTAACGTCATATACAAATTATAGCTTTGGTTTATTGGTTCCATAGTAATCACAACGTCACGGCAACCATAGGATTGTTGTGTAAACAAATAACAAAACATTTTGGCATTATGACGTCATGATCTAATGGACCAAAACGGGCCACGTGGGGGCCAGTGAGAGATCACGTGGGGGCCAATAACGTCACAACCAATTCGAATATTGCTTATTAAGCAGCTATAACGATCGTTAGAGTGCAATAGTTTTCACACTACTGATTAGAAAACATGTCCAAATACATCTATCAAAAAATTATATTGATTCCTTTAGGTTAAAAATACCATTTCATATCTGCTTTAATTTAATGACATTCACATAAAAACATTATGGTCTTTTTGATTCTTGATTATTATTATGATTCTCCAAAGAAAGTGCAAGTAAATTTTAAAATAAAAGTAATTTGTAAATAATTTTTTAAATCCCTGGGAATAGTTGTGATATGGGATGCATTAAGAACATTAATTGTCTCTGTGATTCATGATTATCACTTTAAAAAAACATCTTAAGAATGAAGTCGATGTATTGATAGCTTTTTTGAAAGGCCTGAATGCAAGTAATGCAAATATAACATTTTATTTATACTTGCACACTTAATTTCACTTGTATTTTAGGGAAGAGTCAATTGCCCTATTTATCTCTTAGCATCTCTTAAACAAAAACAATGGGATTTAAAGACCTACAGAGATTTAGATTGGTTAGTTTGTTCAAAATGATGGAGTCTTCATATTTATACCAATGCCAAATAATAGTACAATAACATTATTTCGAAGGGCTATTTAGTGAAATATTGGACCAAGGGCCGAAGGCTAGCACTAAAACCCCCCGAACTGGCCTGGCAAGGTGGTAATAATAGAATTTGATGAATTAAAACTATCTAGTACAGTTCAAATCACAATCTAAGTCAATCCTTCTTTTGGTCAAAGGTTAAAATAATATTTGACTTCTTATGTTGACAGATTACAGATGATTTCTATGAACTTATGTCTTGTGATTTGCTTGTGACTGCTTCAGAAAAATACTATGTATAGATGATCTAGATGTAATGACGGACAAAGTCAAAATATCAATACGTGAGATACTGATTGGAATTAGGTTAAAAGAAAAGGTAATAGTACATCACATTTTGTTAGCATTAAAATTGGGACTCTTAATTTGAAAAAATCAACAAATGTTCTATTTTAATTTCTTGGAAGGGGGAGGGGGCAATCTGAAAGGTAAGTACAGTAAAACCTGTATATAGTGAACACCTATGGAGGCACAAAAAGGTGTTCACTCTATGTAGGTGTTTACAACAGAGAGGGGATTTTAGACAGAAGGCAATGTAAAATGTGTCTTGACGTGGTGTTTGCTTAACACAGGTGTTCATTAGAGAGAGGTGTTCACTAAGACAGGTTTTACTCTATCACCACCAAAAATTGTGACATATTGTTATATTTTCCAACTTTTTGTGGATGGTGTTCAGCATTTGGAGTTTGGCATCTATAACAAATGGCAGGTGGTAACATTTTGTATGTTAATGCCTTGTTATATTGTAGGACAAGATTGACTAATATTGAGCCCTTGTGAAGTTTTCACGAGGGGATTTCATTGTTTATTTATTGTTTTGTTTTTGTTTCACTTATGTTGAAATTAAATTAACATCAATTAACTTTGGTAATAAAAGATGTACTCATTAACTCAGCAATTGGATTTAGGTCATTAAAATATTTCCAGATTTCTCCCGAAATATCTGTTAAAATTCAAGTGTCATTTGTATTGTAGTATGTTTTATGTTACCAGAAATCTGAATTTATAATTTGTCACATAGTGTCTGGGAAACCAGCTGGCTTTGTATAGTTGGGCAAAATTATAACAGAGAAATAAATTCAAAATTAAGTGTTAATAAACAAAAACAATGAACAAAATACATGTACAAAAGACATATAAAAACGCTCCGTCATAAAGTTCTGGAGTACATAATAGCAGAGAGTGAGACTAACTTGGATCATATTAATTACATATTCCATTGCCTAATATAAAGATTCAACAAACAATTCAGGTAATAAACATTATATAATATGATTAAGAATGAAGAGATGCATTGATTGTGCTTTGTAGTTTATTGTGCAAATTGGAATTGATTGTTTTTATGTCACCTCCACAGGTAGTGACATATTGTTATAGTCTCTAACTTTTTTTCATGGATGGTGTTAAACATGCGGTGTGATATCCTTAACAAATGGCAGGTAGTGACATTTTGCATGTTAATGCCTTATTTATTTTGTTGTGCATTTGTTGTCTTTTTGTTGCTCATTTGTGTATTGTGTATTGGATTAATTATGGATTGTGTATTGTTTATGATGTCATGAAATTATAGATTCCAATATTTTATATATCATCATGGATTCATCTGTTTTTTATCTTGATCAATCATTTTTAGTCTGGTTTATATTTAGGTTTAGCATAAAATAAATTTAAGTGTTTATGACGTGTCTTGTCAAAATGTTATATATTGGAAAAAATTGCCTGGTAGCATTTACAATAGTCTTTTAGTTGAAAGAGGACTTTGATAATAAATGATTGTTTGGATGGATTTAATCCAAACCAAAATAATTAGAATTAGGCTGTGTATACTTTGTGTAGTCTATGGTACCGTATGATATGGTATGGAATGGTGTGGGATGATATGGTGTGATGTGGAATGGTATGGTATTTTATATGATAAGGCATGATATGGTATGGTGTTGTATGGAATGGTATGGTGTTGTATGGTAAGGTATGGCATGGTATGGTTTGATATACAATGGAATGGTGTTATATTGTAAGGCATGGTATGGTATGATGTGGTATAGAATGGTATGGTATGGTGTTATATTGTAAGGTATGGTATGGTATGGTGTTGTATGGTAAGTTATGGCATGGTATGGTATGGTATGGAATGGTATGAAATGGAATTGTGTGGTATGCTATGTCATACTGGTAAATAGTTGTCTTTTAATGTGCCTCTAGTTTGTGATTTAGATTGCCCCCAAGAAGTAAGATGACCGCAGAAACCATAAGTCTGTATGTAAAGGTGCCACCAGACAGCTTTACTGCTGACCAAGGTAAGACAAAATGGTATCATCAAAAATTTGAAAACTTAGATTTTGTGTATTCTAGGAACTATAGTTTTAACATAGTCTAGCATGCCCCAAATAATGAATAATACATGTGCTTTCTGATTTGTAGAGACAGAGAATGTTCTGTTAGGCCTAGGACCACTTTGCCTGAAGGGATGTATGGACAACCCAACATGTGTTCAGCTTGGTACACCTGGGAATAAACTATACACATTTGTCAATGAAGAGGGCAGGTAAGGAATCAGTCAATCTTGTAAGGAATCTTATTAAGGAATCTGGTGGAGATACGGAATCTGGTGAAAGGAATTTGGTGAAGTTCAGGAATCTGGTAACTTAAGGAATCTGTTTAAAGTAAGGAATATCGTGAAGTAAGGGAATTGGGTGAAGCTAATAAGGAATCTGCTGAAGATAAGGATTCTGAAGAAGGTGAGAAATCTGGTGAAAATGAGGAGTCTGATGAATGTAAAGAAGCAAGTGAAGCTAAATAATCTGGTAAATTTAAGGAATTTGAAAATGTGGTGATAATAAACAATCTGGTGAAGTAAAGAAATCTGTTGAAGATTTAGGAATTAAATGCAGGTAAAAAAAGAAAACATAAGGGCAACATTGTATATGGTAAACCAATCAAACCTAATAAACCAACTAAACCATCATCAAAACAAGTTCCGCTGTACACGGAATCAGCTTAAAACATCCCAATAATTAATGCAAGCAAATAATATATCATTGAAACAATTGTTGATGCAAAATACTACAATCTGGTCTGGTCCATGTGCAGTATGGCAAGTGATTTTAGATGGTCATATTTTTCACCATGAGCACTTTCGGGGCATAAATACAGTGGTATTTATTAATTTAAACAATATGTTTTCTTTCAAGTGAAGTCCCAATGATAGTAAAATATCAATCCAACTCTTTGAAAAATTATGGTTTAGGACCCCACCTTGGCACTTTTTAAAAATTAAGGCTTATTTTCTAAAAAGAGGATCTTGTTTTTCACAATTTAAAGATATCAAAAGTTTCTTCTACATCATACGTATTAAGAATTTCTGAAAAGGGGATGGGTATAGAAATCCATTAAAGTTAAAACCACATATCCCATGTTATTTTCCCATAGAGAAAACTCATGCTATCATCGTGGGTACTTCACTTGAAAGAAAACATATTGTTTTAAAAAAACACTGTATTTATACCCAGAAAGTACTCATAGTGAAAAATATGACCATCTAAAATCACTTGCCATACTGCACATGGACCTTTGAAATGTAATTAACTGTAATAAAGCAGTGTTAATTAGTGTTAATTAGTGTTTAGATGTTAGGAGATATCAAATATTAGATGACTTACATTATGAATGTTTAATTAAATATTTTATTGAATTTTAGTCATGCCTCAATGAGAATCTACAGTCATGGTTTGGTGACCTTCGATATACAGTACCTTATTCAAGATGGAACCAGTCCATATAACATGGATGTAAGTATTATTTTATTACAATTGTAATATATTCCTAGTCCATTTATTGATGAATTCAAAAAGCAATAAAAGTCAGTTTAGTTGAGAGTGACAAAGATTCAAGAAGAGTTGACACATTGTTATAGCCGCTTTGGTGACATTTTGTCCTTTTTATGCCTTGTTATTTCTTTTATTTTTATGTCACCACTCACCACCACAAGTGGTGACCTATTGTCATAGTCTCCAACTTTTTTATAGATGATGTTTGCAGTGTTTGGCATTCCGCAGTTGCTGTTGGTGTTTGTAACAAATGGCAGGTGGTGACATTTTACATGTTAATGACTTGTTTTTATTTCAGTACATTCGGAACTTGCAAAGCAAGATTAAACAATACCTAGGAACCCTAACCACAGAGGTCAACAGGTAAAGAAATTCATAATAAAATAAATATAAAATAGTAAATTTTGCGGTTTTCACATGTTCAAATTTTTATCTGAATCATCAAGTTTTGTAAACTATTACCACAGTAGTTACATCCAACCCAGTGTAATATTTGGATAGAATTTATAATTACTAGATCTTGGAGAATGGTATGCTGCACCCCAACCTCTATTACATTGTCAATTTTGGTCTATTTGATCTCATGAGCCAGTGTAAGAGACATTGTTGCTATATCCCATTTATCGCCCAATAACACTGGACTAACGTTTTACACAAAATTAATTGCATCTTAGCCCTAGGTGCTAGGTAATAACAAAAATTTTTTTGTTGCACGATGGAAAATCCCATTATACTTGTTATATTTTCAGTCTGTATACCCCTATTAAACGTGGGGGTCCTGTCTGGCCCTACACAGTTGCCGGTGATGAGAGACTCATAGAGGCAGACTATGATGCAGTTGTTAGTAATGTCGATTCAAGATGGCAAAATATACTCATAATGCACTCCAAGGAGCATGGCAACGTGCTAAGGCTAGACCATGACACAAGTATGAGATCCAATTATATGATATAATATTGTGTATGATACTGTTCCGTTTGATGTCTCCACCAACATATTGATATATAGTGTGGGTTTTTTAGATGCAATATGTTTGTATATTTTAGATGAATATGTTGTATGGGCTGTAAAACCCAGAAGCACTCGTTGCCATAAGTCGCACCCTCAAAACCCGGGTTTGCCGTCATCCAAACCCGCCTTTGTAAAAATGTGAACGGTTCATAATTAGACTCGTTCGTGTTATTTTCGCGAGTTTTCAAACCTGGATTTAATTGTTTTTACTAGAAGGGTTCCTCGTTATCAATTGTAATATATAAGATTTTATCCCAAACAGACACAATAGAAATTGCAACACTGTAAGATGGTAATAGCGTGGAATTGTATTTAAATCAAATATTATTTATATGTATGAATAAAAATAAATTTGTTTCAAGTTCCTCATCTCTAACTGGCCAATTTTTCCTTGTTTTAGTAGCCGTTGTACTGATATATTATCTTAGTCAAAATAGAGAACGAACGAGTATAAGGGGTCTTCTAGCTTTGCACATTTCAGACCAGTCATAATACGTAACTATTTCCAATATGTTTAACGTCTTGGTAGATACAAAATAACACGTATAAAATTCTAATAAAACGAACTTTTATGTTTCGTGGCCTCATTAAATACTTATTTTGTTTGGAATGGCCTTAAACCCTGGTCCGCGAAACAAACATTTAAATAAGGGATTGGCGCACCCGGGTCTGACTGTAAACCTCCTGTTCACTGTCGTATGAATTATGAATGTAGTTTCGCACACTTGTCAACGGAAACAAACAGTGAACCCTGCTTTCCCAAACCCGGGTTTCCAGGATTCGCCTCGCATGCCTTCGACTCTTTCTCGTAAAACCTGTGGCCTCTTGTTATTTAGGGAGTTTCAGCCATGTTCATTTTTCTGAAAGCAAGTCAGTTGACTCGCACTGTTACAGCAATCATTTTCATGATTGGCATCATCTTTTTGGCATGCGTAACATTATTACACTTTCATAACAGTTTTGATGATGTATGTTATGAAAAAATAATCTTCTTGTGCACGCGTATATGTACTTTTAAAAGTTGTTATATTTTTGTTTTCAAAACGATTTCAGTGTATGGAGAGAGTGACAAAATCTACATAGACACTTTATGCCAACTTGGTAGATTAGACTTCAAAAATAAAGAAATCCTCATCCTTGGAGGTGGAGATGGAGGGATAATACATGAACTGCAAAAGGAGAACCCCAAAATGATAACAATGGCTGAAATAGATGAGGAAGTGATTAAAGTGTGTCGGAAACATTTGAGAAGTGTTTGTGGAGATACTATGGATACATTTATAGGCCCAAATTATAAAGTAAGTATGAATGTGTGATTTATATGGATTTATATTTTTACTGATGATTTTTGTTGAATATATTGTCAAATGTTGAGCTGATATTAGGTTGAGTTGTCATTGTGTTGAGTTGTCATTTGGATTGAGTTGTCATTTGGGTTGAGGTGTCATTTCGGTTGAGTTTTCATTTGGGTTGAGTTGTCATTTGGGTTGAGGTGCCATTTGGGTTGAGTTGTCAATTGGGTTGAATTGTCAATTGGGTTGAGTTGTCATTTGGGTTGAGTTGTCATTTGGGTTGAGGTGCCATTTCGGTTGAGTTTTCATTTGGGTTGAGTTGTCATTTGGGTTGAGGTGCCATTTGGGTTGAGTTGTCAATTGGGTTGAGTTGTCATTGTGTTGAGTTGTCATTTGGGTTGAGTTGTCATTTGGGTTGAGGTGCCATTTCGGTTGAGTTTTCATTTGGGTTGAGTTGTCATTTGGGTTGAGGTGCCATTTGGGTTGAGTTGTCAATTGGGTTGAGTTGTCAATTGGGTTGAGTTGTCATTTGGGTTCAGTTGTCATTGTGGTGTCACTGGATTTACATGTCATTGCATTAAGTCATTTGATTGGATTATCATTGGGTTAAGATATAATTTTATTGTAATTTAGGTGTCACTGTGTTAAAGGGCCATTGGTTGAGCAGCCATTGTGTTGAGTTATCATTGTGCTGAGGTGTCATTGGTTTGAGCTATTATTCAGACGAAGTGTCATTGCATTGAGGTGTCATTTGGGTTGAGTTGTCATTGTGCTGAGGTGTCATTGGTTTGAGCTATTATTCAGACGAGGTGTCATTGCATTGAGGTGTCATTTGGGTTGAGTTGTCATTGTGCTGAGGTGTCATTGGTTTGAGCTATTATTCAGACGAGGTCTCATTGCATTGAGGTGTCATTTGGGTTGAGTTGTCATTGTGCTGAGGTGTCATTGGGTTGAGCTATTATTCAGACGAGGTGTCATTGCATTGAGGTGTCATTTGGGTTGAGTTGTCATTGTGCTGAGGTGTCATTGGGTTTAGCTATTATTCAGACGAGGTGTCATTGCATTGAGGTGTCATTTGTGTTGAGTTGTCATTGTGTTAATATTTTCATTTTTAAGCATACCTATTCATTTCCACCCAAATTATAATTGACATTTTTAAAGGGTTGGGTAGGGACCAGCTATAATAGAAACAGTACAGTACATTTTTATGTATATCTTTCTAGACTCAAGCTGTTATGTCAAGTAGAAGGGGCATGTCGTTATAGCCATCAATTTTTTATTCTTCCATTCAGTGTCACTATTTGGTGTCAACATTAGAAAGACGGTGTCTGTAACAAATTGTTACACTTCTGTAACCAACCATATGTAATAATGTAACCAGATTAGGATGTTTATTGTCATGTTTTAAAATGCTCTGTCTACGTATATTGCTGTAGATCCTAATAAAAGACTGTGTAGATGTTCTCAAGCAAGCCATAGAATCAGGGAAGAAATATGACTTTGTCATCAATGATCTCACAGAATTTCCAGTAGACAAAGAATCAAAAGGTATTTAATTACTTTCTACGGGTATTACATTTATACAAATACACGTATGTCATTCTACTTAGTTGAATAATAACTGCATACATATTTCACAATTTATAATTCCCGTAGACATCACACTTGAGCGGGAAATATGGCTTTGCATTCTTGGGTCAGGTGTATGACGTGGACCAATCAGGGAGTGAAGAATATGATGATAAAATAATAACTTAAAAACTAAATTTCATGGATGTATCCATGTATGGTGTGGACAAGGGAACTGCCATTCTAAAATTTTGCGGAAATATTTTTTTGAATTCAACTAAAACCAAACAGTTATATTCAATTCTAGTATCAAATATGTTTGTAGCCATGTATAAAGTTTGCAATGCCAAAGTTTACAGAAATAAAAGTTTCCAGATATTTTTTCAATTTGAATTGTGGAAATGTTAAAAGTACAAGTAAATTATATACCTCTCTTTGCCTGAATTGATTTTTGCCATGCTTAATTTTGGCTCTTGGCTACACCCCTGAATTAAAACTTCATTCATACAAATTAGATCTGTCGAGCAATCTTGTAGCTTCCAAAAATACTGTGTGATCATGTCATCATCGCCTTTTGGGTTATAGAATGCAGATACTCTTGGTTTGGCTTTCTACAGGAATATTTCATTAAAGCTACAATACTACATTTACTACCTTCATGATAGGTTTTCCCATTGTATGCTCTTCATATTAGTTCACTTTATAATTGACCATATAGAACGATGGAATTGACATGTGTTTAGGTCACAGTAAAAAAAGCATGATTTCAGGACATAGATTCAATAACTTTAGCCCCTGAGAGTTGATACAGATGCTTATACAATGAATATGTTCAGTACATACAATCGAATACCCTGGATGTGAAAAAGGACTAGGCATCTTTTATTAGACCGTCTCACCTTGAGACAATTTCATACAATCTGTTGTATGCCCCAGAAGAATTCTACGATTAGTATAGACTGGCAGTTTATCCTAGGCCTATTTACTACACTGAAATCAAATTAATAGCATAACCTTTAAAATATTACAGAATAAAAAATTGTTCTTAATGCTTCAGAGTGAGTGAATGACAAGCAGCACACAGGAAGATCAATTTCTCGTTTGAGGAGACCATAGTTATTGCTTGCATTTACCCATACAGACAAAGGCTTATAGACTACAGTTAAACCTGTCTAAGTGGAACACCTTTGGTACATCTAAAAAGCATCCCACTTGGGAGGTGTTCAACTTTTAGAGGTTCATTTAACATTAAGTCAGTTGGTGTTGAAACTCTGAAGTGTTCTACTAACAGGTGTTTTACTTTACAGGTTTCACTGTTCATTAAAACCTGGGGCCATGGATAAGTGCTTGCCGCTTGGTGTGTCATTAACAGGAACTTTGTAAAGTTCAATTGTTCCTCTTACTATGAAGTCATTATATCCATGGTTATAATTGATTTATGAATTCTTAACAAAGATTCTGCAAGTGACTCCCGTGTTGGGGATATATTAGAATTTTGGATCTGTTTTTGGCTGTGCAATATCTCCTCCTGTTGTGTCACCATCAATGTGACCAGTGATCAGTGTCAGCATTTGGTGATTTAACTGTAACACTTGTCACTCTCTTGGTGGTTACACTTTGTAACGTTAATGTCTTTTATTGTATTCATATTATTACAGGGTTTGATTATGACTTTGAGACAGCCAGTCAAGTATTAGAGATGTCCCTACAGACAATCAAAGACTCTGGAAAATACTTAGCCAGGGTAAGTTACCCCCATAAATGTGGGGTCGAATTGGCGTTTTTTCTTATTTTTTAATATATTAGTGCCAATGAGTATTGGCGCAAGAATGATAAAATATAAGAAAAAACGCCATTTCGACCCCACATTTATGGGGGTAGGGTAAGTCTCCCAGAAAACATGTTCTGGGAAATTATTTTTAGATTAAATCATTGTCAAATTACATACTAATATTTTATTTCATTTCCAAATATTTATACACTGCTGTTTGTAGATTCCATGTTTCCAATTAGATTTATTGAACAGTATGCAATAATAAACTCTAAGGTTCACTAGAGTTCAAGTTTTGGAGTCTCACTCAAGGTTAATGGTGTGACCCTTACACCTTGTAGCTTCAGTTTATTTCCGATATCAACTGCATCTTTTAGAACATTTTCAAAGTGCTTTTCCTCCTTTCTGATGACTAGCTCCAAATAGATTTCATTTTCAATTGAACGCCATGTAGATCCAACTTTGGATATCCGATGACCTAGGTCTGCCATGTCATTGGATGCGGCACATGCCTGGAGCCTCAGGCTGGAAATGTCATTCTCCAGGAACTGAATGCGATCTTTGAGGTCACATGGTATCAGTTCTCCAATATCTAAAGTATTCTGTAGTTTCTCTGTATTGTATTGTCTAGTGGATTCATTTTCATCACTTAGAATGTGCATGTCATCATCCAAGTCATTATTTTGAGTAATTGATTCCTTACTTGTTTCATTTGTAGCGGTGTCCTGATTTCTTTCAGCATTAATTATTGAAGGCTTACTTGTATCAGTTAGTTGCTGTATTGTTCCTTTACTCATTTCTTGCAATGGAGATGATGTCACCACATTGGAAAAGCTAGGTTCCCAATTCATAATTCAGATGATGTGATTGATACTGGATCTTTCTTTATAGCTTTTGAATATTCCTGCTCCAGTTTCAGTTGCAGTCACAGATTGTTGTCATTGTGATGTCATCAATAGTTCATTGTGATTCATGGCAATTGTTACTGTACATGATTTTTTGGGACAATATGCTCCATATTGTAGGGCACCTCACTTCCTATTTTCTTGTATATTCATTACAGTGGCACTGTTCATAATGGTTTCTTCTGAGTAAAATGATGCTGTTCTTGATGATTTCTTTCTTCTATTTACAATGGTGCTATGAGTTTGGTTCCTTCTGATTACAGTAATGTTGTTTTCAATGATTACAATGTTACCCCTTCTGATTATGGTGAAGCTGTTCTAAGTGATTACAGTTTGGTTCCTTCTGATAATGGTGATGCTGTTCTCATTGATTACAATGTTACCGCTTCTGATTACAGTGATGTTCTCATTGATTACAATGTTACCCCTTCTGATTATTGTGATGCTGTTCTAAGTGATTACAGTTTGGTTCCTTCTGATTACGGTTCTCATTAATTACTATGTTACCCCTTCTGATTACAGTGATGCTGTTCTCAGTGATTGCTGTGTCGTTCCTTCTTATTACAGTGATGATGTTGTACGTGATTGCAGTGTGTTTCCTTCTAATTGTAGTGATGCTGTTCTAAGTGATTGCAGTGTGGTTCCTCCTGATTGTAGTGGTGCTGTTCTAAGTGATTGCAGTGTGTTTCCTCCTGATTACAGTGGTGCTGTTCTAAGTGATTGCAGTGTGTTTCCTCCTGATGACAGTGATGCTGTTCTAAGTAATTGCAGTGTGTTTCCTTCTGATTATAGTGATGCTGTTCTCAGTGATTACAGTGTGGTTTGAAATGGACTTTTCCTCCCTCCCCTAACCTCCTCACTCTCCTACCCCAAATATAATATATTGGCTGATATATTAAGCTTCTCCCTTAATTTACTTCCAGGGTAACACAAAGAGTGCAGTAGAATATCGTGAAGGTTTTGAGAGAGACGTTAGAAAACTGGGTGCAACTTTTACTAGGAGGGATGTCCATGTGCCATCTTTCTATGAGGTGTATCCTTCGTGAAACCTTTTCAAGAGTTTCAAGTAGCAGATTGATACATAATGTTCATTTAAAATGAGAAATTTTAAATCTATATTTCGAATCACCAATATCACAGGTACTAACCAGACCTCATGATAGCATGAGCTTGCTTGGTGGTACTAGCTTAGGCATTGGGCTTCATGTAATGGTGAACTTAATAGTGGTACAATCTGCTCAATGTAGTCAGTCTAAAATCCTCATAGTGTGTTAAACCCTGGTTAGAATGGTACTGGGAATATGGGAACATTGTACTATGAATTGAACATGCATTCATAAACCATTTAAAACTATTTTTAAGGTATGAAATTATATGTGGTTACACATTGTAAAACATCCTCAATTCATACATGCCTTTTGCATGAATCTTTTTAACAATATTGTAACAACAAATGAGAATGAAGATAAGATAGAATTGCCATGATTTGAGACAGTTAAATGACTGAATGCTTTGAATGCTTTAAAATCAATTAAATATTTTAGAGTTTCAATGAAATTAACATACATATTCACTGAGCATTATAATATGGGTCTAATTTGAATTTCCTTGACATCTATATAGCTATTCCCTTTATGAGATATGGAAGTTATCCACTACATAGACATATTCTCTGTTTGAAATATGAAAGGTGCATGAGATATCCACTACAATTACAGTATCCACAACATAGACATATTGCCTGTATAAGATATGAAAGTTATCCACTATATAGACATATTCTCTCTATGAGATATGAAAGTGATCCACTACAAGGACCCATCTTTCACTGTATGAGATATAGAAGTCATCTACTACAGAGACATATTTTCCATATGAGATATGAAAATTTTCTTCTTCATATACAGATACAATTCAAATGCTGTATTATAATCAAACCAGCATAAAATGCAGAGCATTACATCTTTTAGGAACTTATATTTTTCTGAAAAGGTTTGAATAAAAGTAATGTGTTTGTTATTTTCTGTTGGCTTGGATCTTAATATTAAAAGAAAGATACCAATCTTTATGCATGCATGGGTGTTGTAATAATTTAACATCTGGAATAATCTGGTACATAATCAATTAGAAGTCATATTTGCAGTTTCTGAAACAGTTATATTACCCTTTATTGTTATCAGTTTATGGCGTTAATCATTTCTTTGAAAGACAATGTGGAAAATTAATGTTAATGAATCAATGTATGAGTTATATTTTTCATTATCAGATTATTGCCTCAGACATTTTCCGTAAATTAGAATCTTTTGGTTTAAAATATGTGAGTGTTAAATACTGAAAATCCCAAAATAATATACTGTTTGGATTTTGGGCTATTTTTGCTCACATGATGAGCCTATAGAATCACCCACTTGGTTAAATGTTCATCCTTTCGTTTAACTGTCTGTTTGACAAAACAAACACTGCCATTTGACTACTCTTGTCATTTACAACAACATTAGTTCGAGCTCTTGCTTTTGCCTCATTTTGGAAAAATCTGCTTAAATCACTCAATGAGCCCACTGAATGGTGCATTGTAGCAGGGAAAGGTTGTGTAATTTCCAGATAGATTATATACCATTGGAAAGCTTATATACTGTATATGCTAATTTGTATATTGAGCATATTTCCCAGATCCCCGATGGATAAGCTTTAAAATGTTGCAAACCAGCTACAATTGCACTTCCTAAAAACATACAACTCTGGAGCCTTCTTTAATCCTTGTTCCATACACTTGAATATATAAGCTTTCCAATGGTATGTAATTTATCAATAGGGTATTTTTTTAATTAAACTGCCTTTTTAAGCAATTTTTAGTTATTGGCTACTGACCTAGTATACAGCAACATCTTTAACAGTGAAGTTGAATGATTTACAATCAGATTGATGTGAGGATGTATGAGTATAGGGCCATGACAAAAATCTCTCACATTTGGCACAAAAGAACTTTTTAGAAGCTCACATTTAATTGGAGTACATGGAGATGTTGAATGGCTCCTTCATAAAATGACACATTACAAACAAATCATGAACAGTAGCTGTTGATGGATAAATACTGCCTAGACTTAACTACCACTTTAATGACTGTTAGCTTTGAAAATGACCTTGTATCAAATGAACAGCAGAATAAACTGAAATTGATTTCACCATTCGTGACTTTATGATAAATGTAACAATTTACTTGTAGATAGAATAAACATGTAGACAATTTTATTAGGATTTAATCAAATAGCCATCTAGGAAATAGTGGTTATTAATTTTATACATAATGAATAGTATATTAATAGTTTTTATGACAATTGAAAGTGTTAAAGCTATTTGTTGTATAGTCCTAAGAAGTACAAAGACCCTGTATTGATCAAATATGATGCTTGCTCGAGGATGCAGCCAATGTGCATTATTTAGATGGGTTAAATAAATGCATGCATCGATGGTTTTAAATTTCAAGTAATAAAAGATTCCAGGACTAAAAGATATAAAAGAGTTTATTTGTTAAAATGTAAACTGTACTGGGCTAAAAATACATATTGTCAGTCCTTTAAATACTATAAGTTATTGAATGATTTGAAGTGCAATACAGGATATATTCTGTTCGAGAAATTCTGTATTGGAACGAGACGAAGTCGAGTGCCAATAAAGAATATCGAGACAGAATATATCCTGTATTCCACTTCGAATCATTCAATAATGTTTTTATCGTGTGATCCTCTGTATTGCTACTGAGATTGTCCCTTCCGTACCAATATTTTCTGTATTGCGACGGAGATGATCAACGGGGACAATCTCAGTAGCAATACAGATTGGTACAACACAAGAACTGACCAATCAGAGGGCTTCATTTCACAGTTCATACAATAAAGTACTTTATTGTATTCCCAGAATTGTATTTCAAATCGAAAAAAATGAATTCTCCTTTGTGTGCTTCTGTATTTTATCCAGATAAACTAGTAAAGAACCATTATATCTGCTCATTTACTTTATATTTAGAAGGGTCAATCTTTCAATATGTGCAACCATGGGCTTTCTAGAAGACAATCAAAAGATCATGTTTTGGTAATTACTCCAAGAATCAGGAAGGAATGTCATGGATGATGTCTCATTGCTGCGTTCAGAGGATGGTTTTGGTAATTTTGGTCAAAAGTTATCCATTTCAAAAGTGTCATCAGAGGGTCATAATGAGTCCCAGGGTTGATAAAAGAATGGTTGTGTCATGTCATTGTCTAAGAAATTCCCGTACTAGGCCTACAATGTATTAAACAGATTGCAGGCTCTTATCTTGCTAGGTGAAAAACTTTTTCGAACCAGTTACCCTTAAAGAATTTATTTCAGAAATTTCCTAACAACCGCCATAAAGTGAACAGCATTCTGATTTCTTTGCTTCAGATTTGTCATAGTCCAAGAATATCCATTGTGCCATCCAACACACGTATGTTATACATCCTTCAGTCTTTTGACTGTATTCCTTACAGAATGCCTGGTCTTCCGACTCTACTGTCGTTGGGGCCAAGGTAGTTGCTAAAATTGAAATAAAAAATCAATTTTACACTGTTCAACAATTTTTTTCGTCCAGGGTTCAAATTAGACACTGCCTCATTTTTAATCAGTTTTTAATCATGGCAAATTGGATATTTGTATTTGGAATGGAATACTATATATTCATATTATATCATATCTTATATTGTTTTGTTGTAAGACATGCCAATACCATAAATTGTGACAGTCATGTTTACAACCAAATCTTGAACCCTATTGTCCCCATAGAAAATAAAAAATTATCAGAGATTGTTTTAAAATGAAGCAATAGCTTACGAATTGTATAGTCAGCTTCATTGCAAGTTGTTCTAAATCTCCAGTCACAATTTTTCTTAGTTTCACTCCAACGATTTAGATAAGGACATTTCATTATTTTTGGAACACTGTCTGTACACTTCCAATATTGTGTACAATCATAGATGTCTTGGAAGTAGCCATTTGCCTGTGTGCAGGTAAAATGATATGGAGGTGCAGCTAACTCACGTCTTTGTCGTAAACTATTTATCCTTTTTTCTAAAGTGTTTTCTGAAAAAGAGTTTCATTCTCTGATAAAAGTTGTTACATACATGAATACATTATGAATATATGGGTTGAGCCCAAAATGCATGTTTCCAATAATCTGTATTCCTAATTTTAGGACATTGAGTGCATGGCTATTTTTAGATTCAATGAAATTGACTACCCTCAACAATTTCATAATATTGAGTTAGCAGTTGAGAAAAAAGCTATAACTAGTATCATAAAATAGTCAGGTGCTTATGCAGGTCAAAATGTCAAACATGCAAGACCCTTGCAAAAATCATTATTTTAAGTGCTCTGTGCAAAATGTTTTGCAATGTGTGAAAAAAATTAAGCAGATGACTCAATGAATTGTGGATGATTTATACACTCATGTCTTATATCATAGACTTTGAATTTGGCCTGCGACCCTCATCCAAAATCATAGATTAAATAATCTACAATTCCTGAATTTGGATCCTTTTGGATAATAGCATTCAGGAACATTAACAAAATCTTAAAAAGGTGAGGCAAATTTAAATAGGTGAGGCAAAACTTGAGCCAAAGAGAATATTCAATGGCGGATCTGGGAACCAACAAGGGCCTTGATAATTTGGCCTAAAATTTAAAAATAAGGCCTTAAAAGGCCCAGTGATGACCAAAAAGGCCCACTAGGCTAATTGGACTGTTGGGCAAGAAAATGTATTTGGGCACAATTTTTTTTCTGGGCCCAGATATTTTACTTCTATGCAACTAGTTCCCACATTGTTTGTAAAGACATCTTAGAAGCATTTATCTGTTGTACTTTTATCAAGGCAGTTGCCTCAATAGCTAGTCCATTTTCAGGGAAAATGAAAAACAAAATATTGATGAAAATTAACTCATGGAGGTCTCTTCTATAACTTGATAAAAAACTCATAAATGTTGAATGGAAATATTACAGTGGTATTTCTTCCTAGGGCACCTGAAAGTTGCTATATTGTTGTCTTGTGGTGATGGCCAGGTGGGATGTGTTGTCATCATGATAACAAGAGAATCTTTCAACCATTTAACACCTTCACATTTAATGTTGAACAGCTGCAAAATCAGACTCGCATCATTTCTGATTATATATTTTACTTTTGCTGATTAAGTTACAAGGCAATTTTTTTCAAGTGTGTATTTTTCACTCTGTGTCTTAAAATTTAGAGACATAATATTCATGAGATGCACTTTTACATTCTTCTTTCTTCTATATGAAATAATGTTTTTATTTCTTTTGAATTACACGCATTATTGTAGTTCTTTGTTTCAAATGAAAAGAAATGAAATGAAACATTATTAGATAGTTAACGGTAACCTCAAATCCAATTAACAGTAAGATAATGAAAACCGATTAAACTTATTTAATAAAGTCCATGTGGATTTTCCTTAATTGTTACAGAGAGAAACTTATATGCATTTTGACCATAACACATGATTCCCATGACAAGCCATTAACACCTAAATATTTTTTAAATATCTTTATTTTTCTATCAGACTCTCCACCTTAAGTTTGGATATAAATTTTGAATATATCTTTTGTATTCTGAAAAGATAAAAAGCCACATATAGCTGCTTGCAAGGGATATTCATTGTCTAAACATAAAAGTATTCTCCCAGTGATTGTATATTTTGTAAAAAATAAAATCTAGCGTAATGCAGTAAAACCGATCTTTAGTGAATGCTTGGAAGTGTGCCTGGCAAAAGAGTGTTCTAGTGTAGAGATATTTACCTTGGTGGATTTAACATGAATTAATGAACATTGTTGAAAAATGAGGCCTTTAAAAGTGTCAACGACACAGAGGTATTTATCTAAAGCAATGTTCAAAAAGATACATTTTACTGTATACAGTGAAACTTGTAAATTGGAGCACCTCTAGAAATTGAACACCTCTGTTAGTGGAACACTTTTCAGAGTCCCTTGACAAATATTAAATGAACCTTTATAAGTGGAACACCTCCCAAGTGGAACACTTTAGAAATACTGAAGGAGTTTCACTCAAACAGGTTTCACTGTATATGTACAATAAAACAACAAATTAGCAGTCCTATGTACAATTACTCCCTAGCCCAAGTTTGCATCAAGTTGATGTATACCATATACACGTATAGATATTTCACTTTACCTGTATTAACTGGATCACAGGTTATAACATCAATGTTGAAAATGGCTGAAACAATTGAAAAATACAATTATTAAATCATAAACAGGAATCATTGCATGATGTAACATGATGTAAAATTCCTGTGTTTTAATTTATAGATCAGATTTTATTTACTTTTTCAATCAGTCTGTACTCATAGTTTTTTCATCTTGTTTGTACTCTGAGATTTTATCAAAATGAAATGTCGAATGAACTTTTCTGTTTCATAAATGGCATTCATCATATCATTTCAGTTTACATGTTACAGCTGTCAGATTTCAAGATTGTAGTCAGTTAGTCAATGGTAAAATGGTTGAGAATACATGTTGATGGTGATTTCTGAGATTGGTTGCATGCTTGTAAACTCTTAAGGTAGTTTCACATTGTACATAATGTTTTACTCTGTTTATAAAAAATGTGGCTTCATGCTATAGCATAGGGTTACATACTACTAATATGAATTGATCCGGTGATCAGAATCATTTTAATTTTGATTGTATTTTTGCAGTTCAAAAACATTGACAAGAATTTTATACCAATGTGTGTATAACTACCTTAAACCTTAGTGCGTGATAATACTTTGTATCATATTGGTATTTTTGAGTTTTCATACTTTAACTATTTAGTAGCTTTATAAATAATTTTAGGTGTACTTTGTTGTAAAAGCCTACGTTATTGTTAACAGTAGTTATTTCTGATAATTTTGTAAAAAGAAATCAGCAAAAACTCATAATCACTTTTTTATTGTTGGCCATTTTGGATTTTCCGTCCTAAAATCTTGTCTGTAAAGTCTTGTCCACACATTTCCAGGTGAACCGTTTGGTAGATCAATGTCAAATTTTCAGAGATGATTCTTAGTATGAAAATCTAGAACTGACTATTTTTTGGCATTCTGGGTAAATTTTAAGGTGGTCATTTTGGATTTTCCGTCCTCAAATTGTGTCGGTAAAGTCTTGTCTACTCATTTTCAGGATAACCATTTGACGGGATCACCCATTGGTGGGGACATTTTGTACACATTTGTGTTCTTGTTATGGCTTATCCTTCTCAGAATCATGTTTTAATGTTTAGAATAATATCTTAATGTTCAGAATTAACCTGTTATTATACGGAATAACATGTAAATGTATGGAATAACATGTTAATGTATGGAATAGCATGGCAATATGCAGAATAACATGTCAATGAACAGAATAGCATGTTAATGTTCAGAATAACATGTCATTATGCAGAATAAGACATTGATATACAGAATCACATGTAAATGTTTAGAAAAACATGTTATTGTTCAGAATAAGATTTTATTGTTTTAAATAACATATTACTGCACAGAACAACATGTCAGTGAACATAACACATTTTCACGGTGACCAAGAGTTAACAGTGCAAATCGGCCCGGTCGTGTTTTTTTAAACTCTTTAGTCGTGTTTTGTAAGAACATGGGATGCGACATTCGATAGAATGGAGCAAAATGGTAAGAATATTCTATATTTTACAAACTTACATATCTTGACTTCTACCTAAGATGTTCTTCTTCATACCCACGAATCTATTTTGGGGATAAATCCATCATACTTCATATCAATCGCAATTATATACCAAAAGTGCCAGAAATATGTACTTAATTTGCATTTAGTGTTATTTAATCAAGTTTAAACAGACAATCCATTCAACAACGTGGAATAATATTCACTACTCTAAAGATCGTGTAAATATTTTAACTGTATTTATCTTAAAATTGCCATAAATGACCGTAAATGTAGAAAGTGGAGTTAACTATGGAGAAGGGACAATATAACGTCATGGACGTGTCTTATAATAAGCATGTTAACGTTTTGGAATTGTAAAGATAACGTTTTAGACATGAAAAAATTAACGACTTTGAATTGTCTTGTAATATTGTTCACATTGACCATGTTTTGTTGCTTAATAATTTGTCTGTGCTTCTGAAAATAATCGTATTAGTACTTTGAAGATAAGTGTTTGTACTACATGACTATTCACATATTTTGTAATTTCAGTTCCTCGGAATAAGTGCCACGCGTGCTCTTTCAAAAGCGCTCATAAGAACACTTTCCTTGAACATTACGAGAAGGTTCATCCGACTGATCTGTTCAGAATTGACATCCCTATCCACGATCTAGTACTAAAATAAATTGAAAATCTAAATTCTTACTATCTCGTATTTCTGCTAGAAGTTAAAACTCAAAAAGTTTCTTCTTAATCAATAATATAATTTATAGTTTATGTTGGTTTTATAATAATTTGCGGGCCTAGTGCGACACACACTATTAACCAGAAACAAATTGTATGCATTATTACACAAGCAGATCCCCACCATCTGTTCATGTATTAGTATAAAACACGGGAATATACATTATGTGTCACCCGTTTATTGTAATTTGTAGTCAAGATATGAATAAATAAGAATAAATAAAAAAGACAGATATATGATTTAACAAGATCAACAGATGTTGTAATTTAATTCGCTAGAAAACTATGTTACAGTACAGTTCATAGATCACTCATAGAACGATAGCAGCATATGTAGCGTTTTTTACCTATTGCAATTTGAAAATTAAAATTGTATTGCATTGTGTGAGGCGAATTAGGGAATAACATCGAATCAAATTGTTAAAAATCCTGAGGCAAACCTAATAGATATTGAGCATACAATTTTAATAACGGTGGAGTTATTCCTTACATTAGGTGATCATATATATGCATTTACATGTAGTGCATCACAAACCAAACATTTCCTCTCATTTTAAATAAATTTATTTACGTTCATGACAGGGAAAAGTGAGTTTAAGGCCAATAGGGACGTTTTAAAACGTATTTGAGGCAAATTCAAAAATAGCAACGAGCCATTTAATGAGCGACAGGGCAATTAAAAAATAATATGACTGGTAAAATTTTCAAAATGACGAGCGACGGGGCAAAGCTCGCTTGCATTAACCATGCGTGTCTGATTCTAACCATTTTGATTTAAGTATCAAATTCGGTAGTGATCCCATAGATCAATCTTGACATATTATGTCGTACATTTGATTATTGTTAATCATTTATAATTAAGATAGTGTCACTCAGACAACTTCTTCCACATTGTGATCATTTTTTGGGAAATACATAATGTTAGTTGTGCTGTTTCCCACTTCCAAATAGTTAAACCTCAATGTCTCTACACGTCTAGAACGTTTCACTAACAGGTCAACGTCATTAACCGCAATCTTTTCAACACGTCTAAAGAGTTTAATCTAAAAAATATTATTCGGTCAATTGCTACTTATTTAAGCTCTTCTAACTTTTGATTTTCGCACATATTGTGAATGCTTTCCTTATGAATCGATGTATTCATTGAATATAAGTCAGGCAAGTGATTTTCAGGCAAAAATATGTATAACACTGACAGAATTGCTCATTTCCCAATATAACAAGACTATAGCATACGATTCGTGCAAATAACACAAATACGAATACCTGAAGTTAAGATATATAGTATGGAAAGCAATATAAATTACTTACTTTTACATAAAGTCAAGTAACAGCAATTTCATGACCAAATTTATCAACCTACCTCTCAAATTTTCAAAAAAACACGACTAAAGAGTTAAAAAAAACACGACCGGGCCGATTTGCACTGTTAACTCTTGGTCACCGTGATTTTGTTCTCCAAATTGTAGAATCCAGTAGGCATGGCATGAGCTTGTATTCTTAAGTATTATCATCTAGCTGGAAGTGTTTGTATAGATAATTTAAATATATTTAAATATTAAGCATACAAACAGGTTAAGTCTTTTACATAATCTTAAGATACATATTTATTAACTGTATTATCTGCCATGGATTTTACTTGTCAAAACAACCAATCTGAGAAAGTTTGATATCTCCAAAGCAACTTTTTTAAAGAATTTGCGGAACACTTTATTGATAATTATAAAACAATTACATTCAATTTTATTTCAACCATTGAAGATGTCTAGATTTTCAAACTTTCATTAACATTTTAATTGTGGCAATATATGATTCTAGTCAGATTGTTCTTGAATTTGTTTTATTAACATGCTACCTTGTCTAGGATTTCAAATTCTATTGATATTGAATCATGTTATGATATCAAATAACTTGTTTTCAGCAATAATACCCGTCATGGTTAAGTAGATAACATTCTGATTTAATAGCATATCAATGGCAGCTATGGTTCTATATTGGACTAAATAACCAAGGTAATATATTGCACCTTAGGTAATATATTGCACCTTATATATCGCACCTAATGTAATATATTGCACTTTAGGTAATATATTGCACCTTAGGTAATATATTGCATCTTAGGTAATATATTGCACTTAGGTAATATATTGCACCTTAGGTAATATATTGCACCTTAGGTAATATATTGCACCTTAGGTAGTATATTGCACCTTAGGTAATATTATTGCACCTTAGGTAATATATCGCACCTAAGGTTGTTTACTGAAGCTAAGGTTAAATATTTCATCTTAAGGTATAGTATATATTGCACCTTTGGTTATGTATTGCATAAGGTTCTTTACTGTGTCAAATGTATAGTACTTAATTGTAAGTAATATATTGTAAATGTGATAATGTGCTGCGTCAAGGGAACTATATTACACATGGTGTAATTTGGCTGCAAGGGATACACAAATTATATTGCATAGATGAATGATTTGTATACATTTACCAAGATAACCTTTTATAATCACAGATCTGTCCATGCTTAAATCATACAGTATATTTATACTAGTTCAAATATGTTGATATTATTATAAAGACTATTAAAGATGTCAAGAGAAATACAAGTGTTTTATTGTTTTTACCCATTTTACCTAATTTATTCAATTAATTATTTTTAATATTTATTATACACACAAGTGATCGGTTAAAAGTTTACATAGTGCATTTAAAATGGTAATTAAAACTGAAAATGCACTCAATGACCTGTTTATTTTTATTTAGATGAAACAGTATTATAAATAATGAACATCAATAAATGATTGATAAACAGGATCACATCTATACACCAGTTATTGATATGACTGATAAAAAAGATATCGAGACCCCAGATGTGAACGTCATTAAATGTGAATCATTTAGCCCAAAGTAAATTAAATTTATGCTTGAAAATAACTACTTTGTCATTACAAATCATCCCAGTGAAATATCTATCAATTTTTTAAGATTAGGGAATATTTATTCATTTGGGTCTGATTACTATTAAAATAAAAATGAGAAAGCCTAATTCCCAGAATTCCTGCTAAACAATCAGTTAACCTTTAGTGGCCAAACACGGAATATCATATAATAAATCATAATACCTGACTAAAAATTCCAGTTCAGTTTTTTAGTTTACAGGCCCATTTTTTTTTATTTCCTCATTTGATGACAAATGAAAAAAAATTAATTGTGCACTGTGTAGTCCTGTGTAGGATTCTAAACCAGAACAATACAATGGCTGAATTTATTCCATGTATAATGATTATTATTATTTGATCTTATACTAGTATTATATAAACTGATAAAGACATACAGAAAGTATTATTTACAGGGTGTCAAATAAGTCCCGTCCCCCCTGCTACAGCTAGAACCTTAATAGATGGTGCCTAGTGTGATATACCATTGGGAAGATCATACAAAGTTATGTTAACTCACCAACTCTCAAGTATTTTGGATGAACTTCACCTATATTTTCATGATGTCTTTTATAGTTAGCACACCCTCATTTAAGCAGCTTTTTTGCTTCAAAATGAGAAGGATTTGACCTCAGAAATACGTCAAAAATTTAATCTTTTTCAAATTCCACTTGTTACAAAAATGTTTTCACCACTTACCTTGCTCCTCTATTTTCTACACATCCTCCCCTATCCAGAAATTGGTTAAATTCATTGCCATAAACATATGTAGTCATTTTTAGGTCCTTTGACCTTTCTTATACCCGATTCTGCAAATCCTGCGAAATGCGCCGAATTGCCATGTTTCTAGGCCTATGGTCACCTCAATTGATACACTGTAAAACTTTGTGAGATTGATTGACATGTTTCAGATATATGCTAATCAACGTAACTTTGGAAGACCTTTCCAATAGTATATCACACTTGGTACCATATATCTTGGTTTTGGCTGTAGAGGGGGGGACGGGACTTATTTGACACCCTGTATATTATGCATTATGCCATTAGTTTGTGATATACTTGTTTTATAACGTATTTGATACAACTGGTAATATTAAAGGGGCAACAAGGCCTGTAGAGAAAAAAATCTTTTACTTTTTCTGAGCTATCAGTGCAACATTTGGCTTAAATCTTTGATATACCTATTTTCTTAAAATGTATGGATAAAATATCAATTTCATCATTAAGAAGTGGAAATTTAGTTCAAAGCCTCTATAAATGGAGTCCCACTTATAGATTTTTAAGATCCACCACGTTTCAAGAGGAATATCAGCTGAAATAATGTTCATCCAGAGGGTTTCTTTGGAGATGATAAAAATATATGTTAGCCTTGATGAAACCGAATCTTCACTAATTGTTGCACCTTTAAGAAAAACCAAAGATTTAAAAATCATGTGAACAATTTTCCTTTTATTTATAAACATTATGCTACACTGTCTAAAAGTTATTAAGTATGCAATATAGCTGAGATCTTTCAATTGATTTTAAAGAAGAAGCGACCGGGAGCAGTTAAACGTAGGCGGACATTCTTCATCTTAAATCTTCTATAAGTTGTAATATTTCATCATCTATCTTGAATCCTTTCAGAAAATATAATCAGGATTGAGAGAAAAACATTGGCATAATTTTTCCACCTTTTACACTGAAACCCCATCCCTTCTAATTCGTAAATCCTTTTGGATGATTTCAGAAGACCATAGTGTAATTGTTTTCATATTAGTTCATAATACTATAATCCATTAGTTTAACCTGTAATTATAATAATAATCCATTTTATCTCACAATTTTTCTATTTTTATTCAAAACAATCCAACATCATATATTTTTTAATTCCTTCAATCCTTCTTTATGATTTCAAAAGAGCATGATATAATTGTAGTTCATTAAACTATTATCTATTCACGTAATCATAATCCATTATTTTTATCACCCAATTTTCTACTTTTATCCATAACAATCAAACATCATATTTTTCAATCATGATATATCTAGAATTTGCAGTCCTTGGAATAACTGCTGAGTTTTATCCAAAATTCAATGAAGTTAGAAATCCATTCTAGAGCCGTGTATCGTGTCGTCTGTCCATCTGTCTGTTCTGCTATTATCAGAATTAACATTTATTTATTTGTGACTGGTCTACTCTATGTACAAACATGTATGCCTTTGTAGTAATACTGTCTCATTTCAAACTTTATAAATGGTTGTAGAAGTAAAAAAGCAGCCATTTCTAATAATTCAAGGTATCAGGTCAACATAGCAGAAATATTATTTTACAGAACATTTTTGTTTCATTATGCACTGATATTAAAAAATTCTCCTTAATTATATATCATTCATATAGCTTTTATTTTTGAATATGCTGCTTGTCTTTGACCACATTTGAAGGTCATACAAAATTGATATACTTTGTAGTACTAAAAACACATTTCTTTTAAAATCATGTAAGCCCAACTAAGAGAATAAAGCTGAATTGAATTGAAAGAGAAAGTAATTAAATTGAAATTGATATCAATTGTACATGTTTTGGTTAGAATTTCATTTTTACATATATTTGCATATTACATACAGGATGCCTTATAATGCTTGTCCTCTCCCCATCATTAGCTGAACCTTGATAGCATACCCCAATATGTTATATATCATATGAAAGCTTGTTCAATTCTTGACTAATTGAAACAACTTTTGGATCTATTTGACCTTAAGCATACAATATTAAGACCTTACTTTCTGTTTATTTTCTGCAGCTAGGCCAAAGGATACTTTTACAATAGTAATGTACAAATTATAAAAGGAGCACGTAGGTTATCGCAAACAATTTCAAACGATTCTAACTTGAATTATGAATATTTTCTGATCATGGAAATGGGTGCATCTTTTAGATCCATTCATTATCTTCAAGAAAAGTATATATATCGATAATTTAGTTATCAGACATAAGTGATATTGAAGGGGCAATGGACCAATCAACATACTTTTTCAAAAATGTTGACCTAATTTTCACCAAAAATGCAACCTTTTTTTATATTGTTGAGTGCATAATTAGAATGTGCTTTGAGACGTGTTCGATTTCCTAAAAGGAAAAGTTGATTGCTCCCGGGACTTTAAAGATACTGAATTTGGATGACCAAAATGAACTGAAACCAATGGATAGCATGAGATTTTTCAATGGAGAAATAACATGGGGAACACTTATCTTCAAACAATTAAGTTTTTCTTTCAAGAACTATTTGATACATCAAAATAGAGAATAGTAAGGCATTAAACATTGTAAAAAATGATTGCATTTTTGGTGAAAATGGGGTCAACATCTTTGAAAATGATGGGTTGATTGCAAGTTAAATATCTCCGAGTTTGTTTGACTTTATTATTACTGTATATAATTTTATTTGAGATAATGAATTGATCTAAAAGATAAACCTGTTTCCATTGTCAGAAAATAGTCATAATCCAAGATATAACCTTCTGAAATTGTTTGCGATAACCTATGTGCTCCTTTATTTAATGCAGGGAAAAAATGTATTAAATCATTCAAAGATCTACCCAGAGAGCTCTATATGATACATTGTTTAATTTCATGAAATCACAGTCAATCAGATAAAAAATTGTATCAGCTGTCAAGCTTTTGCTTAAAAAATCATGTACACTGTTTGTCGAAGAAGGTAATGACCAATTCCAATATTAAGCAGAATAGGACTATCTATACATGACATGTATTTTGCAATGTTTGAGTTGATTAATCAAAATGAGGGGTCTTTGAAGTCCAGTTTACTAATGACAGGTTGGTATGTTGTTGTCAGACTCGTTTGTGGCTAAAGTCTAGGCCAATTGTATGGATATAATTGATTTAACAAATTCCAAATGGTAGGAGTTCTTCATAAAAAAATATAGTATTGTATTGTTGAAATTTTGTTTTTTATGACTTTATCAGATTAATTTATTAATCAATATAAACTGACCTGTTTCTTGATTTGTAAATTTTTGCTCGATCTGATTAGATTTGGTTATTAAGATGACATTAATGAAATCCTGAAATCCTGAAATACCTACTTACCTACTTAAAAATTACCTATTTTAAAAATTAGAATCCCAATTCACATACATGTACATCCTGGTTTCAGAATTAAGTAAATACATGTAAATCTTGAAACCAGGGCATACTCAGTTCCAAAATAAAATAAATGCAATCTTACCTATAGAGCTTAACAGGAAAAACCTAGATAAATCCATGATTTATAGAATTAAGAAGTTGATTGTCCCTCGGTGAGGTTTAAATTAATTTAAATTGATTGTCTTGGCTGCCTTCCCTGAGACTAACTTAGATGTATTTCTGTTTCCTAATAATCCAATACAATTAGAAATATCATTATCTGAACAATTCTTTTATACGCACAACATGCACTTATTAATTGATATTTTTACTTTTCATTGGTCATGAATACTGATTGAAATAAACCCACTAGTTGATCTGGCATAATTGCGTGCATCAAAATAGTATTATATTGATATTACAACGTATCATTAACAAGGTCTTGTAATTTAATTTTTAATTAAAGCACTCCCTACGCTATAAAATAATATCGCACCTTTCCAGGAATTGCCATATATGCATTGTGTATTTCCGCACAGAGGGATATAAATATCTATTGCCGTATCTCTTTCCATCCACACTTAAAGTTTTTAATCCTAATTTTAATTAAGATAGTTTGTATATAAATAGATTAAGATACACCTGAGTGGGATTCTAATTGTTTCTTTTATATCATTTTCTTCTAATCAAGACATTGTTCCGTGTCATTATCAAAGTGAAAAACAAAGATCTCGACACATCAAAGAACTGGAAATGTGTTCTGTCTTATCGCGGTTGTTCCCATCTCTCAGTTGGTGTTTGTAATGCCTTGGTCACATTTGCTCCGATTTTCACTATTTTGTTCAAAATTGAATACAATATTGAACAAAACACTCAATCGGCCAGGCGCTGGCCGATGGATCGGAGCAAATGTGACCCAGGCATTACTTGATGTTCAGCATTCAACAGTTGGTGTTCCATGGTTGGGTGTCTGTAACACATGGCAGGTAGTGACATTTTGCATGTTATTGCCTTGTTTGATAATGTGTTGTTAATTATGAAGAGATTACTGACTGGTTATATTTAGATTGTGATCCATGCAGAATATGGAGGTTAACGGCCTACCCTGAAACCCATTGGCTAGCAATAAAATACTACACTCTGAGTACTTCAAGTGATTTTAGTTTGATACTGATCAGATCTTTTAACCATATTAATTAAGGATTTGTATTTTATGAGAGTTTGACATTAAATGAGAATTAAAATATACAAAGCATTAACATGCAAAATGTCACCAGACCACCTATCATTTGTAACACTTGTTACAAACGCCAAATGCCCTCACAAAAAATTATTGACCATAATAAGTGGCGACATAAAAGTTGGACACCCTTTACTTGGTGGTGGCATAAAAATCAAAGTCAGCTGCATAAATGACATTGCAGTGGGGGAAACTCTAAATGGATATATAGTCATTTTGTACAATTATATTGCATAGTCGAACAGAAGAATTACAAGAGGAATGAAGTCCCTTTTTGTAGAAGTCACTATTGCGAAGGATATTGATGAACTTAGCAACTCTAAGATAAACAAATCATGCTATAGTTTGGTAGACTGTCAGCTATGATAGACATCCCTAGAAATTGCATCACGAAAACACTGATTAATTATTTCTACAAAAATATAAAAAATCAATTTTCCGTAATTGTTTAATTGATTTATGTAAATCCATCATCAGACGTAGAAAGGCGTGTTTTGTAATTAAATCAGTAGATAATGGTTACTATAATTACGTTAGTTTTTCGTATTCATGATTACTCAAACGGACATTGGCATTGCGAAATTACAACGAGCATTCCACGTTATTAGAGTTATCAAACAATGAAACCCTGACCATCTGACCTTTAATTAACTGACCACCTTCAGAAGTCATGACATTTGGATTGCGGATGCATTCCGCGTGTACAGTTAACCCACATAAGAAGTGAAGCGTGATAAAATTAGAAATGGACTCCCTGGATTATTTTAATAAACGCCTTAATGTAAAACATTTTCACATTTCTAAAAGTAGCTTGAGATTTTGAACTCAATCATGGATTTAATGAAAGCAACATTTTCAAAAAGTACCCTAAAATATTTCTCCTATTAAATACAAAATTGATCAAAAGCTGCGGAGTGATTTAACGGGTAATGGGTCAATGGTGGAATGGTAATATGACCATACTGGACCAATCTCCCCTGTAGTCATTCATTTTTACGGCTGAGATTTTTGGGGCCTTACATGATTTTAGACAAATTCAGAATGCTCAGCTCATTAAAGCCAGGGTAGCCCAATGTACCTTATACCATGTTGCAATTAACCACTCTATGCTAAACATAATATATAGAGGCAGGAGTTATTGCCCGGACGGACATATGTACAGATGGAGGCGTTCCCTTTATCCCTCCGAACTCCGTTCGATGGGATAAAAATATTGTAGACTGTAACAATATGTCAACACTTAAGGTGGTGACATTGGTTTGTACTGACACCAACCATGGAATACCAAAGACCAATCATCGAACACCATCCTCAAAAACTACCGTATAACAATGTGTCACTTTTGGTGGCGACATAAAAATGAAATATTGAGAGAGTGACATCATGTTTATCACTTTTAAAAAGAGAATGATATAAAAGAAATGGCTTGTGTTCATCTCCAACTCATACAACAATATACAAAATCAAATCTACATTTTTCTAAAACATTTATTGTTAATATTAAGCCTCTTGCTTTAATGTACAACTGCTGATCTGCTTTAAAATTCCATTTCTATTTATTCATTATTTATAACTGTATTATTGTTTCTGAACATGAGTTTTTATAACATTTCATAAACAAATGTAACTTATAACTAATAAAATACATTGTAATTGAAAGCTGTCTGCTGTTACACAAGCAGATTACAAATATTTATTAGTTAGAAGTTACAAGTCATCTTTCTCACTTTCGTTTATCATACTTCAACTCTCTTTATTCCACACTTTCAATAAAATCAGTTTAATATGCTTGGTGGCTCATAAAGATGGTCATAACTGGGCATTTTGGCAGTTTAAATTGTATTGGATAACATGTAAATATTCCTCAAATAAAAAAACGACATCATTTAATTTGTGAAAAATCTAACTAAAAACAATTTTATGAGCATTATTCTGATCTTACATGAATATTGATCGAAAAACATCAGATTCTTGTAAACTCTTGTAAATATTTTTTTAGGTTTAAGAAATATCTATAAGCTATCGAACACAAAAACACTGCCATCCACTCAGTTACGGATCACATTCTTAAAACTTTGTTCATTTCAAATCATACTGTACATGTTTACATTAAAATAAATGCCGAACCACTCAAATTAAAACTCTAGCATTCTGTACAGAGACATTAATGTACATAGCAAGCATATGATCTTCTCTCAAGAAATAACAATAACAGTTTTATTGTACGATACATGTTATTGAATGATACACGTAATTGTATGATACATATTATTGTTCATATTGAATTATGTATTTTGTTTGTGCATCAGATCTTGCTATAGTCATGGTAACGGATCAGCTATTGTCCAGTTATTCATTTCGCTTTATTGTACATACACATACAGGATGTGATGTTGTTCAAATTCAGCATATCACAAATCCATAGGTTATCTCAATTTAAGAACTGGTCTCATTCAACCACTGATTCCAAATTAATTTCATGTTTGATATAATGAGACAGTGTATGAAAATTTAGCTCAAACAAGTTTAGATTTTGAACCCCAAGCTCAAAAATATTGAACCTTAAGCTCAAAGATTGAGCATAAATGTATATGTGCGTCAAAGATATTTGCAGTTTAATGAACAAAAGTTTAACATGAATTTTGACTGACTTTGCATCGTAAATGATACAGCTGTATTTAAATGATGCAGCTGTTTTTAACGCATCATAAATGATACAGCTGTATTTAATGCATCGTAAATGATACAGCTGTATTTAATGTATCGTAAATGATGCAGCTGTATTTAATGCAATAATTGCAAAATTGTTCAATTCACTCCTTAAACAATCAGAGGTAGCATTTAGTGTGAATTTTCCTTTTCTAATCCCTAAAACCAAGCCTATATTCATCTCAAAACTCGGAAAACCTTGAGTAACTCCACAAAGCTTATACCATGTTATAAACTTTAATGAATAGCCTTAAGTGTTGAGGATGTGACCAGATTGTACCATTTTTAAATGGTCTTGTTAAATGGTCTTGTTATATTTTTTATAAAAGATGAACAATGTTTAAATGGTCCCGTTTTACGTATCTATAGCAACCACTTGGTAACAACTTAGAGACCACTTGAGAATTACTTGGCAACTATGTTTGTGACATTTTTACAATCTGCGTGCAGTTCATGCAGTGTTTTAATTACTTCAGCCCTGATTTACCTACAGATTTATATGCATATAAACTGGACCTTAGTGCCTTAAATAAGCAACAATTTCATAGATGAAAATGAATACCAGAAGGTCGTCATCTTACCGATTATAATATCTGGATTATTTTTCAATTTTGGTCTTGATATGTGATTTCACATTTAATACGACTTACAGGTAATACAATATTGTCATAAGACTTCTTCTTAGTTTCAATTGAAAAAATGTCTCAGATAATATTTTTCTGTAAAATTAAGGAGACGTTACTGACATGCCTGTACCAACACATACTGGGTATGATGAAAACACCGGCCCAGAGTCAATCTGGGCCAGTTGATAGCAGCATGTCTGTAAAATAGCATGACAACTGATTTGTAGTACAATTTTGACTAGTATGTCCAAGTTTTTATGACGCACCCTGGATATACTGTACACTAGATTTCATTTAGGCATATACAAATATGGCAAGTCAATGTAAAGTGAGATTGGAGGGAGGGAGGATTCAGTTATCTGTCATCAGATATGATAAATACATATAAATAAGCGATATATATATTAATTTCACTTTGTACAAACGTTAACATTTTTGTACATTCGTAGAGACTGCACTGTACACATACTACCAGATAGTACATGTGATGTACTTATGAGCAAAATAGACTGGCACATTATGTCTCAATCTTTCCTAAACTACATGTACAGTAGTCTTACTTAAGCACACGTTTTTTTTATTACCACTGCACAATGTTATCGGTTTCTTCCCAAGCATACTTTAGCGTATATAAATCAATTCTAATTACGTCTACACAGTGCCATCTATGTTGCCAAAAATGGTTTTGTGGTCAGTCCTATGTATATTTACATTATATAGGGTTCAGACTGTACCTATTGTACTTAATCACACCATACAAAATCTTCTTCGCATGATCGAAATACTTATTCTTTAACAATTCAAAAATGAATAACCCTGTATAACTTTTTATACCCGGTTTATCAATTGTATCTGAGTTAAAAAAACAGGGGAACATTTTCTGGGTGGGTGCGCAAACAAAATAAAATCTAGAAACTATTTTCAAAATGAAGAACTGCACATTATGAAAAAATACAGTGCGAAATTTATGCATGATATTCACATCAGCCAATCAGATTGCTAGAATTTCACCATTATTGAATAAAGTAACTTAAGCATAATATTTACACCAAATATTTACCAGTTTAAAGTCAAATAATATTGCATGTATTTTGATATTTGATTCGAATTGACTAAAGATTGAACTCAAAATGAATGAACTTCTACTTCATCTATAAAAACATTCCTTCTCTGTAATAAAATGTACAACAAAGCATTCCATAATTTTTCAGTTAAAACACTGAGCTTTCGAACAATTATTTACCTTTAAGACAGGTTGGCACAATACAGAGCTAATTCTGTATTCAGGCACAATACAGAGCTAATTCTATATTCAATAATAATTTAGTACAAAGTGACAACAAGAACTGACAGCTGTTGTATTAACAACAGAATAAATGTAAATCCACTTCTGTTCCAGTTCTATATTTGTCTTCATTAACAAACTTTCGTTAATTTTTGTATTCATGCGATACAATATATATATCCAACTTCAATATTAAATAATATTTCCAAAAGATTAAAATAAAAAAATCGCAGCTGTATACGGTAAAACATTATCTGAAGTATCTCAGACAATACAAGGCAGTATTCCGGAAATAATGCCTTATGCATTCAAATTCAACATTTTCCATGCAGTCATAAATCTCAATTTCCTAAATTTCCTATTTTTTTAAACGTTATAATTTTGTCTGCTCCTGATTCGAGGATTCCTTATTAGGTGTTGTCGCTTCACTCGGTGGACTGACTCGGATTTCTGGGTACTCTATGAGTGCTTCAGTCTCCTCGGCGCCCATGCTGAACTTGACAGGGGCCTTAGTGGGGGACGGTTCTTCTTGCTCAACAATAGTACCTGGAGCGTCCTTACGCTTAGACTTCTTCTTGCGTTTCCTGAAAGAAAATTGAAAAATCATTATGTTATTGACATGAAAAATCAATTTTTCAAAGTTTAGACATCTGTAATATTTGGCATGTGTGATATTTCACAAATTTAAAGATTTCCAAAAACAATTTTTGAGCATATTAAAAATGCAAATTAAAAAGATTAAAGATGATCTATGTCCATTTCGCTATGTATTTTCAATGGGCACAAATTTCTCTATTCATTTTTACAAAATTAAATTCAAATCTCAGTTCAAAATTGTAACATAACAATTCCTAAGTCCATGGTGTAATTCAAACAATTTGATTGGTTAAGATGATGCATAGGACATCGTTCAAATTGTAATTTTGAAATTCTTATGGGTAATCTGACACTGAAAAGCAGGCTGTTGAGAGGAGATAAAGGTATAAGGGGATATCACAGGAAGAAAGAGGATGACTCGAATAGGGGAAATCTGTGAAAATCCCATTTTTTTCAAAAATGGCACTTGGGACATTATTTTTCTGATAGGGCAAACTGTACATGCAGTTATGTTAATACAACACATGCCTACCTTGGCTTATTATTATCAAGATCTTGTATATTGGGGTTTGATTCGTTGCTAACAAGTGTCTTCCATATTGCAGTCTTGGCCATCTCCTCTGATATGTTGACAGTAGCCTTGGCAGGGTTATATTTTATCTGATCTACAGGGATGTTTACAAGGCGCCCTCCTTGCAGGGGTACTTGAATGGTACCACCCATCATTTCAAGTTCATCTGCTTCCTGTAATATTGTTAAGAGATTTAGATCAATATTTTAATATGGAACTTAACTTTCAGTAACAAAGTCCTTAAAAAGATTTAGACATTTAACATTTAAACTATTTAAGGGATCTGCACTGTGCAATCATTACAGGGTGTATGAGATTTCTGTTCCATTTCTATGAAACAGGGAATTTCTACATTCACTATACTAGATAAATGGGTACAGCAAAATTAACAGTCTTTTACATTTTATATATGTTTTCTATATATTTTTATATTATTATTTTATATGTTGGCACTAAAGAAATCTTACTCCTTTCTCAAGTGCTTCAATCTGCTTCTTCTTCTTGTCTTCTTTCTCTCGTTTGTGAGTCTCGGGCATGACATCATCAAGCCATTTAAGGTCATGCTGCGTGAACAACCAATCCATGGCTTTACGTACAAAACACATCGCCAACACCTAAGGGAAAGTAACAGACTGTACTTTAGATATCTTTTTTGCAATGTCTTTTAGATACCACTTTTTCATTACATAAATTTCATTAAAATGAATTAAAATGTGCTATGGGGGTCATAGTTCAAACTGATTACAAAGCATATGTGTGTTCGCAGATAAATTTTTCCAATGATACGAAGAATCAATTGGACTGGGAGTTTTCCTAAAAGAGCTATAGTGCATCAATGAAGGCCTGAATCCTGTGGCGCCTTTACTGGCCATGTTTTCATGAGTTGCCCTCCATGTTATGAACTAGGCATTTTATTTTTCTTCAGTTATATTTCCAAGCAGATGGATAATTCTGTGTGCATACAAGAATCTGAGAGAAGCTGGTTAAGACAGCATTACAATCCATAAGCAAATTTATTTTGCTTGACCTAGTGAGAAAATAGACCAATTGTACGTATTATATCAAGAGCATACTGGTTTTACTAAAATAAAACTTGATCTAAGCTCAAATACCTCAAATTAGCTCAAACCTCTATGTGTTCGTGGGTATAATCGTACAATCCAAAATCATCTAATAATATCTTACCATAAGTGGGAAAATAATCGAGATTGATTTGATAGATTTAATGGTCCAGAGAATCGCCAGACAGACAGCTTGAATCAAAGTGAAGAGATGAACACGACGCACAGGAACGTGCCGCAGGAATATATAATCAGGTTGATACTTCGTTGGCATGAGGATAATCAACAAGCGCTGTACAAACTGAAAGTAAATTAAAATTTTTGTTGTTAATGGATAGAATTATGTGTATGTGTGTATTTATAATATAAATAATAAAAAAACATGTCTAAAGCTGTGATGCATCATATTGGGTTTAGCTTATTATCCAAATGTATGAATATGAGAAAAACACACTATACCACATTCCTTAATTTATTCAATAAACATGACAATTCCATATTTGGATAATACTGTAGGATTACTGTATAGTACAAGTTAAAATTGAAAGTTCTACGGGGAGCTAGTAATAAGCACTGATAAAAATTATTTTCATTTGATTAAATTTCAGACAAATTTTTCATTTGGTAAATTTGAACAATACATTTTATTTAATAATTAATAAATATAATCTGAATACCTGTACTCCTTTGAGGGAAGATATGCCCATGTACAAGAATACACCAAATAACACTGGCATAGGGACATACTGAAATATAGAACCAAAAATCATCAACTCCAATCAAGCTGTAATTGAGAGAGAATACTTGCTAGAAATTTAAGGCAATGGGTGATAATCAAGTGATATGGTTCAGTCTGCTAGACATTCAGGGGAAAATTCTTGATATTTGCCTTTTAGGAAACGATACACAGGTGCCAGATACTTGATTGTACTTGTATATAAAAGTCAATACAATTCACTTTGTGTTCCACACAGAAATACAAATGTAAAATTGCTCTGTACAAAATACATATGTGACAGTTATTTTCATTAAATAAACATTGAATTATATTTTGAGATATCAAACCAGCTGGGTACCTTAAGGATAGATGTCAGCAAGATAGAAATTCCAATAAAGAGGAAGATGCAAAAGCCAGTCACTCTCTGTTCCCTAGAAGCAAAAAAAACATGAAGACAGATGTTAGAGCAATGAGAGTGATAAATGTAACAAAGCATTGATACAAGTAGTGAATTCCCTATTTAGTGTATAAAAAAGAATTCAATTTGCACTGTACAAAATATTCTGATGTACGGTACAAAGATTTCCCTATTTAAAAAAAGAATTCAATTTGCACTGTACAAAATATTCCGATGTACAGTACAAAGATTTCCCTATTTATTGTACAAAGTACACTGTCCTCTTTAGTTTGTGACTAAGCTAACTAATATGCAACCAATTGAATATTGAAGCTTTTTTATCGCATTATTTAATTTTGGAACCAATTCCTAAAATCAAAATTGCTGAAACTCTCAGAATCACAAAACATGTAAAAGGACACAGCTTTACTGCACATTATACAGAAATATACAATAGTTTGGCCTCTAAAATACAGGGTGTTCAAAAAAAACGCAACCCAAGGAAATCGCTATATCTTGGAAAATACTTGTCCAATTGTGTTCATTTTTTCAGGAAAGAAAGATGAGACTATGTGTGTATAGCTCCTGCTGTTAGTTAGTTGTAAAACATGATGCCTTGGACACCTTCTCCAAAGACATTAGAATTGGAAAGATACGAAAAACGCAACCAGAGGTGACTGCCAGAGCAATAAACCCTACTAACTTTCTAACCATGGTGTTTTGGCACTTCAGATTCACCACAAATTATCTTCATATAATGTGTAGTGAATTGGGGGAGTTTCATTAAAATCACTCCAGGGACTTTACAGTCATGGTCAAAATGCCTTCTTAAGTCTGACTGAACCAGGGTGTTTGACTGGGTTTTGAGAGCATTTCAACCAAAACTGTAAAGTCCCTGGAGTGATTTTGATTTCACTCTACAGATTTATCATACATTGAATGAAGATGATTTGTGCCAAATTTGAATAGCCAAAACACTATGGTTAGAAAGTTATTTGGTTTTATTGCTGTGGCAGTAGTCTCTGACTGCGTTTTTCGTATCTTTCCAATACTAATGTCTTTTGAGCATTTGTCCAAGGCACCATGTTTTACAACTAACTAACAACATGAGCTATACATACAGAGTCTCTTCTTTCCTTCCTGAAAAAATGAACACAATTGGACTGGTATTTTCCAAGATATAGCGATTTCTTTGGGTTGCGTTTTTTTTTGAACACCCTGTAGTTGTATTTTTCTATTTAGAATCAGTCTCAGTGGCCCATTCTTTACTTATATTATATAAGAGGAAAGAACAGCTTGAAAGAAAAATATTACTGTATAGAATTGACAAAAATCAAGCATAGTTTTTCCTCAAAAATCAAGCATATTTTCTTTCTCAAAAATCAAGCATGTTGTTTTTCAAAAACCAAGCATATTTTTTTCACATAAATCAAGCATATTTTTTTCACATAAATCAAGCATGCATATTCAGTATCAATGCTTATTGCTTACCTTACTCCCAAGAACTGGGGTTTCTCTCCAGGGGCAGTGGTCTCAGATTCAATCTTAAGACTGTTCACATGGTTAATAGACAAGACAGTAGCTGCCACAAACCAGGGCAGACCCATCATAGAGCAGAACACGATCTGTAGGGCAATGATGAACAAATCCAGATGGTATCCACTGCCTTTCTGCAATAACAAGATATTAAAATACATCAACATTTACTAATTGATATTTGTAAAGATGCAGTATAACTTGTGTAAGTTAACTTATGGTTCAGTCACAAACTCATCGGAATCTTCCCAGCCATGACCCACAGGGTCACCATGGCATTTTTGTACAATTTTACATGCTCCCAGGTACGGTATCCTGTATATCTGGGCCAAGTGCAGAAAGGCAATTGTAAAGAACAGCTTCCGACAACCATATGACATCCCAGTCATCATCAGAAAGCCTTGTCCCTACAGTATCCTTCAGATGTCTGCTAGATTTAATCCAGCAATTCTTTGGGGAACTGTAAGGTGACTATATTTAATGTGACCATACTCACACCATATCCCAGACAGTCCCTGGCACTTGGTACACCAAGAATCCGACTGACTTTTACTTTAAAGCTGGCACCTGGTGCAAATGTAACTGGAGGCATGACAGAGTTCAGTTTTGTTTACAATAACACTATAATGGGTAGTGGGATTTTGATAAGCATTCTTCTTAGAGTTATTTCACTTACTAGATGTCCCCACGATGCCTACCTTCAGTTTGTTTTCCTTCCTGTTGACGATAACTGCAGTGATCTGTTGGTCCATAAAGATAAGGATGGTACAGAGTAGGGCAGGCAGGATGGCTGCAGGGATGGCCCACCATGGGTTCTTCATGGGGTTCACAAACCAGCTACGTCCTTCCTTCGTTGGCTGCAATGAACAAACATCCATAGGCTTAATAATATGCAGTACAACTGGAAATGATCGTTTTCAATTTCTATGAACTTAATGTTCAAATTTAATACACAGTGGAATATTGTATTAACATTATGGCAAAGGAAATAAATAAAATTCCAGCTAAATTCTGAAAACACATATTCGGTGTTTAGCACCCATGAAATTAAAGGTGTTCACAGTCAATCTATCTAATGGGGGCAGGGGGTTCATAAGATTTCAAATGACAGGTAAAAGGCAAAATCAAGAGGCAAAAAAATCCATCCGTTTAAATATTTATATGAGAGACATTTTAGTTAGGCATGCAAAATCATGTTGTGCCTACTACAAATACTAATAATGAGTGGGAGGGTTTTTTAGATTGATAGCTGGCGAAACATGGATGATGTTGTTATAATCTTTTTATGGATATTTTGAAGGTGAAAACTCATTTATGATATTTCCGGGTACATGTACAAACTTACCCTAAATTCAGAAGGTACAGTCAGTTTGGGAGTGTTGAAGCCCATTCCAATGTCCAGGCCTACCATGGCAATGATAGCCAGGAAGACAGCAAAGTCAGAAATTAATACCCGGACCTACAATGAACATTAAGCTAAATATAGGTAAAATAGACACCTTTATCATGCACATGAGCTGCTCGCATAGACATGAATTTACATGAAGGCTCTTATGCATAGAATGTGATATATACTAATATATATCTAGGGCTCAATGAATAACATTTCATGTCAAGTAACTAGTTGTTCCTCAAGTTTTTTTGAGTAACAAAAATGTATTGTAACAGGATTTTTTCTCAGCAGAGTGCCAAATCCTAATTTTACCAGATTTAATCAAAATATCTCAATTTTCAACTTTTTGGCAAAGTGCAGATAGATTTTCAAAGGGGTGGCATGTACATGCTGCACCCCATTGCTCTAAAGCTAAATAAAAATAGTATTTTCTTACCTTATTTGGGAAGAATCTAGTGTTCCTGAAAAGCTTGAGGGAGTAGGCCAAGAAGAATGTCCCAAGGAAGAGAAGGCAAGAGAAGAAGAATACATCAGCGACGTATTTTGGTGTTTTACATCCTGGTCCTTCGAGAACGCCATTATATTCCTCACAGAGCTCAAGAGGGAGGAGCTTCCACTGCACATTTGCATAATCATCTACATAACTGGCATTTGTGGTATTTGGACTAATCGGTGTGGTACTTACAGGTGACGTATCATTTGCATGTGTTTCATTCTTTGCAGCGCAATAACATTCTAAGTTCATTGGCTCCAATGCGTGGAAATTAATATGAGCTTGTTTTTCTAATTTGATCAACTTCGAGAATGCTTCATATATGAAGATTAACGCAATCAGAGCAGCAAAACTCTCCTCTGTAAATCTGGTTATGAAACGCACAAGTGAACTGAGGTCAAACGCCACCATTATTAATAGAATCACTCCAGTCCAGGTACCAATCCAAAATCGGAAGGACAAATAGTCAAGACCATTATCCCTGAAAAATAAGTGAGTACCATAGTTAGACACATACATCATATTCTTTTACTACGAGTATAAACAATTTGTTGATGATTTCAGATGTGGAAAAACATGTGGAAATGGCAGGGGAGAATGAAGGGGACATCCCTTTTTCAAATTATTTCCAGGAAGACTTAAAAATCAAAGGATAATCCTAAATGGCGAAGATCGTGGCAATTATGTTAGAAATTTGATCTAAAGTCATTTTTAATCTGAAAAACAGATGACAATAAGTTTTCTCCAGTGTACTTACGAGCAGAATGAGAATGCTATGGTTTCAAAAACCAGGATAGGTCCAGTACTTCCTATAATTGTGAGAGGCTGGCCAGAGAACAAATGATATGTGCAGCCACACACTGCACCAGCCAGAATACTTTCAAATGCAGCCTAAAAGACAAATAATTCATTCTAATCTTAAGGCGGTTCTGCAAATTCTCAAAAAATGTATGGGCTGAGAAATGTCATTTTAAGTTTTGATTTTGAACCTATATGTATTCTACGATGACATTTAATAAATATTCATATAAAATTATGAGTACAGAATTATAATCATGTAAATAGCACAAAAAAGAATGCCGATTACATCAACTCATACATCCTCATGTTCTAATTATTGTTACAAGGTACTTGAAATAAATCTTCAGACACTGAAAAAAATCCTAATATTGTCTTGAGGTTAAAACAGCTCCGTTATGTCATAATTTGTCAAGCACCCAACAGAAAATCTATCCTCCAAATGAAGGACTAAAAACTTGTTCCTCCTAGTAATATCATAAGCCACAAGGTTGGCTAATGCTTAAGTCAGTAAATTATGTTTCTTGGTCTATCATAAAGCCCTTTTCTCTATATTCTCTCTCTAACATGTGAAATTGAGGGAGGGGACTCGACCAAATACTTGATACAAGAGTTCATTCGACACGTACCATATTATTGTTAGTGGCTTCTCCTAGCAGACCACCAAATGTAATAATTGGAGTGAGGCAGGCAAAGTAGAGAAACACAAATGAAGCAATACTCTGCATGTGGAAAGCATCCTTAACATCACTCCAATAGAATGGGACTTTCCTTTTTACATCAGCAACCAAACCTCCAAAGATCCTAAAGTATAAAAGTATGACAATGAAGTCTTAAACTTTGTACTAGAAAATAATGTCTCCCCAATTTTCTACGCTCGCCGTAGAATTTCTGCGCTCTCATACTTTTGCAGTCACATTTCCGACGGCAGCTGCACAGTGAATTTTAAATTTCGGTTGATAAATAATACTTTTTTTCATTTTATTTACACCAGGACAATTTATAAATGTTATTCATAGTGCTAGGATGTAATATCAAATTAAAAGTGATCGTGAAACATTGACAGTATTGTAGGGTTCGGTTATTACCATTTTTATAAATTTCTTTTTCAAATTTTTGTTTTCAATTTTACATTTTTAGCATTAAAAGTGCATAAAACTCATATTTTTTCAGACACTTGTATCTTTAAGTGAAAAATCACCATGGACAACTAACTGACATATTCTGTCATACATTGCTTTAAATTAAATCATGTCTTGTGGATTTTCTCTAAAATTATGGGGAAGTCTATAGGGGCATTGAATTTCATCAATGATGACTAACCTGCCAGTTCTAACCAAGGTCTGGTCACCATGATCCTCCCCACCCCCTTCACCCCCCTCGCCCCCACCATCAGGAGCATCTTTGCCATTGGCTTTTCCATTAGCCATACTTTGTCCCTGCATTCTGGAATCCTGAAAAAAATAAAACCATAGGCTAGTCACAATATATAAAAATAACATTGTATCAAGAATTCCATTTGATTACAGAATTCACGCTCGAAACTTTTCAAATCAGTTTTTTCAGTGAACAGAATTGATCATGTAACATGTACACTTGCAATATAGCACATAGTTCATTTCAGTAATAACCAAGCTCTACATTGCTCTGTCAGTAAACATGAATCTGTTCGAGTTACATATAAATATGAGTTTTCTGTGGCCAAAGATATATCATAATGTGCATGTCATGTGTGATTTTTCCAATTTACACTTTGGTTCATTTTCATAGTCAAGCTCAAATCTATTTCGCAATCCACACTGAAAGTATATCCAAAGGTAATTTTCTCCACTGACCAATCAGTTCAACATTGTGTGAACACAACTAATATACAACTTGCATGTTTTATTTACGCAAAGACTGACATACTTGAGATGGAACAGATTTAGGTGGCTCGATTCGTATTGAAGGGTCCCATTCGCCAGGTGGCAGCACTGTCACGGAGTCGAGAAACTCATCAATTCCCGCCACAAGATGCTGACGGTTTCTGGCTTTGTAAGCAACATGATGGAAGACCTAAAAGAACAGAAATGTGGAATGAAAAAATAGAGTTCATTCTTTTCTAAAAGGTTATAATTTAAAAAAAACAATATCTGCCTCAGTCTCAACAAAAATTGGTTGATACTTACATTTTCAATAAGAGCAAATTTTTGTACCCTAATCTAGCCCTTTTGAGGGGGGTAGGGGGTATAAGTTATTTTGAGGGGCATGCAGGGGGTATAAGTTTATCTCTTTACCTCATCTGACATAAGAGTGGCAATTGATCTCCCAATCTCATGGTACTTTTTCTGGTTGCCTTGTGGGCCCAGCAGTATGAATAAAAATCTGGAAAAAATATTTTTTTGAAAAAGTAACATGGTAAAGTTTTATTAGGTTTTACAAACCCTGTATAGCCTGAATTCAAAACTAAAATTCAAATTTAAACTAAAATTTTGAATTGAAAAGAAATTGAAAGTAAGAACAAACCTAGTAGGAACGGGAACCTCAGTTAGGTCACCAAGATGTGCTGAAGTGTTCAAACGAACAAAGGCAATTATAGGCTGTTGAAGGAACTCTACTTCACCCACTAGAATATTTGACGCCTCTGCTCCAACAGGAATTTTCTTCATAAAATGTTGGTTCAACTAAAAATGTTAAATAATTTTTGATAATTCATGAGTAAATAATTACTAATTTTAATTCTTTATTCAAAGGTGCTAAAATACTTTAAACTACTAATCTACATGGTTTGAGTATCTACCTATAAGCTAGGACGTACAAAACTTATGGAATGATCCTCTAAAGTTAAACAAATTACTCTTAATCTAATGGTAGAGGAATGAACAATTAAAAACCATGCAAACAAGTAACAAGTAATGATTACTATATAAATGAGTTTATTTAAAATGCATACTTGAGTTGAGTTAAATATATTTACAAATATTAATGCTTGGTTGAACAAATTCAAAGCTTTTTCAACAAACACCGAACAATACGATCAAATTGGTCTTGTCAACTAGCATGAAACAGTTTCAAATATTTCAAAAATGGCCAAATTAATGAATATGATTAATGCAACTACTGTCAGAGTTTGAGAGCTTTTTGGAATGAGTTTCTGTTCAACCAAAGAAAATAATATGAAGATTATAGGTTAGATGTATCAAGCATTTGATGACCTAGGTTAGATCCCTTACAGGTATGAAGAAGAAAACCAAACAAAACATGCAACATTTCATCATGCATTCTACAGCACAGCCCCAATAAAATAAAATATTTTTGGGGCCATGCACGGGACTGCACCATAAATTTGTTTCAAGCAACCTACAGTGCTTTCACACTTTGTATTTTATGCATAATATAAAATGGCAGGTTTCATTTTTCCAAGTTAATCATTTCCCTTGACCTAGAATTATAATTCCATGCGTCAATCTTATATGTGTGTTTTCAATGATATTCTTATTGACATGTGGTGTGTCATGTTTTAAAATTGTTTTGTGATGTATCATCATTCAGCCCTTGTTAGTGCTGAGTCCATCTATATTCCAATGTGAAAGACTGGGATTCAATAAGATGAATATAATGACTGCATTTAATTAACGACCACTCTTGTATTTTTTTTAATATGATTTTGATAGTTTATGCAAGGTATCAGTTTTGTGGATGCAGGTTAAAAGCTCAAACTACAAATGATAAGAGCATGTTAACATGTTAGTCACTTGATATAACTTTCAAAAATATTTTCTGGAATTATAAGAATGTATCTCATAAAACCATATCCATCATCTTGTACGAAACTAATATTAATTTTGAAGCATGACTACAGTTTTAGAATACACTTTAGAAAACAGAGGAATCCTTTGAAATTCCTAGGTGTAGTATTCAATACTTATAGTTTGTATATTAGTTAAAAGCACAATGCTGAAAATAAAATAAAACCAAATAAACAAATAATAAAAATTCATTATTAATTAAACAACCAAAATTGCAACATCATTATTAATAAATCATGTCGGGTTTTGTTAATATTTGACAAAGGGTAAGACATGTTTATCAGCTCAATTGTTATAAACTTATAAAGAAAGCAAGCAAGGCCCACAAACAGTAGCAATAATAGCTAAGCATGCACTTGTACATATCATATCCCTCTATAAAGAAGTGAGAATGAAAGACGTCTGCTATTGGAATTGCATTCTGGGTAATGTTTCCCCACAAGATGTCAGCACCAGACATAGTGGAGACCTCCCAATCCTATGCAGGCTTTTGGTTCTAAAACTATGATTAATAGTTGAATGTTTCATTGGAAAGTTGTGCATTATCTATGAAAGAGAGAGAAAAAAGTTTTATGTTAATTTGCAGGAATGCAGTTAAATAGATATAGTGTGTATCAGTCAAACAGACAGACTTTATATTTGTTGTCTGTTCTTCAGCACAAGATGGCTCTGACTTCTGCCACTCTATGTTGGTCTACCTTGAATTCTGATTCATTTCTCATAGATGGCGCTATTAAAGTTTGCGTAGTATTGCCCAATGCTGAGCCAATTGAGAATGATGCACTCTTTTTTAAAGATTTTTTAGTTCCAGGCTTCTTTTGATAAATACCCTGCACGTCGTTCTGCAAATATATGGCATAGCGGAGTTTGCGTATTAATAAAGTTATATACAATTGTGTATTTCTGATTAACTGAGGGTGAAATAAAAAAGGACATGTTCAAATCTGGTTCACATAGTGTTTAAAACAACTATTCATGGTGGGTTTGATGAGGTCATGTAAAAGCACCTGTACATATGCCTCTATAAAAAAGTGAGAATGAAAGACGCGGCTATTGGAATTGCATTCTGGGAAGTCATATTAACATATCCCATTGTCTCCTAAATCCTCTAAATCCACGATGACAACTCCTTTTAAACCTGATCTCAAATGATATGGTGAAGATCTCACGAAATGAGAATGATTTGAACTTGTCCATATTTATTGCACATCTCGTTGATAACCTCACAAGCCCACAGCTTCTATATGCACCAGTAGCAGCGCACTCAACTGCAAATTGCAAGCCTAAAATAAAAGTTAATTCAACATCTAACCACCACCATAACACTGTTACTTCAGTTTATGTTGCATCTTGCAGTATATGTTAACGAAGGGCTGAATACAATTAACCATTTAATGTGGCCCATCCTTGGCACAAAGGTATTTCAATTCTGTACATAGCTGCTAAAGCAGTGAAGCCCGATCTTGAAGGATGAACGTGGTCTGGGTAAACCCAATTATAATATCATATTTTTAATCAGAGTTTTGGTGATTAAAGTTGCAAATGGTTTGGATTAGCAAACAACGAAACAGAAGTAGCAGATAATAATCCTACTTGGTTAACATCACATGGAAACATTGACAGTATTAGTAGGTTCATAATGAAAGATCAACGCCTCCTATCATGCCCATCCTTCCTATCTATCTTTCTACAGTAATTTAATAATATCAAAACATAAATCACTGATATTCCACCTTTTACAAGCATTACTTTTTCTTAAGATTTGCTGTGAGATAGCATAATTTTTTTTATAAAATCCATTGTTATGTCTCCAAGACAATTGTTAAATTAAGAATTGTAATCGTATTTGTCTCGTATGACTCGTATCAAGCTTTATTGATTAAAAAGCATCGTGTAATACCAATTCTCCCATGTCATAGGTTCATCATCCATTCTCCATTTAGAACAGTTAAAGGTCCCATGTAAAGTTTGACACCCTATCACTCAAATGTTTGATTTTTTTCAATTATACATAAATGCCATTGAATACTATGCTGTTTTCAATAAATGTTTTTATAAACCTACATGGGACCTTTAAATGATCACAGTCCACACCAGAAGGCACGTGGGCTGGTAATGATGGTGAAGTAGGTACTATTTACCAAATTAATCACAGTCACTATTTCCTGATCACAACCAGTATTTCCCAATATTATAATTATTATAGTCCACTGTATTAGATAACCACTAGAGTCCGCTTTTACATCAACTGATCACATCCTTGGCAGTTACGAAGCATCTAATATATTATACATGGAACTAAATTATATCCAGCTTGCTGTAGCGTGGCACCAAATAACAGCCCCTTGCTGGGCAGAAACTTACATGGGTTTTGGAATGAGAGTTTTGCATTGTTGTTGGTATGGCCAGCCCTTTGCTTACTCCATGTAGGACTTCAATGGCCTCTCTGATGTCATGATCAGTTTTCGAATGTCTGTGTTTTGTCTTATCTTTCCGTTTGCCGTTAGTTTTGTCATTACCAATTTTACCATCACTGATCTGGTTTATATGCGTGTCGCTAAAGCTATTTCTCAAACTTGACTTTCTACTATCATTTTCCACTTGGAAGGACACCTATAGCGCAAATATAATACTAAAACACTATTGGGTTCAATACGAAACTGCTGACTCTGATTAGTGTAACCATAGAAACAGTATTCTGATGTATGACATCACTAATTCACACTGTAGCAATCAATCCAATCAAATAGAAATAAAATAAAATAATTCTTTTCTACACATACATAGGTACCCTATACAAAGTGATCAGACCTAAACCATATGGATATGGTAAGGATGAGAAACAGTGACAAAAATAGATGATTTGAAGCACTAGCATATGAGTTTATTTCTAGATTTTATACACTTTATTCACGTTCAACTGTCTTGTAATTTGGTGCACAATCATAAGACATACCCGTGATTAGATTTGTAATGTTAGAAAGATTCATACTAAAACTAAAACAGATACGAAGTGAAATCTAAAAGTCAGCATGTTTTCTTTAAAGAATGGTACTTTTTCTGTACAAAGTTCATAGATATACATTTCATGATTGTTTATGTACATAACTATACATATTGTATGTACATGCTATACATATTGTATGTACATAACTATATCATAATGCGATTTCTTCCCAAATTTAAGTTGCAATCGGGAGATGGTTTTTTGATATGAAGAGCAATGACTGTGGTAACACCAATTCTTATTTGATTTTTTGTCAGTTTCTAGTCTTTTACCGTATCCATATGGTTAAGGTCTGATGACTTTGTAAAGGGTGATAAGGGTTATGCACTGAGAGGTTTTAGATAAAGGGTTTATCCATGGGATATATGTGATATCTCATGAGGGATGCAATAGAACACATTGTATCCCATACCTACTATGGTTCACTTTTGTCATTTGACATATTTGAAATTTGTAAATGGAGGATTATGACTGAGTTAGACTCAAAAGAACGTTACTCTATATCCCAGACCTAGGCGAGAGAAGGGCAAATACAGAAAATATCCATCCCACTCTCTGTGTGTTATTCACCTAGAACCTTTTAGTATGTATTGGATACAGAAACGCAATAATACATTTATGACATCAGTAAGACCAGTAAGTTATAACAAAAGTTTTTTCTTTAGCAGCACAAACATCAAAATATGTTAGACCAGAGTTCAATGGCCAACATGTCTAATATATTCCACTGCATAATTAGTGTTGTATTAATTCACTGCAGTGCATATGTGTAAATGTGCTATACATATTGTATATACAAGCCTATATGTATAAAATACATGTATATAATACATATTATATGTATATGATACACATAGTGTATGTACATACTTCACATTATGTACATGCTATATGTATGTGCTGAGTATTGAATATATGCACTATATATATTGTATGTACATGCTATACATATTGTATGTCCATGCTATGCATATTGTATGTACATGCTATACATATTGTATGCATATGCTATACATATTGTATGCACATGCTATACATATTGTATGTACATGCTATATACATATTGTTTATACCCTGACAAAGCTGGAGTCTCCCCAGTGCTTCAGATTCTACAAATTAGAGTTACGACTGGGTCACTTATTGCACATATCGGGTCACTCATTGTACAATTAAAAGGGTGTATATCCCTATGAAACACGAACTAACCTATGGTTAGTGTGTAACTAACTAGCTGACGATGTCTAAAGGATGGCAAATTGGCAATGTCTTGTGTTGACAGAGGCGTAACTTACATGGTTCATATGCAGTATGGTGCACCTTACATAGTTCATATGTAATAGGGTGTACCTTACATAGTTCATATGTAATAGGGTGCACCTTATATAGTTCATATGTAATAGGGTGCACCTTACATAGTTCATATGTAATAGGGTGTACCTTGTATAGTTCATATGTAATAGGGTGTACCTTATATAGTTCATATGTAATAGGGTATACCTTATAAAGTTCATATGCAATAGGGTGTACCTTATAAAGTTCATATGTAATAGGGTGTACCTTACATAGTTCATATGTAAAAGGGTGTACCTTACATAGTTAATATGTAATATGGTGTACCTTACATAGTTCATATGTAATAGGGTGTACCTTACATAGTTCATATGTAAAAGGGTGCACCTTACATAGTTCATAGAACTATGTAAAAGGGTATACCTTATATAGTTCATATGAAATATAGCGTACCTTATATAGTTCAGATACAATATGGTGCACCTTATATACTTCATAGGGAACATAGTGTGCATAACATGACATATTCAATATGGTGCCCCTTATATAGTCCATAAGCAACATAGTGCACCTTATATAGTTCATATTCAATATGGTGCACCTTATATAGTTAATTTCAAATAATTTGCACCTTATATATTCCATATCATTTTGAAAGATTTTACAGGTCAAAATCAAGAGAATAGCTCTGAAACAAGGGAAAACTTGTACAAAAAAATATCAGCCACATTTAGCACTCTTAAGCACCATCCAGTTGCATCTAAAAATCGAAATAATAATTTATGGGATGGAGTCTAATAATATACATTAAGCACACAGTGACAATGGAATTATTTAATTAATATAACATTCATATAAGATACTGAATGTGGGCATATGTTATATGGAATGATTAACTAGTTACTTGATACAGTAATTCGACATTTACATCTGAGTACACTGAATCCACTAAAATTTCTGAGATTTTTAAAATTCGTAGTGTTCATTTAGATTGTCAACTTAAAAAATCTTTTTAATTGTTACTAATGAGAAAATTCAATCGATTCTTCTTCTTCAGAACAGACAAAATATCAATTTTGGACACAGGTGGGAAAAATCTGATCCTAATTCATAAAACCATGAAACATGTGACCACTGTATCTTTATGAAAGTGCCGGGTGGAAAACATGGTTGTATGGTAGGGGTATAAAAAGCAAAGTATAATATTGATGAAGCCTTATTCCTCCAAATCTGCCTGGCTGCCAGCTGTGCATAGTACATGTAGCTGTACATATAGCTGTAAATATAGCTGTACGTGTAGCTGTACACATGTACAACAGAACACAATGTACAAGATTTCAACACATGCAATCTATACCTGGTATGGGCTATGGTTGTTCATGTGCACCTGGGCAAAATGGAAATATCTCAGTTAACAATTGATGGAATCTCATTAAAACATTTGAGGTAATGGATCAAAAATTAATGAGTTACGTGTATTTCAAAGTGAAATTAACTTTATTTTAGGAAAAGGTAAATGGTTAACCCCCCAAAAATTGAAATCTAATATGTGATATATGTATACAAGCATCATTTCAATGTCTGGGAGTTTTAGCAAGGGTACGGAGGGACAATATTTGTTTGTACATGTAATTGTTATGTAAATATATCCAGGAAAAAACTTTGAGATGTGTCATTTTTGATCCAAGCTTTCCTATTTGTATTGGTCTAATGTCATATATGATTCTATTCCAACTAAAATAAAATTCTGTGATATATCAGTAATGCTCAAATCATAACTTAATAAAAAACAAATGAAGTTTGAAGAAAAAACTAACTTCATTCATAGTTTATGAAATACATCTCTGGTAATAAAATATGAAGATCAGTAAAGTTCTAGTATTCTACATGGAATTATCAAAAAGAACAGATCACATATATACATGCATCTATACAGTGTATTGATTTACACTCCCCCTTATAAGTTTGGAAACACTCACATAATATCTGGCTAGATGTTTAAAAGCCTGTTTATATTTGGTGATTTTCAAAAATTCATCAAATTTGTCATTTTAGAAAACATCATAACCAGTTTAACAGAGTATACAGTGATCAATCAAAGATTGCCAAACTTTTGAAGGGGTTGTACAGTATAAGGAGTAATTTTTTTCAACAAGACATTTTACCTTAATTTCCATATTGGTAAATAACTTATCAGCAGAACTCACTGCCAATCTCAAACTGCATCAAACAGCGCTGTTTATGAAACAGTGTTGGACAGCGCTGTACGCTAGTCAAAACAGGTGATGCTAAAATAACACTGTACATCGCAGTACTCGAACTGCACTGTTCAGCACTGTTCAGCACTGTTCAGTACTGTTTACAGCACTGCAAGATGATGTTGCGGATTGGGGTGTAGTGTTCCTGTGTTAAAGGATAGGCTAGTTCAAAGACTTACAAGTTTGTATTTCAGGCAAAAATGAGAAATTACCGCTTCTACAGTACGCAGTCTAACACACAGAACCCCAAAAAATGTAGGCAAGTAGGTAATTAGGCTGTATAAATAAATTGAACTAGTCAGCAAGAGTTGAAATTTCTTGGGGTTGTGTGTTAGACTATCAGAGTTTGACTGTACTCAGTCAAATATCTCAAACAGCTAAAATAGTGATATTCAAATGCAGCAAGAAAACAAGACCGAAATACCATTCAGCTAATTGTTATGAGAATAGAAAATAATTCAATGAAATACAAAAGATTCTCTGGCTGATAAAATACAAAATATTCTCTGGCTGATGGCTTATGAACATATCTATTCTGAATTTTTTACATTTCACTGATGGATACTTCACAATTATAATGCAGTATTTCTCATATTAGTGACAATATTTTTGTCATTTCCTCAAAAGGAGCTTCTGAACTTATTTCAAAATGCTGATACAAACAACGATGAGTGTGTAGCATGCACATTTTAATTCCACTATTAAAGATACTTTTACTGTCATATCAAAACATAATATAAAAAGAAAAGATGGACATAGTACTCAGATACTAAAACATCAATGAGCTAGGACTAAGAGAAGGAGAAAATGTCCTCGGACTAAAAAGTCCTAACTTACATGACTGTGGGAATTAGCTGGTGACGGGTGTGGCTGATGTGGGCAAAACAAAACGATGATAACACATATAATATTCAAAAACAGCCGTTCTGATTCTAAAAGCATCTTTAAAATACTTCAAACTAACTTTTAACAACATTACAAAATATAATTCAAAAATATAACCATACCTTATGGGATGAGTCCCTATCAGTTAGCTCTGACCCACTTTCTGTTTTTGACAATTCAGCCGCACTTTCAGTTTTAGGTAAATGGCCACTACTAGCGCTGCCCTTTAACTGTGGAGCAGTCTGGTTGTGTTTTAAATCATCTATAAGAGGGATAAAGAAATATTAATGCACATATCCCCATATGTATATACAGGATGATTTTTCCAATTTTGGCCAGCCTATTTTTGGAGGGTTTCACCCTGTATATGTTACATGACAAACCCATAATGTTGTCATAAACAAGGAAAAGAAATTATGAAGTGTTTGAAAAACTCAGTAGCTTAGAAAGCATGACAGTAATGTTTCATTAAATAAGTTCAAGCAACATTTAAAATCAAAAATAAGCGAATACAAATTCCAAATATTAATTTATCAAGAATATTGAGATTCCAAATAATAATGTTATTGTCGACCAGTTTTATATTGTTCAGCATTTCAACTGAAAGTGATATACCAACTAAATTTTACACCCTATTTACCATGATATCTATAACAGGATATCTACAAAATGTGACATCTAAAAAGTGTGATACAAAGTGTAACATCAGTATATGTGACTCCTACAAAGTGTAACCTCTATAAGTGTAACACTGACTCCATATATGTGACTTCTACAAGGGGTAACAAAATTTAATTTTCTACAAATAATAAATATAAAGTTGAAAAATACAATATTCCTGTGAGTAGTGGAAGAATCAGAGTGCACATACATGAGGAATTTACTACAAGTATAACTAAAACATGAATATGAGTGTGAATAAGTGGGTGATGAGGGAGTATTGCCCACACAGAAACACAATTTTAATATAGTTAAATCTAATCTTTATTACGTAACATGGGATAAGATTTGGAACATAATAAGAAAATAAGGCAAAAGATCTCTGCTTTAGAATAAGATGAATTGAAATAATTCATAATTACGGGAAAATTAGATTAACTTCGCGCAAACAAGGAGCCTACATATTCAGAGAATTTGAAAGATTTATGTCATCTTGAGACAATAAATGAAGCAAGCTGATGTTCTTGAATGGTTCAATAATGGTTCATGATACATTCAACAATGGTTTTTGAATTACTCACAAATGGTTTTTGAACTACTAAACAAATGTTCTAGAATTACATAATAATGGTCCATGAACTACTTAACATTGTTTCTTGAATATCTCAATAATGGTTCATGAATTACTTAACAACCGTTCATGAACTATTTTACAATGGTACATAAACTACTATATACTGGTTCTTGGATTTAATCAACAGTGGCTCAACAAAGTTCTTCAGTAATCAACAATGATTCATGAAATGGTTCTTCAACAATGGTTCTTGAATTACTTAGCTATTTCATGAACTAGATAATAATGATTCTTAAGAGTGCTCAAAAATGGTTCATGAATTAATCTGTATAGGAAACATGTATGTGTTTTAGTGCAGCTTTCTAATGTTCAAGAACTACTAACAGTGCAACTTTAAAAGATATGATAAAAATAAAATAAAGAATTATAACATAATGAGAACTAAAAATAAGCTTATGTGTGATTTTCACCTTACTAATTATAATTTAGATAATTATAACTTACATTTCTGTGTGAATAAGGATTCTAGAAGAATATGTAGGAACTAACAATATAGTAAATATATTATATATTATAATCAACTTAATCTCTCATTCTATATTATACCTTGGTTATGAGTTAGTATAAGTATAACAAACAGTGTAAATTGGAATATATTAACCCGTACATACTGTTGATCCAGATTGTGAAAATTAACTTCATAAACATACATTTTGTACAATATGGGGAGAATACCTACAATTCATTCTAATAAACATTACTAAAGCCAGTTATCTTTTACATTATCTCTAATGATTTTTAATGTGTTTGTATACATGTATCTTGATGTGTGTGTGGTGTATGGTCTTCATTCAGAGACAATCGTTATTGTATTTTAGAAGCAAGTGACTATTATTCGTACACAAGTTAGTTCAATTTGAAGCAAGTGGACTTCATTCCAACACAAGTGAATTTTGATTCAAAAGCAAGTGAGTGAAATTTTGATTTGCATTTAATTTAATTCAAGTTACGTATCAGGCAAACAGCAAAATCGTGGAGACTGTAATATACTCTTTGATATTTAACCATATCAATTCTGGACATGGTTTGCAACAACTTCTATGAAATCATACTCAATTTTCATAATCACTATGACTAGTTAAATATTTCATACATTGCTCATTTGATTTCATTTACTACATATACTTATACATACAAAAGTTTGAAGACATTTACAAAAAAAAACTAGATCCTCAACATAGAAAACGTCTAGATAAAACCCATACTACCTAGATACACAACACTATTAGAAATGATTCAAAAATCTATTTGGGTATGGTTGGGCACTGGTTCATGTAAAAGGTAAAAACCTACAAATCTGTTGAATATATTAAGACTGATTTTTAAATAAATCGTAAATAAGCAGTACTAAATGTAAAGTTTACATTTTCATGAACAAAGGTCGAAAAAATGATTGGTCAAATATTATTACTCAATGAAGTGTTCTAAAATAGTATAATGATATTTCTCAATCCCCTTCAAAATCTCATAGTGATGTCATAAATATTAAAGGTGATGTCAAAAATATTAAAGGTGATATCATAAACAATTTCTGGAAATTTTTCTTAGTTTGGGTTAAAGTCTAAAATAAATGACAACAACAATGCAGCATTCAAAAACCAGTAGCTAAGCATCGCCAGGGTAACATACTACATTGCCAAAGAAACCTACAATATTACCATAGTAACACACAAACCAAATATACCAGTCAGTAGATATTTTTACCTGAGACAAGTAGCATTCCTAAATCAGCAGTAGCTTTTAGACCTAGGGTCAAAAATTAAGGTACTGTAGAACTTGCATATCCAAATAAAACAATCAAGTGGAAAATGAAATATTTCTTCAGCAAGATTACCAAAGACAAAATACCATTCCATTCAAAAATAAAATAGAAAAAAACAAACAAAAGTTATGCCATATTAGGCAAAAGAATGCTTGGATATGCATAAGGAATGAAGCTGTGTCAGTTATTTTCAGCAAAATGAAAATATGGACAAAAAAGCAAATCAAACAGGAACCAAACTTCTCAGAAGCACAGTCCTTAAGGGCGTCTCATCTGGTGAAGAGCCGCGCAGGCAACCGGCTTAAAAAGGTGATCTTCAACTCACAACACGAATGGCGAAAATCATGCACACTTTTATGTGAACTGAGAATTTTTTTCGAGTATTGTAGCAGCTTCCTGCGACAATCATAGCTCCTGCTTGTTCTCAGATCTGCAATCATTGACATCACACAGTTTGACAAACATTGGCATCATTCATGGGTGAGAAACACTGGCATTACACATAGGTGATTAACATAAGCATCACTTAGATTGACTTACATTGGCATCACCACATGTAAGAAAGATTGGCATGATTCAATGTGATATTATTCCTGAGTGAGAAACATTGGCATCACTCTCAGGTGAAAAATATTGGCATCACTCTCAGGTGAAAAACATTGGCATCACTCTGAGGTCAAAAACATTGGCATCACTCGGAGGTGAAAAACATTGGCATTGCTTTGAGTTGAGAAACATTGTCATCACTCATTGGTGAGAATGCAACATTTTCATACATTGTAGATATCAAGCTCATAGGTTAGAAGGCGGACAGATAAATCGAATAGGATGCTGTGAGGCAGTAAACAGACAAGATGCAAAATAAAATTGTTAATTAAAATAAATCTGAAAAGGAGATGATTGGGCAGTGCAAACTTTCATTTAAATTCAACATCCATGCAATTACTAAATGTAAAAATGTAATGAATCGGCACACAATCCAGCTGCTGCACACTCTGGTAGTATTGAAAGATAAAAAACAGCCAATATAAACCATATAAACAGTATACACATATCTGGAAGAAAAATCTACATATTCAGAGCTGGTACAATATCAAACGAACCTGGATGCACTACATCTAAAATGAAAAACAAATTTCTACAGCATGCTTTGTTCATTATTTAAGATCATGTGACCCAAGTCATGTGATCTAAATTGGAAGGGTCTGTCTCCAAATTACAAAATAATGACTATAAGACTTCTTCAGGAAAATGCACAATTGTAAATAAATATACAGTTTAATAAACTACAAAGTATTGTACTGAAAATGCATGTTTTTCATTTCAAACATTGAAAATTAAGAAAATAAAAAAGATTTCTATGAACTTGATGAACTTGGCACTGTATATTCAAAAATAATCAAATAATAAATCAAAAATAATTTGAATATGTCTCAATGTAAACTCAATGTGATGGATTTAAATTTTTAAAGACAGACCCCTGTAACAGAAATAACTATCATTCCAACTTTAAAAAATAACAAAAAATGAAAGAACAAAACGAAATAATAAAGAGTGCTCTAATTGTACTTTCTGACAATTTGAATTCATTTTTTGTCAAGCATAATTTAAGTTATTATACATTGTACTAATTATCAACAAAATATCTATGATTGGTCATGGAACTATTGCCAAAAAAAGAAATTGTAGCACACTATGGCTACATAGGTGGCGCTATTTGCTGGCCAAATCGACACTTTTTCTGGCGAAAATGCAGCCATGTGTCTGATGCAGGGAGGTAGCTTGAGGAGAGGCAGAGGTATACCTTGCTCGGGTGTCTGCAGCGTATTGCCCATAGAGTCACCTAATGAGAAACACAGAAACAATGCAGTTAGTCAACATACAAAATGTTTTCACATGGTTAATAGATTTCATTTCTGTTTGATGATAATGCTATTCTATCTTGTCAAACTTTAGCAAAGTACTGTATCTTTTATAGAACAGTATATAATCATTGTATAATGTGCCTAAGAAAAATGATGCTTTCTGCTAATTTTCAATTTTCTTCATGATCTAGGTGTCTTGATATTTCATCCGAGATTTTTCCGAAGATAAGTCAGAATGAAATCTTTAACCGAATAAATGTTCGAATAAATGTACAGCACTTTACCACAAAATATAATATCAGGGTTAAACACCTCTTTTTCAAGCTTAGAAATATCACATG